TTTACGACCTCGGATTTGCTTAGCAGCAATTGACTATTATGTATATAGATTCTGCAAGTATAAAGTACCTTTGATACAATAGATGCAGTGCGGAACCATCAAGACCAGCTTAGCGTCACTTTCCGCTATGCCAGCTCGGCGGCAACCAAGCCTCCCCCAGACGCCGCAACATGGCCTGCTGAGTCGTGCTTTAGTATCCCCAGCACCTCCACGGGCTCAACGTTCGCTTTACTATCCGTACCTGCACAAGCGTCAAGATCGCTGCTCGTTCACAGCTTCGGGTCGCCCCAGCCACACAGCCAACTACTCCAGCAGCAGCAGCAACAGCAGTGGCAACTACAAGAGGGATATATGTACACGCAGCCACCGCCGCAACAGCAGCAATCTGAGCAACAACGTCCGCTTCAGACCACGCAACCAGAACTCTGGCAACAGCAGCAACAACCAACGGAAGGAGAGCAGCATCAACAAGAGCGAACAGAGCAACAAGGCCAGCTTAGTCCGCAAGAGCAGCAGCAACAAGAGCTGCCATCGCAAACCCAGCAACTCCAAACGTCGGATGCAGCAGCTCTCATGAGGCACTTCGGCACCAAGTTGAAGTCGCGAGTGATCTCGTGCTGTATACCATGAAACGCCAGAAGAAGAAAGACGCATGGCATTTTGCCTGGTTGATACGAAGCGATACATTTCGGCACCTTCAGCGTGATGAATTGAACAACAGCCATGCCGAGCAGGTATATTGCCTCCTGTGTGATACAACGTTCAAGTTCAGTGTTGGCCAGTCAAAGGTGGCGCCGCATATGGAGACGTATCACCCAGTGGAACTGAAAGCCTATGCTCAACAAGCAGAGCAGGCCGCTCGAGGCAATGGGCGCAGCCGGAGTTCGGGCCGTGGAGCGGACGATGAGAGAAAGAAAAAGCTACGCAAGATTACGCCGCAACAGCAAGTGCACCTGAACAAGCTCCTCGCTGCGTGGATCGCTCACCATTTTCGCCCGATGATTATTGTGGAGGATGAAGGGTTTATTGCAGTGATTCGATATATTACGGAGGATATTAGTGGCGTCCAAGTGAGTCTACCAGAGCGAACCAAGATCAGCCAGGAGATCGTAGCCTTGGCCGTGGAGTATCGAATGCGCGTAAAGCTCGCAATGAAGTTATGGAGCTGCCTGGAATGCACGATGGTGCCATCATTGCGGCGACGATTGAGCAGATTTTGGAGGATTGGTCGTTGTTGAAGAGCTACTGTGTTCGGTTCGTGAGAGATGGAGGCTCAAACATGGTGTCCGCGGGAAATAAATTACGGGTTAAGCACATGGCTTGCCTCGCGCATTGTTTGCATTTGGTTGTGGGCGGTGCAATGATCAAGAAGAAACGGAGAAGCGAGAGCGCCGATGAACCAGAGTGGTCAGCCGATGTCGCCGCTGAAAGCAGCGAAGTACCTATTGAGCGCGATGAAGAAGCACCACTAACAGTCGAGGATAGGACTCAACTTGAAGGGATGCGTGACATTGCGATCGATGACATGGAGCACTATCTGGATGAAACGATTGCCTCGCTGCGGCGTAACGAGCTGGATGCGGTTCGCGCAGTTGTGCAGCGCTTTCGTACACTCGCCGTCTACTTCCGTAAATCGCCGAAGGGAAATAATCGGCTGAGCGCTCTTCAGGTTGACAACTTCAACGTTAAAGCGCATGAAGTAAAAAAACCGACCGTCGACTGTGCCACACGCTGGAATAGCTGCTGGCAAATGCTAGTGCGCATGATTGAATTAGAGGGGGCCCTAGTGAAGTTTTTCGCGTACCTGAAGAAGCCGGAAGGTCGCAAAGAGTTCAAGGATGTTGCTAAGAGGTTGCGCCGCCCGATGGTCGAAGAATGGCTGACGATGAAGTGTCTTCAGACGCTGTTGGGCCCATTTGCTGTCGCCTCGGAAACGCTTAGTGGTCAAGAATATCCGACTATGCCACTTGTACTCCCCACATTGTCCGGAATTCGCAAGCATTTGGAGTGAAGCGACCTTTTCGCTGGCCTCGCAGCAGAAGCAGGCGACGAACCGTACGTGACTCAAACAGTTCTGATGATGAATGAGTGCCGCGCGATAATGCTGGCTTTGTATAAGGCGCGGTTTGATGAACTGGAAAAGAGCGAGCTGAGGTGGGTGGCTTTCCTCGACCCTCGAGTTGGAAAATGGATGTCTCACCTGAGTGCTGCCGACACCCCCGCTGCCAGCAACGAGCTTGTCGATGCAATGGTAGAACTGGCGCAGCCAAATCTACCGGGGCAACAAGCCGAACGACGAAGCCAAACACCGGTTCAAGTGTCAGCAGAGCAGCACCGCAGCTTCATGCATCATCACATGTTTGGCCCCGACACGGTACCTACAGAAACAACAGACATCGTTACGGAGTGCTACTTGGAGTCTATCTCGTCCGTAAAAAGCGGCACCAACCCCTTCTGGTGGTGGAAGGTGAATGGAGACAACTATCCAAACCTTCGTAAGCTCGCGCGAAAGTGGCTGGGGGCTGTAGCTACCAGCGTTCCTTCGGAGCGCGCATTTTCAACAAGCGGGAATATCATCACCGTGAAGCGTAGCTCGTTGAAGCCGACTATGGTACGTGATCTAGTTTTTATGGCTGAAAACTGGAAAGGGATCAATGCCCTGAAGCCTCAATCGGCCTAAGCCTGCGAACAGATTGCACATGCATGTTTGCTTTTGTAGTGAGTTCGTTTTCATTGCTCTATGAATACATAGTTTCAATCCAGCTGCATAACCTCTATTTTCTGGTCGACTTCCTGGTGTGCAACCTCGGTATACGCTGCCAGCTCCAGCTCGACCCGGTCGACACCTTCTCGGATTGCAGGCTCCTCCGCCACGGCACGTCCGCCACGGGCTTCTCGGGGTCCTCGCGATGCCGAAGCCGCCACCAACACGCTGCTTGGGCGCGTCGCGAGATCTCCTTTCGTAGTGTATTTACACAAAGCATTTCGATAGTTTATTCATGTGAGAGGTTCACGGCTGTTCAGAGGCGGTTCAGCTGAACATTACCTCTCATAAACGTTCAGGTTGTAAAGGGCATGTAAAGCTGAACGTTCACAGCACTACAAACTTGCATGATCGATCTGATCAAGCGGAATGTTCCCTGCGGTCAGAGCATGGCCATGATTGTTCGGGTCGAGATTATACCTCAACGAGTGATTATTGGGGACGCAATCGCTTCAACGACAAATGAGAAGAGCTTCAGTACTGGGGCGAAATGATATGAGATCGTTGGTCTTTGTCGCTCGGAGAACCACGGTGCCACGGTGCGGATTTCCGGTTCGCGGAGCAAAAGCCTCAGTTTCAATTTTCCATTCGTCCTCAACGCTGTATGGTAGTACAGTACTCGGTCTGTATACATATTCATTGCACTTTGTATATCTGTTGCGTGTTTCATCGTGGTGGCGTGTTGCTGAAGTCTGGGAGAATGACGATTCGAAAGTTGCCGACATCGTCTGACTGTGCTGAGCATAGTATGACGTCAAACCCTTATTCAACTCGCGGATATCCCACGACACCAGCCCATAGCCTCCACCAAAAGTAATAAAGACAAGATACAATTCCATGCCGACCGCTACACATACTACACCTATCTCTCGAATACAACCAAACTTTCAACCGGTTACTATTCGTCTCTATTCGCGTCCCCTCAGCTCCACGCGATTCACCAGAGCAATGGAAGACGAGCAGGTGGATGACTCCGAAAGCGAAGAGGAGGAGGAAGAGCCCGAAGCTGTGGATGTGGAGACCACCCCAGCGGTAGTACCAACCACAGTCGGGCAGCCGCTGGTACTGAACCGCAAGTACGTGGACCCGCCCCCGTTCCTGGACGTCTTGTCATTCCACTCCAGTCGCCTGCTGCCAGTCGCTCGCAAGGAGATCGAGGCACATGAGCGTCAACTGAAGAAGAAACACGGACTAGAGTCAAACTCTAGCTCCACCAAGACATTCCTAAGCGCAGAAGAGGACGCCTCTCGACTCGATGCGTTGCTGTCTTCCGTCCACTTACTGCTGGAGCCAATCCAGTTGCCAGATTTGAGTCACACCGGCGTGTTCGACCCTGCCTCGTCGCTGCTTCGACCGGTGACACCTGCAGTAGCAATAGCAACGTCCAAGCCCGAGGGAGAGCCCCCTACCAAGATGAAGCTCAGTAAAGTGGACAAGAGCGACGAGGTGAAACTCTTCTACCCCACGGGCGCCAAGAACTCCAACATGCGCGACTACATCAAGGAGACGATCCAGAAACATTTCTCCACTGCAGATCTGGAGCCTCCACGCAGTGACCAGACACTCAACGCGTCTGCATCGGCTCCAGTTCTCCGCTCGCCAGTGAAGGCGCCAGGTCTGAATGGACAACACCGTTCCTCCACTTCTCCGTCCAAAGCCCGAGCGTTCGGGAAAGCTAGGAAGAAATCCAAGCTCAGCGCCATCAAGTCACCGGTGAAAGCTGCTCTCACAACGGGCGCGTTACTGGACCCGCAACTCACAAGACAAGCCAAAGAAATCGTCGCTGCAGTCCGCGCGAATTCCTCTAAGATCAACGAGCTTATTGCCAAGTAAATGCTCGTATTCTAGTCTAGAGACTATGTATGATACTACGCTAGTTCCTCGTCTTGGGGCGTACTGACCTTGGAGACGACGCCATGAGCTTGCGGATTGTCGCGTCCAAGTCGGTGCACACCGTTCGAAGCACCTCGTTCGTCTCTTTGGCCTGGTCGATGCGGAAGAACCCCATCTCCATGAGCTCTCGCACTGCTGGCCGGTTGCGTGGATCGCGCTGGAGACAGGCACGAACAAACGCCTTTAGGTTCTTTGACGCCGTTTCTGGTAGTGAGGGGAGTCGAGATGCTCCTAGAGATTCGGGTGACTCGGGTCCTCGCTTCTTCATAGGAGAGTGGGTGGCTCTGCTGGACTGGAAACGAGCGTGACGCAGCGAAGGATTTCTATCTGTCGGCTTCTGCAATGAGTACTGAGTGGGGTATTTCACGAGCCCGTTTGCCATTTGGAGCGTCAGCATGCCGACGCACCACACGTCAGCCTTCTCACCCCAGAGACGGAAATCCCGAAGAACTTCAGGGGGCTGCATTGCCAACACAAGTGCATCGTTAAATACATTTGTAGCTCTAGTGATCACTACACGTATAAACCTACGTACCACATTTCTACGAGCGAAATCGTCGTCGACAGCGTTCTTCACTGCAAGAAGAGGAAGCAAACAGCGTCGAATGCCAAAGTCGGTCAGTTTGAGGAGCCCGTAGCTGTCGATATGCACGGCCTGCATGGTCAGATTGCTACAAGGAACTCATGATTAGTTCGTATACATCAAGTTGAAAATATTGCAGTATACCTACCCGTGATTTACGCCATGGTCGTGGAGGAAGGACACGGCCTGAAGAATCTGCAACAGGTAGCGGCGGATCGTCGGTTCTTTCATCGGTCCAAACGACTCGAGAATCGTTCGCAACGAGCAGATCTGATGGTGTTCTTGGACCAAATACAGCGAGCTTCCGTTCTGCAGCGTCGTATGGAATCCGGCCAGGTTCGGGTGAGTGAGCAGCCGCAACTCGTTCACTCGGTGGCGCAACTGAGCCACAAGCTCTACAGCGCCGCCATACTGCGTGTTCTTCTCCGCTTCGGCAGCGAACTTTGTCAGGTCGAGTTGTTTGAGGACAACCGGATGAGATACACGTTCTTCGGGTTCTTCAGGCCCAAGAGGTGCTGGATACAGCTTCCCCTCATGGATAGTAAAGATATCGTCTGTGGCAATCTGCTTCGTCACTTTGATCCGAAGCGCGTGCTGGTTGACGGGGAAGAAGAGGTAGTCGAGAAACAGTTGGTAGTCGAAGTTCTGCTCGCTGTCTTCGCCTCGGAAGAAGAAGGCGCAGAACTGCGAGACCTCGTTCGCCGACCACTCGTGAATTCGGAAGAGCGTGAGCTCCGCCACCACATTGAGCACCGCATCGCACGACACAAACCCAGAGCCGTTCTGTTTTGATATCCACGAGGTTTAATAGCAACGAAACTTCGCAGTGCTCCACAAGAAGCGAATCCGTACCTCGTCGTATCGCTGGAAACACGCGCTCAGCCAGGAGCGCGCTGACTGACCGGAAACGTCCTGGTTCCCCCTGAAGTGACGTCCTAAGGCGACCAGAATCCCCTCACGCACACGGCTCGCGCTCGGAATCGAGACGCAGTGAGAAGCGACGCTGCCCATGTGCACGAATCGGAAGCGGTTGCCGATGCGGTGAACTCTTAGAAATAGCAAAAAAAACAAAAACGTTTACGAGCTCTGTCTGAAGCGCCTAAAGATTAGACTGTCAACATGCCGAGATATCGACCAGCATGCATGTCCGAATTCATTAGACAATGGCCATAAATCGTCAGTGAATCGAAAACTTGGTTCGGCCCATACGTCTCGTCCCTCATTCCCGTTGCTTTTTCGCCAGCCCGCATTCTCGCCCATTCGCCAAGAAGAAGAAGAAGAAGAAGAAAAAGAGGAGAAATGCTGGTGAGTTTGATCCTGGTCATCTGCGCCTTCTTCGCGGGGGGCGCCTCGATGTGGTACTGCGCCGTGTACCGCAAGAAGAAGAAGCTCCAGCAGCAGCAGATGCCGCAGTACGAAGCTCAAGTGCCCGTCATGGTGACGCCCCAAGGTCCCGTGGAGTATCGACGTGCCTGACTCGCAGACGACCAAGTCGACAAGCTCCGAAAGCTGCGCCTCGCAAGGATCCGCTCCCTCAAGTGAAGACGCAGCTGGCAGATACCTACCTACAGTAGTGGTAATGAGTGAATCGACTGAGGCGTTGGGTTTTCGTTGTCTGCAATATTACTCTTCGGGTTAATTCAACTGTCGGGGTACAAACAGCACTACGCCCTGAGCTACCAGCAACTAACTAGCAGATGCGAGCTCACATGCAATACATAGGAGGAGGCACTCGCTCTTCGGACGCCGCCGCTTGCTTACTTGATCATGTACGACTGCACCGGCACCACGGGGCCCAGCGCCTCCTTCCAGGCCGGGTTCGCGTCCAGACGGCCGAGGAAGATGCTGGGGCCGATCTGCTTGCTGATCTGCGCAACGCAGTCGCGAGCCGCGAACTTCGCCAGGCGGTTCGTGCCCTGCAGCGTGAAGACCAGCGGGTCGAAGAACAGCTCGAGGTAGCGCTTGAACACCTTCTTGCCCAGCGCCTCGCACATGAGCGGCAGCTGCTTCCAGATCGTCTCCTGCAGCACGGCCGCCTGCGGGAAGTGGCGCAGGATCGCGATGTCTGCAACCTGCGGGAGGAACTTCACAGCAACGTCAGGCGCCACGTCGCAGAGCTCGCGTACCATGTAGATGGCGCCGTCAGTGTGCTCCCACGGCTCCTTGTCGCGGTGCTCGTGACGCTGGAACAGCTTGGGCTCCAGCGAGCAGCACGAGAAGGCCTGCTTGCTCAGGTGCTTCTTCTCGGAGCGCATGAGCTCGTCGTACTCTTGCTGCGTCATCGCCGGCTGCTTCTTTGCGAGCGGCAGGTACTCCTCCGTGATCTTGACCACGCGGTCGAGCGCCTCTTGGCCGTACGCGCGGATCACGTTGCCCAGGGCAATGGCGGCGTCTTCACGCACCGACCAGATATCGTCCGAGAGGTGGTCGATCCACAGGTGATAGAGCTCGTCCAGGAAGGGGCGGCACTCCTCGGGGAAGCCGAGCACCAGCTGCGCCGACGCCAGACACGCCGCGTCTCGCACCAGGTTGGACACGTCGTAGAAGCAGATGAGCAGCGCCTGCATGAGGCGCCCCACGTGCGGACGAATGGCGGTCGGGTCCACCTTCATCCCCAGCTCGGCAATGCACTGGCACGCCGACTCGCGCACACAGTGGTTGGTCATCTCCACGTAGTAGTCGACGATCTCGTTGGCGTACCTGGCCACGAGCTCGCGGCCCTGGTTGCCCATGATCATGCGCCACGACTCCTGCGAGTACTTCTGCACGCGCTCGGCGATGTAGTAGCGGTTCAGGCACAGCCTCGGCAGCAGCACGGGCAGGTACGCGGCGCGGCCTTGCTCCTGCAGCTTCATCAGGAAGGTGCGCGCCGAGATGGACGCGGCGTAGCGCACCTGGCACCAGTTGTCCTCCATGCCGCGCTTGATGCACTTGTTGAGCACGTCGCTGACATCCGCCTGGTGCGCCTCCAGGAAGCCCACGGGGGCGATGTCGGCCAGCACCGTGATCGTGTCCAGGCCGACGACGCGCACGTGGCGGTTGATGTGGAAGCAGCTCTTGGTGGCCACGAGCTCCAGGATCTGCGGCGTCAGGTACACGAACTGCTGCTGGGCCGCGTCGTCCGTCGCCGCCTGCTGCTGCTCCAGGAAGGCCTCTCCGCTGCCCTTGATGATGTACTTGAGCGCGCAGAGCGAGCTCTCGAGCGCCTTCCAGCCGCTCACGTCGTCCAGGCGGTAGGGCGTGGAGGGCGTGCGCGGCGTGCTCTCGGGGCTCTGCGGGGGCGTGACCATGCCGTTCTGGCTCACGTTGTCGTCCAGCTCGTCGAAGCCCGTCTCCTCGAAGTCGGGCGAGCGGCTGAGGTTGCTCACCACCGAGTCGACGATCTGCGGCGTGAACTCTTGGGTGACCCAGCCGAGGTCCCAGCGGGCCAGCACGCCCAGCAGCCGCGCCACGGCCATGCGCACGCGCGGCTCGTAGAACTCCATGTGCTGGTGCACGGCCTGCTTGACGGTCTGCGTCACGAAGGCGTCGGACAGCGGCGCGATCTGCGAGACGTAGAGCGGCAGGTCGGCCGTGCTCGGCAGGCAGAAGTCCGTGTTGGCGTCCAGGTCGGGCAGCTGCAGGCGGCGGCTCAGCAGGTCGCGCACCACCACGAGGAAGACGGCCACGGGCTCCCAGCGCTCCTTGCCGTAGAGCAGCAGCGTCTGCAGCTCCTGCTGCAGCAGCTCGCGCCGGGTCTCCTCATCTCCAGCGCTGGCGCTGCTGGTGAGGTCGCTGGCCTGCGTGGGCGACTCGGGCGTCGTCGTCGTCGGCGTCTTGGCCGGCGAGAGGAGCTGCAGCACGGCGTGCGCGGTGTCCACGGCGCCCGCGGGCACCTTGGGGCGGTTCTTGAGCGTGCGCAGGGCGCTCTCGGCGCGGGACAGCTCCATGGCTTCGAGGGACTTTGGGTTGTGGAAGGATCAGAATCAAACCAAAATGCGGTCTAGACACATCAAATATTTTCAGACTAAATACATTTCTGTAATCCCGAAATCGAATTTGGATCTATTCGCTCCTATTTGAGAAGTATCTTATCAGAAAGGACAGACTTAAAATGTATTATTAGTTTGGTGAATCATCATAACTGACATCAGCAACAACTACTATTGATACTAAAAATCATAACTAAAGGTAATAGCTCAACAACTACAGTACTATATTACTACTGCTGCGCTAGTATGAATACTACGATACGCTTTCCTCATTACTCGCGAGCTCAGGACATCAGTTGCCTTGGTGCTCGCTCGTTGTTATTTATTAGCTAATAAGAGCTTACCACGAAGGAACCTGTTGAAAACACGCATCTGCGCCTCAGCCTGTCAAGTGAAAGCTTTGCAGCCGAGATGCTCCACTACTACTATAGCTGTTAGCACAACTAATAGTATTTTCTCCAAAAGATATTTTGTACAATTTACTTAGCATTCTAAGTAAATAGTACATAATATCTTTTGGAGAAAATACTACATTAGTACTATAGTAGTGCTATAGTACACGTAGTAATATCGCTGACGCTTATCTGCGACTATTCTGCTACCAAACCCTGTTGGTTGATGCGTATCAACGTGACAGTCTTCAACTTTGTTACTATGGGCGTGGATCCGGGCAAGGCCGGGAGCTACGCGGCGGGGCTGCTGCTAGGCGCGGGCTGGTGGGTGCTGGTGGACGGTGCGGCTTTCGCGGCGTACCATGACTCGCAGATCCCCTTCGACTTCGTCAAGTACCTGCCGGGCATCGTCTCGACGCTCGCCTTCTTCCTGTGAGGACGACCGTATCCATAGTAGTTTGCAGAATATAAAATAGTAATTTGCATATATGATGAATGCGCTGCCAGGGTCAACACGGTAGACTGGGGCATGCTCTCGGAGGACGCGCGCTTCGCCTATGGGTCCGAGGTGGCCACCCGAGCTCGGTACTGTGTCCAAATCCTCGACTGTTGGTGGTTGATATTCTGTGTGCTTTTCTCACCGCGTACTACTATTCTGGTGCCGTTGCTGCAGGTGCTTCGTGCTGTTCTGTATGGCGCTGTCCGTGGCCGCTCTCGTGAGCTCCGTGCTCGTGTTCTCGCACACGTACGTGAACAACGAGTTCAAGGAGTCGGCGTGGCCGGGAGCCGCCATCGTCTTCCAGAACGGGTTCATCCTCATGGGCACCTTCGTCATGCGGGTCGGCACGATCGCGGCAGCGTCGACCTACTGAGCTGCTGGCTACCGCTGGTGCTTGGGGAGTATTGCAGTGAAGGATTCCGCTGGAAATTGTGTCCGTGTATTGGTGACAACAACAACAAAAATGTATCATTGCTCACTTACTCCGATGTTTTGATTTGGTGATGTCACCATGCTACGCGCTTCTTGCCAGGCATCGACGATAGCGCTGGCAGCTTTGAGGGCGAAACCAGTCGAGCAGATGAAGACGACGATGAGGCTTTCAGCAGCTTTCGTGGTCGAGATGGTGGTGAGTACACATTCTCCACCGAGAATTTTGTCGCTGCGTACACTTCATTTGCCTGTCTGTTCATCGACGTGGGGAATGCGATGGGGGAGATGATCTTGGGTGCGTTGGCGCTTAGCCACTTCTTCGGTGACAGCGGGGCGTTCTTCTTCTTCGTCTTGAGACCACCGCTCTTTCCAGGTGAAGTGACGGGCGTGGAGAAGATCCCGATCCCCCGCCTACCGATCGGTGACCGGACATCGCGGACCCCAAAGCGCTTTCTCGCTAGAAGCAGACGCAGCTCTTGGTTTTCCTTCGCTGGCGTAACTTCACGACGCTCAGCTTCTGCGGCCTGAAATTCTACCACGTATCGATCGTTGATGAGGTTCCCTGCCAGCTCCACGCCTTTGATCACGGCGTTCATTTGCCAGGCTTCAATAAGCGAGGGCATGACATCGCTCATGAGGTGGTTGTTTCGCAGGATCAGCGTCTGTAGTGACCGATTGCTGGAGCCCAAACATCTGAACAGCGCCTTGCCCCCAGCGCTCCCAATTGCGTTCTCAGCCAAGTTCAAGTACCGGAGCGTATTGTTGCGGGCAAGTCCGTCATTGGCGATCGCAACTGCGGCGCCGTCACTGAGTAAATTCCCGTGGAGATCCAGCTTCTGCAAGACGGTGTTGATCGCTAGAGCCGCGCCCAGCAGAGCGCCGTTTTCATCTGAAAAGCACATGTGCGCCACGACCAACGTGTGGAGGTGTCCGTACCTCGCGAAGAAGTAGTCGGCCACAATCCCAGCCAGCACCGCGCCTTCTTGGGGTCTCGTGAGCAGTGAGTTCCCTTCGAAGTACAGTTCCTCGAGCAGAAAGTTTGACGTGCACAGAGCCTTGGAGAGCGTGTGCATTGCACTCAGCTGGCGCCTTTGGTGCGGCTGTGGCGACGACGGTGGGGAAGGGAGAGATAACAGTCGCCGACCGAGAGGAGAAGATGGCGAAGTATGCGCGCTCCTATCCTTGTCGTCGCCTACACTCCACGCAGAAGATGTCGGTGGTTGCATTGACTGCTCACTTGGCTCTTGGTTTGTAGGTATTTTGCCAACGTCGGTGGTGATTTCGCCAAACGCCAGCACCCGCAGATTTCTCCTCGTCTGGAGAGCCTGGAGAAGCGTCAAGATCCGGTCCCCTTTGAAGTCTCCACTTGAGCAGATCAAGCATTTCAACACGGCGCTGTACTGAATCGCAGACACAACGTGCTGGAGAGAGAAACTCTCGTCTGTTGATGGAGAATCGGGTCTTTGGGATAAGCGCGCACCACGCAATACCAGAACCGGGTGGTCGAACAGAGACCGCTTCTCGTCCAGGTTGTCGATCGAGTGCAGCACTGCCATCGTCTCGGTCCCTGCCTGGTGGTTCCTCTCACACTTTGAGATGAAAACACCAATTGGACTTGCACAGGGCGGTGCCAACACTCGTCTCCGCAGAAGTTGGAGAAAGCGACGCATGATCTTGCCGCGGTACAGCGCTTGGATCTTACGCGCTGCGTGGTTGAGATCGACCCCTATCATGGTTTGTCGTCGCTGTGCCGCGAAAAGATTTTCTACAAGGAAAACCTGCGCTTGGCTGCTGACCCTCCCGCCCATCGCTTTACCGGCCGTGTACCTTCGCCACAGTCGCTGAATCTTGAGAATACTCGAATGTTCAAGGAGGGCTCGACGTTGTTCGCTCGCCTCAGTTTGAATAATGTTGACAAAAGAGGAGCGTCTGTGCTGATTACCGGCTTTCCACTGCCTATAGAGACGCTGCAGCATCAGTGCAAGCCGCTCCTTAGCGCGTGAGATTTTCTGTTGAGCACGAAAGAGTAATTCATCAACTGGAGGAGGAGCAGCAGCTTGTGGGAGGCAATAGCGACGGGAAAATCTCTGGATACGTTTTGCTGCTTCATTTTGACGCTGGAGTTGCTGTCGCCGGGCATCACGAAGACGCCGAAAGTCTATTCGAGTGCGGTTACCACGAAAACATCGCTGTGAAGGAAATATCGGTCAGTAATCGATGAACCAGTATGGAAGTTGCCACCTTCTACTGTACCTGGATACGAAGCGCACTGCAGTCTTCACGGAAGAATCGGTGATCGTATTCATCAGGTAGCAAAGCCGCCACTTGACTTCGAACGACGCGGTTGTATCGGTACTTTCGTGTCTGGTACTTGCTTTTCTGGAAGCAATAACAATTGGGGTTTAGCTTGGATCGTGTTCACTATACAATCAAAGCCACTCACCAGCTCGCGCAGAGTTTTTTCACGCTGGCCTTCTATCTTCCACCGCATACGCGCGTAGTAGAGATATCGTCGAGCACCTCGTTGGATACTACGAGCTGCAAGATCCTGGGCTGCAAACATCGAAGCGTACTTGTCGCGCAGAAATCGAAGCACTTGACGACGAGAGCCAAGGTGATATGGATTCTCGCGATACTTCTGCTCAGCTGCACGAGTCACCTCCCGACGACGCAGTAAAGCTCGCTTCCGATCCCAAATTCCTCGCAGTACGCGAGCGATTTGCACTTGGCTGGCGTCTTCCAGCTCCAGTCGGTATCTGTTACGTAGCTGCCATTAGCCAGCGCAAAATGGGGCATGTACCAAGTTGCAGCACTTACGTACTGCCATTTTGCCGGAAACCACTCGACCAGACTTGCGCGAGCCTCCGCGTGCAGAGGATCAAGGTCAAACACAGCCTCCATGGAGCGGATGGCCTTCTCCATTTGGTTGCACTGGTAGTAGTTACGAGCGAGTACCAAGTACAGAGCAATTCGCTTGTGGCGCTGCTCCTCCGTCAATCCTCTCCACAGGTTGGTCGACTTCTCAGCGCTGTTGCTTTCCGCTGGTTGTACATCTAAGAGCTCAAGTGACCGGGACAACGCATCGGAAGCGAGAACATTTTCACCTTGGGCTCGGAAGTACTCGGCGAACGCTGTGTACGTCTCGCTGCGATCCCTCCACGCCTTCCACTTGACCCCAGGCGGAGGCGCAACCTCAGGACTCTTTATAGCTAGCTTGTACAGCTCCTGGAACAAAATGTCGACGCTGACATGCGCGAGTTTTGGCTTTGGCGTTTGCCCTTGCGGCTCCGGCACCGACAACGTCGAAACATCCACCAGCATCTCGTTCAGCCGAGTGTGCAAGTAGAGCACGTTGATATGTCGCGGTCCCTGGAGAGCTCGATGCGTGTTAGGACAGGGTGATCCCGTTATTCAGAGCCAAGTGCAGTGCAAAACCTACCTCGGTGATGGCTTTGTCCAGGAGCAACTCTTGCGTGTACCCGGTACACTTCTTCAGCCCTGCGAGCTTTGCTGAGGTCTCGCTGGTTGATGAGAAGAGCTGGTAGCGCTGGAGGAGAACGAAGCGGAGTTTGACCTCTCGAAGTTGCTCAAACTTCGGGAATGTCTGCAGAATTGAGGCGCAGATCGTCAACGCGCCGGTGTAGCTGCCCAGCAGCTCCAGCACCCGCGCGTACGTGAACAGCGCAAGTGGACTACATGCGACCTCCACGTGGTTCAGAGCTTGCTCGTACGCAGCTCGACACGCCCACAGCACTTCCCACTCGCCTCCGTCCTCCCACACGTGATAGTAACTTTCAGCCAGTCGTCGCCAGCAGAGACTGGAGGTGGCTCCAAGACTCACCGCCTTGTTCAAGTGCTCACTGGCCCGAGCGTACTCCTGCCTGGAGAAAAGCAGCAACCCGAATCGTTCCTGCCGCCACTTCCGGTTCGGGTCCTTGGCTAAAATCTCTTCATGCCGCTGGAAAATAATCTGCTGGAAGACTTCAATCCACTTGGCTTTGATATGCGGCGACATGGATCGAGAAATCGATTCCCTCGAAGGTGATATGGGTCCGGTCGAAGTGGATTCCTCATTGGTCGCGGATGTTTGAGGCTTGGTTGTCGAGAACAGCGACTTGGTTGGGGAGGTTGATGCAGCGGAGGCTCGGATTTGCTTCACCGTTTGACGTTGATACGCGGACTCATCCGTTGAGTTGCCACCGAACGTTGGTCGGAACGGAGACGATTTTGGTGTTGGTTCGGTCCATTCCTCCGGTTCGTCCAGGGTGAGAGCGTAGTCGCTGGCTTTCGGCACTCTCGTGCGTCGAACGGGGAGCCCCTGGGCGACCTCCCGCTTGATGCGGTTGCGACGCACGATGCGCGCGCGTCTGACGCGGCGACGGCGTTCATCCTCCGGATCCAGAAGCTTTTGCAGGAACATGGCAAGGCAATTGATTCCACGATCGCGATCACGATCATGATACTCTGGGGATAAGTTTAGCGGCCGGAGAAGTTGCGGGGCCTCAGTTACGGAGAAACCGTTCGGCGCCAACTGCTGCTGCCAGTGCGGCCCCTTGCAGGCCGCTGCGCTCGAGGATCTCGCGGGGCGCGCTCTCTGACCTCGTGGGGTGTCACCCGGCATAAGACATCGCTCGCTCACTCCCGAGAGAGACAGAGATCTTCTTCCTCTCCTTCCGTCGCCCCACCATGATGGACAGCACCTCGGGCCTCGACAGCAGCTCGGCGCACACAGAGGCCCCCGTGAACGCAGGCGCCTTGCCCTTTCTAGTCGGTTCAGTCGCCGCCCCCACCTCAACGACAGCCCCACCGAACCGCTCCCGGCCGCACCGCTCGCGCAGAGGATTCGCGGCGGGCAAGTCGCGCCTCTCGTTGCGGATCGACGCCGACTGCGCCGAGACGTCGTCGGTCACGGCGCAGTCGACGCCGGCGTCCACGTCCAGCAGCTGCAGCAGCAGCGACGTCGTGCCCTGGTGGGAAGTCGAGTACCAGTGTCCGCCCCCGGGCCACCTCGGCGCCCACGTGGTGCCCGTCTCCGCCGACGAGCAGGCAGAGCAGCGAACAGGTTCATCAATCACAACAGCGACAAACAGCAGCACGACGCGAAGTGCCGACAGTTCCGAGCTCTCAACCCCCACCGAGTCACACACAACCTCTTCCTCCTCCTCCTCCAGCTTGCAGCAGATCCGACCAGGCCTCGTGGTGTACGAGACCCCCGAGCGAGCACGCCGAGGCCCCCGCAACAAGCTCTCGGCCATCCGAGCCTCCGTCCCCTGCTGTACGCGACTGTCAATCCCCACGTTTTCATCTAACCTTGAAAGAGGCTGTAGACTAACTCCATCATTTTTGTTGTCGCAGTGCTGGTGGACAGCAGCCCGAGCCAGAAGCGCAAGATGCGGTCCCAAGACCCGACGGACGCCGAGGCCGACCTCTTCCCCACGCACGTGGCCAAGGAGCTCAAGAGGTTCCACGAGTCCAGGTATGTGATGCAGCCTTTTGGCTCGCTGGTCAAGTTGAAGTTGTCTCTAAAAGTGTATCCATGTGTCAATTTCAATCAATCTCTCTAACCAGTTGCAGCAGCAGCTTGAAAAAGTCGAGTTTGCCGAGTCGCGTCGTGACGCCGTCCACTCTGGTGCAGCCACTTACGCAGATCGGCATCAGCCAGACGCTGCGACTCAAGCCGCGCACATTGACCCCGCAGGCGACTGAGAAGCCCCACACAGCTCCGCAAGAGCCTTAAACTGCCCGAAAATGCATTTCCACCAATCCGCGTCGCCTCCCGTCGTTTCTATACAAATTCCTTGATGGAGTCGGACCGCGCTGATTGGCTGCGGTCGAAATTCTGGAATGTGCGAATGAAAAGGGAGGAAAAGCGGATCGATGGACTCAGTTGCAGAAAAGCGAAAAAGCATCAGAGGAGGAGCGACGAAAGAGCATGGCGGAGGTGCGTATCCTCCTCACCTTAAACGTCTCTAACCGAGCAAATTTGTTGCCATGGTGCTAACCGGTTAGGTGAACAATACCTGCCTTTGTAGACAGCAGTGGAGTGGAAGGCCAAGGGCAACGCAGCGCTGAGCGCCGGCAACCCGCAGGAGGCCGTGGACTGCTACACGAAGGCCATCGAGCTGAACCCGAGCGACCACGTGTTCTACTCGAACCGCTCGGCCGCGTACCTGTCGCTGGACGACGCGGCGCACGCGCTGGAGGACGCGGAGCTGTGCATCGAGACGAAGCCCGACTGGGCCAAGGCCTACAGCCGCAAGGGCGCGGCGCTGCACGCGCTCAAGCGCTACGACGAGGCCACGGCGGCCTACAGCGACGGCCTCAAGGTGGATGGTACTAACGCGGCGTGTCTCAGCGGCATCGAGGAGGTGAAGAAGGCGCAGGCGGCGGCCGCGCAGGCCTTCAACCCATTGGCCAACGCGTTCGGGCCCGACATGTTTGGCAAAATTGCCACCAACCCGCGGTTAGCACCTCTGCTGGGCGACCCGCAGTTCGTTAAGGTGTTGCAGGAGATTCAGAGCGACCCTTCGAAAATTAATGAGCACATCAAGGACTCGCGCGTCATGACGGTGCTGGGCGAGCTCATGGGGCTCAACATCAACATGGACGGCCAGGAGGACGAGGAGATGCCCGCGGCTTCGACCTCCACGCCCGCGCCCAAGGCCCCCGAGCCCACCCCGATGGAGGAGGACCTGACGGACGAGGAGAAGGCCGAGCGCGCCGCCAAGAAGGCCGCGGACGAGGCCAAGCAGCGCGGCAACGCCTTCTACAAGCAGAAGAAGTTCTCGGAGGCCATCGAGTGCTACAACGAGGCCATCGAGAAGGACGCCACCAACATGTCGTACTACAGCAACCTGGCCGCGGTCAAGCTCGAGATGGGCCAGTACGACGCCTGCGTCGAGGACTGCAAGTACGTTGAAGTGGAGGGGTCTTGGTTTTCAATTATTTGTTTATTTTGCTGACGGATGCTGTTATTATTAATTTTCACAGGAAGGCGATTGAAGTGGGCCGCGCCAACCGCGCCGACTACGCGCTGATCGCCAAGGCCTACGTGCGCATCGGCAACGCGCACCTGAAGAAGGGCGAGACGGAGCAGAACCTGACGGCGGCCATCGACGCGTACGAGGGCGCCCAGATGGAGAACCGCACCAAGGACGTGGAGCGCAAGATCAAGGCGCTGCAGGTGAAGCTGCGCAAGGCCAAGGAGCTGGCGTACATCGACCCGGAGAAGGCGCTGGCGGCCAAGGAGGAGGGCAACGAGTTCTTCAAGAACGGCGAGTTCCCCAAGGCCGTGGAGCGCTACACGGAGGCCATCAAGCGCGACCCGTCGTGCGCCGTGTACTACGCCAACCGCGCCGCGGCCTACACGAAGCTGACGTCGTTCAACGAGGCCAAGAAGGACTGCGAGAAGGCCATCGAGCTCGACCCCAAGTACGTGAAGGCGTACTCGCGCATGGGCGCCATCCAGTGCTTCATGAAGGAGTTCCACAAGGCTCGCGAGAGCTACGAGAAGGGCCTGGCGCTGGACCCGAACCACCAGGAGTGCATCGACGGCCTGCGGACGGTCATGTACAAGATCCAGAGCGGCGAGACGGACGATGAGCGCGCGCGCCACGGCATGGCCGACCCGGAGATCCAGGCCATCCTGCGCGACCCGGTGATGCAGAACGTGCTGAACGACTTCCAGACGGACCCGATGGGCGCTGGGCGCCACCTGCAGAACGCGGACATTATGGCCAAGATCGAGAAGCTGATCGCCGCCGGAGTGCTGCAGACCAAGTAAGTAGCGTAGATGACAAGCTGTCGCTGGTCGCCGGGTGTTAGGGTCCTTCCTGACTGGAGAGACTGATCGGGTACGTTGGCGAGGTAGACGTAGGCGCCGCAGTAATTTTTCAACGGACTGTCAATCGATCAGTACAAGACTTTGCGTACCAGACGTTTGCCACTATACCCTTTGTATTTGCTCCCGTCGCCCACACACAGTCACTGACTGGAGGGTTGTTTTGTTGTTTGGCATTTTGCAGTTTACGAAGGCGCGGCCACCTCATTAGTTTCCCCAAAAGCTACCTACTCAGGTCCTACTACTGGTGTCTATCGGCTTCCAATACGTACAGTATTTACCAAAACTTGATCCGTGCTGTCGATGCTGCGGCTACCCGTAGCTAACCCTTTCTCTCGGCTGTAGCTTGCCCAACTGGACGCCCCAGTCCTTCTCTTCCCAAGGAGAGGTCGACGGTATCACAAAATCGCGCGGCACGTTTCGATGTCCGTGCAGCTGCTCGAATGTGACCAACAATGGTTCGACACGTTTTTTCCACTTGGAGACTGCAATTTTTGAGTTGAACTCGATCGCCTCCAGCCTCTCCATCGCTCTAGCAATTTGGTCAAAGTAGTTCCCATGATTGCGGATGTTGTTAACAGCAGCTCCCAACTTCAGACCATGCGCTTCATTCGGCCAGGATGACTCCAATGGCACCACAAACCAGTAGGGCACTCGACAGTGACCTTTTACGCGGTAAAAAGCCTCCAACGCGGGCAAGATCCGGGTACTCCAATCTACCTCACGGACATTCAACACAAACCCCAACGCCACCAATCGAGCTTTGTCACGTGAAACTTGGGCGGAGTAATTGCCTTTGCTACGGATCCCGGACACAAAATTCCCAAGTTTTAGACCCCATGACGGTGTTGGCCAGCTCTCATCCGATGGAACCACAAATGATTTTGGCACTCGGCAGTGTCCCTTAGTTCGATAGAACGCCTCGAGCGCTGGCATAAAACGCTCGCTCCACTCCGATTCAGAATTTTCCCACACGAAACCCAACTCTTCCAACGGGGCCTTGTCTTGGTTCACGCCAACGTTTCCAGCACGGATATTCTTGACAGTGTAACCCAAACGCATCCCCCAAGCTGCCTCCGGCCATGGAAAGAGCGGCGGTACCGTAAAGTCATTGTTCACATTACAATGTCCAAACTCCTGGCGAAATGTCCTCAATGCCGGCATGACTTTGTCGCGCCAATCGCGATCGGATACTGACTCGAAGCAGAACTTCAGCCTCTCCAACTCGTCCTGATCCCATATCACCTGCCTACGGTATTGGCCTTTATTCCGGATATTCGACACCTTCTGGCCCAAAAGTTGCCCCCACAGGTTGTCAGGCCACTCGAGGCTCCCCTTCGGAATGCGATACGTTATGGGCACATCCGTGTTTCCGTTCAGCTCGTAGTATCTCCGCAGTGCAGGCAGAACGAAACGATCCCACTTGTACTGGGACACATCCCAAGCAAAATCCAGCTCCTTCAGCGCCTCCAGGTGTTTCTGGTCGATCTTGCGTCCTCCTTCTCTCCATTGCCTGCGCAACAACGCGACGTGTTTGCCCAGAGGATACCCCCACGCTTCTCTAGGCCATGCGTCGTCACCGTGGGGAACGACGAACGTGATTGGCACCAGCAGGTGCTTCTTGAGCTTGAAGAACGTGCGGAACGAAGGCTTTACCACTTCCTCCCAAGTCACGGGATTGTACAGCTCGAGACGCCCCCACGGTCCTTCATGGGCGCTCGCGTCCGATGAGAAGGAGCAAGGCGCCTGGCAGCGGAGCTGGGAGGAATTCACAGTGAGGTGAGGAACTGCAGGGCCCACAGCCCCCGCAGCGCGGAGAGCCCCCACGCGACGCCGCGCCAACGACGCCAGCCGCAGCATCGGCCTGAATGATTGATTAGATCAGTAAGTGATTAGCGAAATAATTTTGACCAATCACACAGCAAATACGCTAAAATCCTACCAGGCATGGGGTCAAAAGGGTTAAGCTACTCCCAAAAGCTCTTCAAGGCTTCTGGAGGTGTGTGCCGACTCGATGAAAGTATGGATAGTTAACAATCGTTTGTAGTCAATATCGGTTGAGTGAGATTACCGACCGCACAAGTACCGAAAAACTCTTCTGCCCGACTGTGTTTGTGTCTGAAACTCAGCATCGCTATAGCGTTATGTTTCTCCCGCCTCCTTTGCTACAACTGCAAGAATGTACGCAAACCGGTTGTGTTGTACTCGTGCAGTACATTATCCGCGCTTGCAGAAGCCCAAACATGTCCTTGGTGTCCTTCATTGCTTCGAAACTTTTTTTTACAGCGACCAGGTCTCAAAACCAGCCCCGTGACAGCCCATCGGAGACTTCTGGGCGTGGACAGCCAGAACTTGAACGGCATACACACGCTTGGTTTGCCGACCTGGGCATGCTTTGAAGCGCGAGTTTGTTGGCATCCTTTCTCGGCAGTTTGAGATGTCGATATTCTATACAGTAGCACTCTACTTCTCTAAAAAAGATTTTAAACAGTTAAAACGGTTACTATAGATGGCTAACCTACAGTAGGGTTGTGATTGACCAAAAATACTCCCCTTGCTTGTCATTCATCGTCAGATATGCTGCGGCTAGTGTCGTCGGCACGGAGGCGCTTGGGGGCTTCCCTCACCGCCAGCGCGGTGAGCCCAAGAGTGTCTCGCCCGGCGGTGGGTCATGCCTCCTAAGAGAAAGATATCGACATCAACACGAAAGCTGGGACGAGGACGCTACAGTAACTTGAAGATGCTGAGGTTTAGCCACACGCGGCTTGATCTCGAAGAGAAAAACGCGTTCATTCCGAGAACCAGCTGGCTGCCACTCAATACGCTCAAGACGTGAAGGCTGTTGCCTGCGTCACCCCTCAGTGCCTCTCAGTGCTCTTAAGTCATTGACTTACTGTTAGGTTACGAGACCAGAGGTGTGCAGGATGGAGGGTCACAAGGTTGATACCATCCGCTCGCTTAAGTTCGACGGGAAGAACTTCCTTGCGTACAAGGAAGGCCTGAAGGCGGCGCTGCGAGCTCGAAAGTGCTGGAAGATCCTGACCGGAGAGGAGCCGAAACCCGAGAAGGACGGCACTGCAGCGACGAAGAAGAAGCGCAAGGAGTGGCGGCAGAAGCTACTGATGTTGAACGACATCTTGACGAACACGCTGGACGACGTGACGCGAGTCAGGCTCGCTCATCTGAACAAGCCTCAAGCCATGTGGGCCGCACTAGTTGATGATTTCGAAAAGAAGTCTTTTCCAGTGGCGTTGTTCAAGCGAAGAGAGCTGCTGAACGTGGAGTTTGATCCCGATAGTGAATCAATTCGGGACTATATCCACCGAGTGGAGGCAATTCGGCAGGAGCTGACGCTTATGCACGAGGAAGTGTCCGACAAGGAGATGATTACTGCTTTGCTGACTGGACTGGGGGAGAAGTATGAAAGTATGGTCGAAACATTCGACAACCTGGACGACTATTCTCTGCAGCAAGTAAAACTCAAGCTGACGAGTCGTGCGGCCAAGGCCCGCAAAAAAGGGAATGGTCAGGCATCAAATACCGGTTCACAGATCGCACCTGTGCAGTCGGACGATAAGGAAGTGTCGTTCGTCAACAAGAAGAACCGAGTCGTGGAGGTGGTGGGCCAAGCGACGATGTGCTGACATCGACTGCTATAACTGTAGCAAGCCCGGACACGAGTGCAGAGCTCCGAAGCGAGATCAGCAGCAGGGTGGCAAGAAGAAATCGGGCAAATCGAAGAGTAAGCGCCAAAAGCAGCAGAGTTGTTGAAGCCGCCAGGTTTAAGCACCACACCCGTCTGTATCACCGTACGGGTCCTGGGCCTGGGGGGAGGTACCCAAACCAGTTATCCAGTACAATGGTGTGGTCCACTATGTGGATCCTGCTCTAAGCTACCAATACAAGTCCCTTGGCAATCTGCCTTTTAACCCCAAAGACGCCTTCCACCTGAGTGCTCCAACAGATTAAGAGTCTTGTCTGTCTCTGATGGACTAGCACGGCACCTCGAGAGCACGACCTTCGCGCTGTCCAACAAGAGTGATGATGATACCTGTGATGATCTTCCTGGCTACTACAATCCAAGTAAGTCTGGCGGCAAGAAGAACAAGCCTGCGAACATGATCGAAGTAGTGGAAGAGAAGCCGATGCCGTGCTTCGCTAACGCGACGGTGCAAAATGCATCGGGCACCAGTTTTTCATCCCGTTTGTGCTGGACAACGCATCTGGCGTGAATATATGTGGATGCAGAGAGGCATTTGTGTCTCTTACGTCAGATTGTCATACTGTGATGAAGTGGTTTGATAATTCGACCCGCAAGAAAGCACAGATGCAGGGACAGATCAAGTTCGCGATCGTGGATGCGCACACGAAGACTCGAGTGTGGATCGCAGTGGAAGTTCTCTATGTAGAAGGAGCGACGAATCTGCTGTCGCAGCGAATGCTGTACAAGGAGTATGGGTTTTTCGCGCAGACTAGTGAGGACCAGGAGGTGACTACACTGACGCACCGGGTGAAGCACATTACCTGGACGTTTGACATGGTGGGTGAACTCTATCAAACAATGGTAGAAGTCCAGCGTCCACAACCTACGCTGGCCGTATTGCAGACCTCTGCTCAGCCTACCAGAAAGCTTCGGAAGTGGCATCATCGCCTCGCTCTTGCGAACTGGCAGGTGATCAAGGACATGTCATCGAAGGAAATGGTGAGAGGCTTGGAGCTGACGAAAGAGGATCGTAGCGGGAAAGCGCAATGTATCGATTGTGATATGGCCAAAATGAAGAGAATGCCCTTCAAGAAGACGACACCAGAACGTGCAAAGGTGCCGTTCGTCAAAGTTCTGATGGATCTGGGCTTTCTCAGTGTGCCTACGTTGGAGGGTAACACGGTGTACTTGCACCTCATTGATGAGGGATCGAGGTACCAGTGATTGTATGGACAGAAAGCGAAGGAGGAAAATGTGGAGCAGCTGAAGTGCTTTCGTGATGACGTTCGCGCTAGGCACCACAAGGTCGTGAATACTTTCCACTCGGACCAGGGACCTGCGTTTTTCAATCAAGCGGTGGGAGAACAGTGTGCTGGTGAAACCATCCAGATTTTCGCTCATCCGCATACTATGCCTGATTGAAAAAGCGCACGACACTCTGATGAATAAAGTTCGCTCTGTGTTGTATAGTAGTGGTCTTCCTGGAATGTTGTGGGGAGAAGCAGCCAACTATGTGATCGAGACAGGCAATCGGACGAGTAGGAAGGACAATGCAGACCAGGTGACGCCACATGAGAAGATGTTCGGATCAAAGCCGAACGTACGTCATCTACGTCCATTTGGCTGTCTAGCGATCAAGGTCTATCGTAAGGACAAATTGTCGGTGAGAGGAGCGCCCGCCCTGATGGTCGGGTATGCTACGAAGACAAAAGGTTATCGGCTGCTTGACTTGGAGTCGGGTGTGATAACTGAGCATCGGCATGAAAACGTGAAGTTCTACGAAGAGACTACGGTGGAGAGATCGTATGTGGAGAAACTTCTCAATGAAGCTTATCGTTTGCGGAGGCGCCCTACTGTAGACTGTAAAAAGCTCCCATTGGTTCGGTTTCCAGTGGTTGATGTAAATGAGTTGGATCGCAACGATCGTGACTTAGAGCTCAGGCGTGAGTTGGGGATGCAAGAACCGCCTCCTGCAACGAATACACCTGATCAGGAACATAAGAATCAAGAACCTGGGGACGCATCAGATTCAGAAGAGAGTCTTGAAGACAAACCTCCACCGCCAAGAAAGAAGCACCACTTACCAGTTGAAGTGAAGAACCCGCGCAGATCGACGCGTGCTCGGAAGAGACCGACACGGCTAGATGACTTTGTGTCCCCTGTATTCAGCTCATCAGCCTCTGCAACGGCAACTATGAAGATCCAAGTGCCGAAAACCTGGAATGAGATGATGGCTTCGGTGCAAAGAGAGAAGTGGCTTGAAGCCACGAAGGAGGCGTTTCTGGCTCAGCTGGAAAATAGAACTTGGATCCTGGTGCCAAGGCCTAAAGATGAGCATGTACTGAAGTGCAAATGGTTGTGGACACTGAAAGAGAATGAACTGAGAATGTTGCGTTTCAAAGCTCGTTTAATCGTCTTGGGTTGATTCGAGATCTGGGGAATAGATCTTGATGAGACGTTCGCCCCTGTTGTGAGATTCGAGACGTTGAGGCTCGTCTTCTTGTGGGCTGGGAGGACCAAGTCGGTGGTGAAGCAGTTAGACTTCGTGACTACCTTCCTAAATGCACCAACTAAACCGATCATCTGTGGTGTAGCGGGATCGGCCAAAATCTGGTTAAGGCCTGGTCGAGCTTCCCACCAGCGCCCGGACACCGACTAACGGAGGGGGTTGCCCAACGATCCGTGATCGGCTGAACTTGTTCTCACCTTGTGTACCCGTCGGTGGGCTGGATCTGCTCTCTCGGGGCTCCGAAGATGCAGCACTTGGTGAAGATCGAGTGTCTTGGCGTGACGCGGGGATAGTTTGTGGAGCAGCGCGGTAGTCTTCGCTCTGCGTCCGAGTATACGCTCCGATCGAGGGTTCTTCGCTTCGATCGGTCGGCCTGGAGTAGATCCAAGGCCTGCAGTTGCCTTTCCGGGTGTGTTCCTTCCTTTCCTGAGTTGCTTGCCGCTTCCTATAGCGGGATCGAAGTTGATCGAGAGGAGGAACGATCGCCGGCCAAGCACTAATATCCGGTCGATCGAGGACTTGCACACAAAAGATAGATCACTAGAGTAGGTCAAGCTGGCCAATGTATTAATCCAGTCTTAACCGTACCGCTTGTTCACTACCCAAAGTGTCGACGCTGCCGAGGCCAATGTAGTTCCTGGGACTTGGTGACTTGAGGGGACTTGTGGTCTTTGGTGCAAATTCTGCTCTGATTTATGTTTAGCTGGTGTCTCTCTACCGCTACCATCTCATCTCCCATCCTACAACTAAACAACTACTGAATTCTTGTCCTGGCTTCGCCCCCATGTGCTTCCCATCTTGATGATCGGCGATCGGCGATCACGATCAGCCCTCGATCGACGATCCACGATCCACAGTACTCGATCGCGATCAGTCCACTTCGGTCTTCAGCCGTCCCACTCTACGATGTCGCTCGTTGATGTTGCCCTCGCGCATGACGTCCTTCGCCTTCGACACACGCTCTTCGCACCGCGCCACCTGGATCAGTGTGGGACGAGGCATCACCACTCTCCATGTGTCGATCAGCTGTGATCTACCTGGTTCCACACCCCGCCTACGTGCGAGCATCATCCAGGTGCCTCGATCGCTCGTCGAACTTTTTCGACCCCCGCAATCCCAGTCTTATTCACGTCGCCCTTCTCTCGATCGTCGATCCCCTTGAATTTTGGTCGATCTGTTATGCCGCCTTTCTCAGAGAACAAATCTTGTTCTCGCGCTTCTCCACACATCTATATGGAGCAACCTGAGGGCTTTGTGAAGCGTGGTTACGAGAGTTGTGTGTGCCTGTTGAAGAAGCGTATCTATGGGTTACGGCAATCTCCTCGTAACTGAAATATCACGCTGCATCTCGTGCTCATCGAGTTTGGCTTCCACCTGAGCTACAAGGATGAAGGACTGTACTGGATTCGGATTGAGGGCAAACTTGTCCTACTGCCAATCTATGTGGATGATATTCTGCTTGTTGGCAAGGAAGCGGATGTGGACTCCGTAGACAAGGCGTTGACGGAGCGCTTCAAGATGAAGTGTCTAGGAGACGTGAACTACTTGCTTGGACTGCAAATAAAGTACGAGCCTGAGACGCATGTCTCGTTCAAGCAGACGAAGTACATCCAGGACATCATGGCGAAGTTCAAGATGGAGTCCGCGTATCCGGTACGCATTCCGATGACAGTGGACGGGGTGAAGCTTCAAGAAGCTAGCCCGGAGGAGCATGAGAAGTGTAAGAAGCTGGCGTACCGAAGTCTTGTGGGGTGCCTACAGTATCTGGTGAGCGGTTCGCGCCCTGAATTGGGTACTGCTGTGAGAATTTTGAGTAAGTTCCTCAACACGTATGGTGTTGCGCATTGGAGGGCTGCGAAACGAGTACTGCGGTACTTAATCGGAAGCCAGGACATGGGATTGCAGTTTGACTACGAAAAGGCACGCCAATATGACAAGCTACGCATTGCGGTCTACTCTGATGCAAACTTTGCGTCGGAAGGTGGTGATATGAAGTCCGTGAGTGGATTTGCTGTATTCTGCAACGAACAGCTAATCTCCGCGAGATGCTGGAAGCAAGAGACTCTAGCTGAGAGTACTTGTGAGGCCGAGCTGACTGCTGCCAACACTGGGTTGCATGACGCTATCTGGCTAGAACAGCTAGTAGATGAGCTGAGCTTGGAACGAGAAACCACGACGCTGTATTGTGATTCGGCCAGCGCTCGTAAACTGATGAAGCATGCTGAAAAGCATCGCAGGACCAAGCAGCTCAATATTAGTGACCTCAAGATTCGTGAGTACGTGAAGAAGCGGGGAGTCAAGATTGAACCCGTGGCATCGAAAGCGAACGTGGCTGACACAATGACGAAATCTCTACCTCTGGAGGTATTTGAACGGCACAGAGAGAAGCTTGGTGCGCGCACTTGACGAATGATCTCTCGTCGTGAAGGCCGAGAGTGCCGTGGTTCAGCGCAGAGCCAAGCACGAAGAGTTCGGGAGGAGACCAGCCCCGAAGCCGACGATACCGGCACAGACAATGCTGTTGAACAGAGTCGTGGCCGTCGAGGAATCCTAGTTCGCTTCAAGAAGAGAACCCGAGCTAAGATGAAACTGAAAAAGCGTGATCGTCACGATATGTGGCATGAGGATTAGGCAGCAAGGGCTGAAGCAGCTGGATGACGGAAGGCCAGATCCGACAATGTGTGTATTATGCTCAATATGCATGTGGACTGGAAAAAAAATAGTGTAGTGGCATGCGAGGCGTTGGGGTGGTATTTACTGTGTGAAACTGATGCGTTGTTACCATGATGTATGTAGCCAACAAACTGAGCCCTTCGGAGTTGACGTCGAGAAGAGAGTAAGAGAAAGATATCGACATCAACACGAAAGCTAGGACGAAGACGCTCCAGTAAGTTGAAGATACTGAGGTTTAGCCACATGCGGCTTGATCTCGAAGTGAAAAACGCGTTCATTCCGAGAACCCGCTGGCTGCCACTCAATACACTCAAGACGTGAAGGCTGTTGCCTGCGTCACCCCTCAGTGCCTCTCAGTGCTCTTAAGTCATTGACTTACTGTTACCTCCTTCCAGTGCCACCCCCAGGTGCCTCGCTTCTTCTCCTTGAGCCCGTCCGCCAAGTCGAACATGAAGGCCCTCGAAGAGACGAGGAAGAGCTTGACACAGTCCGGAGCGACGTGGCAGGAGGCGGTAATGCCGGCGTATCTCGCGTTCTTCAAGCTCAAACAGCATCTGGTGGTGCCAATCAAGTTTGTTAGGGCTAACGAAGTGAACACCCCGTGTTGCTCGTTGTTTCCAGCGCTAAGATAGTTAAATTCGAGTGACGGATGCCGTATTGCTAGTATAATACTTAGTAATACATACCGTTACCGAACTACGGGAGAACCGGCAAACATGCAAGTATATTGTTTTTTATCAGTCTTCTGTCTACTTAACAGTGGCATGTTCTTGTTTAATGCAGCTTCGAGGCACGTTGAAGCTAAAACTTTGCAGCTATTACATGTAGTATTATCGATGCGTTCATCTATCGTAGTTAGTGTTGACAAGACCGCGACGTTTTTCTTCTATTCCCTGATAAAGGCAAGGCAAGCATGCACTGTTGTTTGACCCATACAATGTTCTCAAATGGGTTCAAGTATTCCTTTTACTCATGCGGTCTTCACCGCCCTCAGTTGAAATAAAGTCCATACCGGTTGCCAAAACACTGCCTCTCAGCCACCAAACGGCCTTGATCTCCGCCATAAAACCCGGGAAATCGGCAGATCTATGGCTTACTTCTAAAAGCGTAATAGTGACAGCGGTGAAGGGTCGAAAAATACTTTGTGTGATAGGCATGTCTGATATTCCAAGGGCGAGCTAAGAATCGATTTTAACCTTACGAGTTTGCAGTACACACAGAGGAACTGCCGGTTTTTCCAATACGTAAACACTACTTCTAGGTGTAATGAAGCTGGTATTATTCCTTGTAAAATCTGTTTGGACGCTTCCTCAGACCCTATATCGATGGCACGGCGTCCATTTCTTCAACCCCAAAAGGTGCCCAAAGTCCCCTAAATTCCCCAAAAAGTTTTCTAGAAAATTAGGGAGCGTTGCGAAGCTGCTTCTCTGGCACCATCGTAAGCACGTCCAGACACCCAGGGGCCATGACCTTCTTGATGTCGTCCGCAGGGATTCGTAGTACGATCAGCTTGCGACGAATGGCTTGTTTCCAATGGAAAAGACAACCGATCAAGTAGGAGTCGCTGAACTGGTCTTTTACAGCAACATGCAGAGCCTGCTCGAAGTCGCAGACAACTGTCTTGGGCGTGCACTTCATCTTGCACTGAATTTGCACCCATCTCAAGATGTACTTGTAAGACCAGTGATCTTTCGACTCACTCAGGACCCAAAAAACACGGCACATACATGTTGTGCGCGCGATCGTGAACCATGATGATCACTGTCTGCTCAAACGGACTGGGAGTTATCTTGAACGTGGCGTCGACAAACAGGCTGACACCTTCATACAGAAGAAGCCGGATGAGGTCAGGATGACCAAATCCCATAATCCGGCAATACTTGTCGTCATTTGAGTAGCCCACGTTGAACTGCAAAAAGTCCCGCTTGTCATCGGCAGACACGAAGCGAACGGGAGCCATCTCAACTGCTTTCGGAGCTCCTCCACCAGTGGCTGCGTCTCTGACACGGTTGATGAGCTGAACCGCTTCACCCTTCTTGAGAAAGTTGAGGCCGCCCACGTCACCATACTGAGCGATGATGACATACCGCACATCCCTCCAGATACGACCTGGTAACTCGTGTTGATGAGTCACACATCGAAGCTCGACCATCTTGCGCATCTCTTCTTGCACATCGCGTTCTTGGAGCTCTTGTCGAGTAGCACACGTGTGCTTGTTTTTCTTGGTGATCTTGCGGGAACCCTTCACAATCAATCGCGCCTTGCACCCCGACTTGGTGTAGCCATTGCACACGTGGTAGCGAGTGTCCTAGTAGTGGTCCTTGTAGTGGTACATGTAGCCGTCTTCGTCATTCATGGTGGCGAAAAGCAAACAGCAACACGCAAGAAAATTTACAACTGAGCTTTATTCATGCTGCTTATATCTTCACGGTAGAGATGCTACGATGTTATGAAGAGGGTAAGAACATTAAGATCTCCCTAAAATATTTTGGGGAGCGCCCAGATAAGAACATGAAGCATGATGTCCCCAAATTATTTTTGGGGAATGTCTAAGGAGCACCATTGTCCCTAATTTTTTGGGGAGTCCTATTTTCAGTCGTTGGTGTGTTGGGGGCGTGCTGCTGAGTAGCAGCACCTCAAATCGATGTATTAAACAGTGGATAGTCTGCGGCCGTGCAGCCTTTGCCCTGGGTGTGGCGGGGCGGGTAATAAAAGACTTGAACAGCTGAGCGCGAATTCGCAAATGAGCGCTCCTGCCTACTCCTACTTGTCCTACAACATCCGTAGAGCCATTGTCCGTTTCCCAACTACCGTCCTCGCGTGGCATCTCAGCCTCACCACTTTTGAAAACTTCTCTTCCGCATGAATCCCCGGAAAACATACCAATCCCCCAAAATCGTATCACTGTATTTCGCGTGACTGATCTAGCTGAGTTATATCTCACCCATCCTATGATGCTCATAGGATGAGAACATTTTAGTGACTGCAAATCTAAAAGTTAATTATCGCTCCTTTAGCTGTTGGGGACAGTTTGGGTAGTTTTTATTTACTTTTCGGGGACAAGCGAAACGGTTTTATTGTAACTCCCCAAAAACTTTTGGGGGATTTTAGGTACGTTTTGGGGATGCAGAAAATTCTCCCGATGGCACAGGCACCACATAGCGACCTTTACGGTCCTATTTGAGAGCGTGAATGTGTTCAAATGGCATTTGAACACAAGTGAGCTCCATGGAAACGCTTTGCTCTTGCCAAAACTTTGCTTTCCTAGTGTAATGCAGGTCTCTTAAATCCGGCACTTCCGAAATCTCTAATCCGGCACCATGCCACTTTTTATCGCCAAGTGCCGGATTTAAGGTGGTCTGTTGTAATGACTTTACGGTACCGCCGCTCTTTCCATGGCCGGAGGCAGCTTGGGGGATGCGTTTGGGTTACACTGTTAAGAATATCCGTGGCTGGAAACCTTGGCGTCAACCGAGACAAGGGTGAATTGGAAGAGTTGGGTTTCGTCCGGGATAATTCTGAATCGGAGGGGAGCGAGCGTGTTATGCCAGCGCTCGAGGCGTTTCACCGAATTCACGGACATTGTCGAGTGCCGTTCATGTTTGACGTGCCATCGGACGAGTCTTGGCCAACACCGTCATGGGGTCTAAAACTTGGGAATTTTGTGGCCGGGATCCGTAGCAAAGGCAATTACTCCGCCTAAGTTTCACGTGACAAAGCTCGATTGGTGGCGTTGGGGTTTGTATGGAACTTCTTTGAGGCGGAGCGGAGTGAGCGTATCATGCCAGCTCTTGAGACGTTCCATCGAATCAACGGGTACTGCCGAGTGCCGAGAGCTTTTGTGGTGCCATCGAATGAGAGCTGGCCAACGTTGTCGTGGGGTCTAAAGCTTGGAAGCGGGATCCGTAGCCAAGGCTATTACTCCGCTCAAGTTGGTCGTGATAAGGATCTCCTAGAGGAGATGGGTTTCGAGTTGAATGTCTATGAGGCAGATTGGAGTACCCGGATCTTGCCTGCGCTGGAGGCTTTCTATCGGATAAAAGGTCACTCTAGAGTGCCACAGGGTTTTGTGGTGCCGTCAGAGTCCTCCTGGCCGATTGAAGTGCAGGGTCTCAGGCTGGGAAGTGCTGTTCACAACATCCGCAGCAGCGGAAGCTACTTTGATCAGTTTGCTCGAGCGATGGAGAGGCTGGAGGCGATCGAATTCGAATTGAACACCGCAGTCTCTAAGTGGATCGAGCGCTTTGAGCCTATTCGAGCAGCTACATGGGCATCGCAACGTGCCGCGCCACTTTGTAGTCCCGTCGAACTCTCCTTGGAAAAAGAAAGACTAGGGCGTCCAGTTGGGCAAACTTGAACCGAGAGGATCAATCACCCAGAAAAAGTCAGTGGGCTCTTTCTAGAACGGAATCGTGTTGGCGAGTTTGCATTTGCTATGTTGGTGCCAAGTAAACATATCAATGTGATGGTTCCTTTTAAAGGTTTTGAGCACATATTTATGTTCTCATATCCAAAGATTTGGTGGACCCAAACGTGTCCGTTGTCGCTCTCAGCTTACCGGCATCCCTTTGTCATCACATACAACCCACCTACACCTATTTACCCTAACCGCACTAACAAGCTGAAACTCGATCTACACTTGGAGCAATGCAAGGCAAGCATGTGCATCTATTTATCTAGCAACAAAACTCTTCGTCGAAGTCGTCATTCGCAGATTTTGGCCTACCGCCTTATCAACGCCAAATAGACAATAAGCTAAGACGCCTGTTTGACCAGCGTTGAACATTTTGACACCCTGAGCTCTATTGCCTTTGGCTGGTAAGCTCCGCAGCAAGTTTAGCGAGGATCTGTCCTTGCCAAGCGGTGTCAATACGGTGCCTACACCCACCGTCTGGGCTTTTCGCTTGTCTGCTCTGCTTGGCTCTGCGTACAGCAGCTCGATGCTGGTGCGACCGCGCTTCCAGCTCTGTGTGAGCGTTTGCCGACTTTGGTTGGGTAGTGTAGGCAGTGATGGCCAAAAATGTATTACAGGTATTGGCATTTACCAATACTTATTGCAATGACATACTGCAAGCTTGCAAGCTATTGCAATACATATTGCAGAGCGCTGCGGAATTGCAATTCTTACTGCAGTCTCAAGCCAACCGAATAAACTCTTCAAACCCTAGTACTTTTCACTTAGAAGCAGGCAAGACTGTCAATGTCAAGATAATAATATTCTAAAACCCAGTTCCGACGGCATATGTGCTATCGGCGACCTCAACGACGACAGAGTAATATGGTTTTAGTATTGCAGTAATTTTTGCAAGAACGACCAGTATTGCAGTTATTATTGCTGGCTGCCTTGGTACTGCGATTCATATTGCTACAGATCGCTTTACCTCCGATGCCTTCCCGTACAGTTTTGGCCATCACTGGTGTAGGGTAGAATTGTTGATGGTGGCAAGGAAGGATATTGTCATGCTTGGACAAGTACTTCGAGCTTCTCGGCAGCCGGGGACGACGTCACCGAGTGCCTTAATGCCATCCTCTCCTTTGCGTCAGGCAAGCGAGGCCACCCGAGTCAGTCCGCAACTGAGCATAATTGCGAATAATAGGCGAGGAGTGCCTGTATGCCATAACAAGTGCTCAGGTGAAAATGCCATTGATTGGCAAATATTAGCCTGTAAGCAGTATGTGGTGACAAAGGGATGCCGGGTATAACCAAGTTTTGCTCGAATGCGCACGCTAAATTTCTGAGACGGCAAGAATCGTTGTTTTTCGTGCTATTACTATCGTCGCAGAATCCTTAAAGTTTTCTCACACTACAGTACGTAGTCGAGTCGACAACATTTGCTGCTTTTACGCACAAATATTTCGGTGATATGCATTCCGATCAGACGGGTGCTGGCTGGTCCAAAACCTGCTCATGGAGGCGTCCGAATCAAGATCCACGTCAATTCCATTTCAGAGCTCCCCCATGATACCGTACGCAACGCGCACTTGATGCGTCATATTCGCGAAAATCTCAACGCAGCAGAGTCACGATGTCTGCGGGCATCGTTCCCATTTCTGCTACTAGTGTGTCTTTACCCAATAAATGGAAGGAGATATTCGGTCTGAAGTTGTCATCTTATGTTGTTTTCTTTCATCTGGCAAGTTTGAACCTAGGGTGGTGCTTGTTGGGTCATTCTCCATTTATCCACGGACAAGACGGAGCTCGACCTCAACCTCTAGCAGGCGGACCACAGCTGACGATGGAGACACCGACGAACGCAGGGCTAAGGCGCAGCGAATCTCCCTACCTGAGGTACCCAACTGCTCGTTGTTCGATGTGTTGAGAACAGCGCCGTCGAGCATTGTTCGAATGTTGACATCCAGAGAAGCATGCAAACTGCTGATCAGTTGCTCTCGTGGTGTCGCCCAAGACGTGCGTGACGCTATTGCCAGTGATGCATTCCCGCTCTACTACGAAGCTAGTGATGTGCACCTGGGTAAGAACCTGCGCGTTAAGTGCTTTGGCGATTGGCATCAACTGGTGCCAGCTCATATCGCAACGAATCACTTCGATTGCACGTGCCCAACGTACGACGACCAGTACAGAACTTTGGTGAACTCGAGCACGTGGTCACTGCCTCGGTCGCCCAGGGCTCGCACGCACTTGCTCGAAGCTGTGCACCTCGTGTACCAAGGCATTCGGCGGCATTGTTTCCAGTATATGCAGCTTCCGACAACAACGATGCGTAGAATGCCGAGCTGGTGGGGTTGGTTTGTTCCTATTGGTGTCTTGCAGCCGGTTGCGTTTTCGCTGGTCACCGCTATGGAGGTGGATCGCCAGAATGACGGCGAAGTTTTGACAAATGATGATGTCGAGAGTATTGACACAGACAATGTCGACGAATTGGCGCGGTTGGTGAATATTGTGGAGCCGGAGCTTGGCTTTCGCTTTTTCAGCACGAGGAGTGACGCACGTGAGGCTGCCAACGTTGTGGAAGCTCACTGGAGGGGGATTGAAGTGGATGCGGTGACCAGTGCAACTGTATGTCGGTACTGTGAGAACTACGAAAAGAGTTTTCTATGTACGCGAACTTTGAACTACCTAAAGACAGACATGTTTACGGCTCATTGCGCTGATGTGTATCAGCCATTGAAGAAGTTCATGCTGCGGTACTTGAAACACGTGCGTTACGTGCGGTCCCCTCGCGGTTGGAATGAAGACGACGAAGAGATTTACGGCTTTAAGCGCCCATTCAGAGATCTCATCGCAGGGTTCACTCCTACAGGAGTTGTCGTCGGAGTGCACTTGGTAGTCCCGGATATTCCAAATGATCGTGATTGAAATCTTTTTGTTAAGGAATGTGCCTACAGAATCTTGAACGAAAGGCATGGTTGGGCTAGTAAAAATGACGTAGATACGTTCAACCGATAGTCTTTAGCCCGAAATCTTGAAATCGTGTACTTCGAAGTACTTTACTACTAAATGATGCGAAAGCATAACTGAACATGTGATTTCGTTGAATTTTCATTTGCTGCGTTATTAGTGATGAAGTACGGCCCGACTTTCAGAGATTAAACTGTGCCAACGCCGTCGCAAAGGCCTGGATCGGAGTGATCGGAGCGCGGAAGTCCAAGTGGAACTTCTTGTCATCCACTTTGCCGAACTGAAGGAAAATGGGCCGTTCGTTGTTCGGCACCTCCCCAGGCCCTGCGCGCACAAGCTGGAAGTTTTTCACGGATGGGACGGAGACGCGACCATTGAAGTTGAGTCGGTAGAAGCCGTTCTCGAACACGGGCTCCTTGTTCTCGAAGACCTGGAGCGACTCCGGTGGCAGCGCCGAGTGAGCCACCGCCATGTCGGCTTCTGTCAAGCTGCGATGGAGATCAATGAGCATAGAGAAGGAGGACAAACTGTCGCCGACTGTCAGGCCCTCGATCTCTTGACGTCGGGAAAGTGGAGGCAGGATGACGGTCAGTCGGCGCGGTTCGGACGAATTGAAGGTGCTGCCGAAGACCATCGCGCCCAGTTCCGTCTTGCGGCTGAAGTTTCCCACAAGGACGCTCTTCTTCTTGGAGAAGTTTGAACGCAGTTTGCCGATGTAATTGCCGCTCTTCTTGGACAGTTTGGACGATAGCGCGACGGAGCGGGTCATGTCGAAGAGGTGGTAGTTGGAGGTGCGGTTCTTCATCTGCTTCTCGGCCATGAGGAGGAGCTGGCCGTTGATGAAGTAGTGATACTGGGAGCTCAGCATGGTCTTCACGCGCAGGATGTGACCTTGGACGAGGTTCGTCTCCGTTCCGGGGAACACAGCGAGCTTGGATAACCGAGACAAATCCACTGTACCCGTTGAAGTCGGCGCAGGAGCTAGGGTAGGGGCAGGAGACGTCGATTCCTTTGAGGATTCATCGTCCGATTCATCTTGCGAGTCTTCTTCATCAGACTGCTGAGAGAGATGTCGGCGTCGGGACGGAGACTCTGGTCGTTCACTAGCTCTTCGAGACTTGTAGGTGTTTTCACTGTCGCTTTCGTCTTCGTCCGAGTCGTCATCGGATGAAAAGGCAGAGCCTCGACTTGCGTCATCCCAAGCGTGTTCCGGCTTGCCCAAGTGTCGGTCGTCTTTGACCTCTGCATCTTTGGCTCCTGGAGACGGTCTCTTCTCGAAAATGGGCTTTCGGTTGTTGTTGTTGTTGTTGTTGTTGTTGTTCTGTTTTGCGTCTGAGTGGGCTTCGTCGCCATCGTCGCCATCAACTGAGAACGGAACGACTTGGTTCTCATCGTCGTTGCTGTCACGGCGAGATACCGCAGGCTTGGTGGCCATTCCTTTGTCACGAGGAGGGAGCGGAGTCAGAACGGGGCGACCGCGAGTAGTCATTGCGCTTGAAACCCACTGACTCAACCGAGTGATAACTTCCTACTGCCCGCCGAAGTTGAAAATGAGCGAAACTACCCCCGGGAACTCTTAGACTGCAACTCACTCTGCTGGACATGGGCTGGTCATGGGAACATGCCTGGCTGAAAATAGTGGGAATCATGGGCGAGATGCCACGGAAAAGCTCCAAAAATTCACTCGGAACGACGACGCTAATGATAGTGATGGGGGTGGTAAACACGCAGGTAAAGCTGGTTGCTCACAGCAGGGGCGAACGATCGAGAACATGAACATGAGTGCCCAGCAGCCAGACAGGGAGTGGATCGAAGCCAGGCGACGCATCCTCGTGGGCTCCATCCTGGCCCCCAGCGACAAGGACCAGTTCATCGAGGCGTCATTCGCCACGCACTTTGGTCGGAACGTCCCTGAGCCTGAATTCTGGACAGCGTTTGAGCAGGCCTGCAGCTTTGCAGCGGAAGGAAAACCGTGGCACACCCCACGCCAACTCATGATCTCGTATTCGCTGCCTCAACAGGTCAACGGCAAAGATGCCCGGGTACGACGGCCAAAACTCTACATGCATTAGTACTTGGACTAACCTTTTTGTTCTGAACAGGGCGAAACGATGATGACTTTGGCCGCAACGTTCGGTCGGGCGAAGGTGGTGAGCATCTTGTGCCAAATCAAAGGCGACCCACGCATCGAGAACGCGAAGGTATCAGCTGACCGTTCCTCTTAATGAACGACAACGCTGAGACTAACACCATCGATAATAGGGGTGGTCTACCGTGCATGTAGCAGCAGCTTACAACCATGTCAACGTCTTAGAAGCGCTACTAAATCTCGGCATGAGCATGAACGAGACAGACTCGCGTTTGGGCTACACCCCACTGCATCTGGCCGCATCGGTTGACAACGTCGAGGTGCTTCGGACACTTCACGATTCGAAGAAAGCAGATTTTTGGAAGAAAGCAAAGAATGTGAGGACATCCGAGCGTGGAATCTCGTTGTATCAATGCTAACTCTGCCCGTTGCTCCAGGGTTTCTCGGTGTTACACGTGGCCTCCACTCACGGGTCTGACAGATGCGTCAAGTTTCTCTCGGAAACGTTTCCGGATATGAAATTCCACGATGACAGCCTGCTGAAGGAGACTCCAGCTCACAAAGCCGCCAAGCACCTTCACCCACACGTCTACCACCATCTAACCTCCCTCGGAGCTCGGGACGATCTGGAAAACTTAGAGGTTAGAACGCGTAATTGTGTAGTGGTAGTTGCTGTAGAACCTAAGCTTCGTATTTGTTTGTATCGGTGTAGGATGACACTGCTCGCGGCATCTCGCTATTCAACACTCGCTACAACTTCTAAATCTCTACTGTATAAATATTAAATGAAGTACGTCTTGGGCTTAGGCCGCGGTCGATTGCTGCGCGGCACTTGACGTCGCGTTCTTGGAGATGAACTTGCGCACCAACTTGTAGCGCAAGTCTTGGGTCGACGCCGGTTTGCACACGTCCACGTGAGTCGCGTCCGAGATCGGGACAAACTCGCCAAAGCCAGGGTTCGCCGACGCTGACGGCACTACCAACGCCTCCACTCCGATCACGGGGAGACGGCAGGGCAAGCCCTCGCCCACGCTCAGGGACGGGATGTTTTTCTCCTCGAAGACCTCCGAGCACCAGTCGTTGAGCATCTCAAGATGCGGCGTGCCGTGCAAGTGCTCGGTCACGGGGTGCTGCGTGATGCGTCGAGGCTTGAAGGTCTGGATCCGTTGGGCAACGGGGCTGCCGTGGTGCGGGACGCCGAAGAAGACGACGCCGTTCACGTTGTTGATGAGCGCCGTCTCGTCGTCCTCCGCCTCCGGGTTGGCCGACTTCAGCAGGACCTGCTTCAACAAGACACCGCCGAGACTGTGCGTCACGAACACCACGGGGCGATCGCCACAGCCGACGCGCGCTGCGTTCAGCTGCGTCAGGATCTCGCTGCCCGTGTCTTCGAAGCACATGGGCTTCCAGACCGAGCCCGAGGCCAGCAACTGCGAGTCGTAGCCGACCGACAGCACTCGCGGGTTCATCCCCTCCTGCTTCATGTCGTCCAGCAGCCATTGCTGGGCCCACGCAGTGCCCTCCTCTTCCCCGCAGGCCCACGTGCTGAATGGACAACCCAGCAACCCGTGCACGAAGACGATGTCGACGTCGTAGTCGCTCTGCTGCGCGCTGGTGCTGCCCGACAGATGCAGCGGGTGGATGCCGTCCAGATACTTGACCTCAGTACTCGAGTCTCTGCCCTTTTGGAGCGAGTTCTGGTACCTTCGGTTGGACCGAGCGCGGTGGGCCATGGCCTCGAGTCGGATGTCGTCCGACTGGGTCCACTTCTCCAGCGCCGCTTCCAGTTGGCCGTCGCTCATGGCGAAGTGCTGCAGCGCCTCGGTCATGTCGTCGCACGCAAACAGGTTGGCCAGCACGCGCGCAGTTTCGCGCTGCACGACGCCGTTCTCCGACTGCAGGAGCAGCTTGAGGATCGGGATGCCGCCGCGACGGACGAGCTCCTCCTGACACTCCTTCCGCTCCATGACGAACGCCAGCGCGCGCAGGGCCTTGGCGTGCGAGGCCTCGTACGACGACGTGTCCGTCTTGAGGCCCTGAATGGGCAACGTACGCGACCGCGCTTCTCGCACACTGCAGGCGCCTTGCGCGACCTCGGGAGGGACTTTGTCCAGCACCGAGTCCAGGACGGCGATGAGCCACTCCTGCACCACTTGGTCCTTGTAGCTGCCGCACGTGGCGATCTGGTCGAGACAGAGCGCGGCCTCGTCGCGGATTCCTTCGTCGCTGCTCTTCAAGAAGGCGGTGAACAGCTCGATCCAGCCGTCGACGTAGCCGTGTCGGAGCACGATGTTGATGTTCTCAATGTCGTCGTCGTACAGCGGCTCGCCGTCCTCCGAGTCGCTCACGAACGAGAGCGCGTCTTGGTCCAGCACGAACGGCGCGTCCGCAGTCGTAGGGGCAGCGAGGCAGCGAATGGCCTCCAAGAGCTTCGCCGTCACGTGACGATCCGAGTCTTCCAGCACCCGAGCTCGCAGGGTATCGAGAGCTCCTGCCTCGACCAGTTGGCGCTGGAGGTCGTGGTCGACCCCCGCCAGTTTGCAGACAATCTCGAACGATGTGCACGCGAGGTCTTCAGACGGCGAGCTCATCCACTGCACCAGCATCTTGGCGCTCTGTTCACGACTCCGCAGGCTCTGAGCCACCGCGACGTCGTTACTGAGCTCGTTGATGAGCCGCGCCGACTGAATCTCCACCAATTCGGAGCGATCTTCGCCAATGTCGATCAACGCGTCCCACAACTTGTCGCTTGCGATGAGTTTGCGTCGCGTCTTGGCCGTGCTGTCGTCGCCGAAGATCACCTTGCGCAGCTTGTAGCGTCTGCTGACTGCTTCGGGTGTGGCCGCCTTGGTCAACCCCCAAAGCGCGAACTCCAAGTACTGGTCGGGCACGTCCGCCACCGCTAGCGACAGTAACGAAGCGAGGTTGGCCGGCCCGAAGTGGCAGTCGTTGCTGTTGAGCGCCACCAGGCGGTGCAGCGCGTCCCCCACGCGCGGGTCGTCGTCGTGCACCTCCGCCAAGTTGAGCAGCGCCTGCTTGCCGTACCTAGTGGCTCGCTCCGCGATGGCTTGCGCGCACTGCGCGTTGGTGGAGAGGACCCCCATGGCGCGATAGAGCTCCTCCTCCAGGTCCTCCTGCAGCGAAAAGCTGTTCTCCTCCGTGTCCGACAACAAGTTCACGAGCATGGCGAAGCTGGAGCTGGCCAGCACCTGGTCGGGGTCCCACCCGCTCGTCTCGGGCGAGAGCTGCTGCAGCCACTTGACGAGGTTCTGGTACACGAGGCTGCTCTTGACGGCGGCCTCGAGCACCTCCTTGCCCGCCTCCATGGTCGGGTACGGCGTCGTGAGCGCCTGGCGACTCGAGGTCACGGACGCGGACGAGAGCCAGCACGCCACGTCGCGCACGAAGCTCTGCTGCAGCCCCAGCTCTTGTCTCGACGTGGCCTTTAGCGTGCGCGAGCGGGGCTTCCTGGTCAAGTGGCGCTTCATGCTGCGACTTCCGGTATTGGAGTGGACATCCGACTGTGGAGCTGGGACTTTGACGGGTTTGCCCTCGTCGCCGAGGTACATGAAGCCAGCGCTGGCGCTGACTCCGGCGCCGGCCAGCAGGAACAACGGGCGCTTGGCGACGTGCAGCATCTTGTGCAAGTCGCGGAATGAGACCGGAACGCTATTGTAGCTCTAGCGGAGTAACGGTTCGGGCGGCATAGTGTGGGCAAGTGCAATTGGTTTCGCATGGCAGAGATAAGCGACGCGATGTGACGGAAAACACATGGGGAATCTGACGAGGAGCAGGGCGACAGCGCACACTGCGGGGCGTCGAATCTGCACCGCCACCCGCAGTTTGGCCGGTGTCAAAGCCCCACACACACCCGTACAGACATGACAAGGTGCGATGGAGCTTGTCAACACCTTATCGGCTGGCATCGATCGCATAGGCCCGTTCGTAAGATGTTGCGCTTGCCCAACGTTACAGCAAGAAACGGCAACATTGAACGAGGAACTTGAGCTCGTGACGTCACCTTCACCAGAGCTATGTACACTTCCGTGTCGGTATCAGATGGCTGTATTTTTTAACATGGCTACATCAACTTCATCTGTAAGTATGTACGTCGACAAGTCCGCGCAGATGTCAATTGGCCACGTGGACAGCGAGCAGCGCGTTCGTTGAAATCCACTGCTCGCTATCATACTGCAGCTTATTCGTACGCGATACGCAGACGCGTGAGGTCGACTGCACTCTCGTCGAACGGATACGCGCCGGGGGCGAGGCGGTCGTTGATCCAGGCGCGCGGGATGCGGACGTCCGTCAGGTACACGCCGCAGAGCACGCCGCCGGGTGTGAAGCCCGCGATGAGGTCGAGCCACTCGTTGCCCTGGAAATTGTCGCCGGCCTCGTTCCACCCGCGCGGAGGACGCACGTAGCGCACGTGCTGCAAGTGGCGCGCCATAAACTTCTTGAGCGGCTGGTACACGTCGCGGCAGTGCTGGCGCATCAGAAACTCGTACTCGGCCTCTCGGAACTGCGGGTTCAAAGGACCTTCAACCATGCTGCCTGTATTGGCATCGCAAAAGTGGCAGAACGTCGTATCAGTGGCCAAGTCCACGTGAATACTTGTCCAGTGCGCCTCCAGGACGCCCGCAGGACAGCGGCGGTGGTCGGACGAACGGAAGAAGCGCGAGCCAAAGTCCGTCTCCAATCTGTTCATCAGACGCGTGAGCAGCGCCACATCCTTCACATCGATCGCCTTCTGTTCGCTGTTACTACTCGGCTGTTCCTCCAGCGCCGCTGCGAGAGAGAAGACGACTGGTTGAAGCACGCCATATTGTCGGCGCTCGAAGCTCCGGTCCAGTTGAAGAACCTGGAAGCAGTGCGGCTGGATGCCCCTGTAGACCAAACACATAGCTTCCAGCAAGTGGTGGCGCGCATTGAGCTGCCGAGGCAGCGGGAGGTCGTTTGGCAGTGGATTGGCATTGCGACTGCAGCTGCAGCGATCGAGGTGGCTGGCTACTGTCCTTGAAGGCACCAAGCGATGCCAGTCGCGCATACAGCCCTTGCCGAGATGCACCTCCTCTCGGTCGTAGAAGGTTTTGAGGCCCTGAGTGGCGACGGCATCACGGACGACCTGGGATAAAGAAGGCGAACAATGTACTAGCAGGCTCAATGCATCCTCGGGGGCAAGGTACGATGTAAGACCCAGTGGCAACAGCGCTACGATGTCTGATAGAGAGCATCCGTCGTCTTGAGTGATGGTACTCGTCCTTTTAGCTGGTGCTTTCTGGCTGGTTCCCGCTTGCATCGATAGCTTGTGTTGCTTGAAGGCAAAATCAAAAGTGAGGGAAGATTGTCAACTTCAACAAAATCATGAACGGTCACTGTTCTAGAATTCGAACGCTTTAGTGACCTTGACACGCTTCAACTTAACCTCATGCTCCGCTCCTAGGTACTCACCACAAACTAACTGCGACGGCTAAACGTCCAACACACGAGTAGTGCTGCGAGAGAAATCCAGGAGCAACTTAATGGGTCGATCCATTGCGCACACGAACGAGATACATTAATGTACCTGTTCTGTGTTGCTTCACCTCTCTCTTCGCTTATTCCTCTCCTCTGTGCTCTGCAACGGGCTTAAACGCACCCAGCGCCAGTCTGTCTCGAACCATGCTGCGTGGGATCCGCAGGTCGGTCAAGTACACGCCACAGAGCACTCCAGCAGGCGTGAATCCTGCAATGAGGTCCATCAAGTCGTCGTCTTGGAAGTCGTCGTCCAGACAGTTCCACCCGCGACATGGCTTCATGTAGCGCACGTGCTTGAGATGTCGGAGCATGAACTTCTTCAGCGGTTGATACAGCGCGCTGCAGTGCTGCTGCAGGAGTCTGGCGAACACTTGCGTGCACCTCTCGCAGCGATGTGCGGACGCGTGCGCCGCGATGAACTGGCAGTAGCCGCACGTGGTTTCCCCCGTCTTGGCGTCCACCGTGATACTCCGCCAATGAGCCTCCACGGCGTTCGTCGGTGCGCAGTTCTGCTTCCGTTTACTGAAGAACTGGGTGCCCACGCCCATGTGCACCGCGTCCATGAGTCTCGTGAGCTGGGCCACGTCGTCTGTGTCAATGTCCTCATCGGCCTCAGCCCCCTCCTGCTTGAGCCTACGGGTCTTGGTGCTACATGCATCCTCTTGCTGCTGCAGCTCGAGCGCAGTCGCCAGCGAGAAGACCACGGGCTGCATGGAGCCGAGGCGGGGCGACGCGAACTGGCCGAAGTGCATCTGCAGCACGCCGTCGCACACGTCGCCGAAGCCTTCAGCGGCCAGGCACGCGGCCTCCAGCAGGTGCTCGCGGGCGTTGAGCACTCGGGGCAGCGGCAGATCTTTGGGCGCGTCGGGACTGCAGGTAACGCACGGGCCCTCGCCGCCCTCGGCCTCCGTCGGCACCAGCAGGTGCCAGTCCGAGCTGCAGCGCTGGCCGAAGTGCGCCGACTCGCGCTCGTAGAGGCGGCGGAGCCCCGTGGAGGCCAACGACTCGCGCAGCTCCGCCGACACAAGACGCGCGAGACTGCGCAGCAGCCGCGACAGGTCGCGCGGTGTCAGGAACGGCACCAGCTGCAGGTGCAGCAGCGTCACCAGGTCGGGGAGCGTCGTGGCGTCTGCGGAGGGGGCAGGACGCACGCGCGGCTTCTTGGTCTTAAGGGGCTTCCTGCTCGCTGCACGGCGCTTGGTGTTCCGGCCCATGGCCTCTCTTTGTGTGTGTGTGTGATGATAATGCGGAATGCGGGAGTGATGGTCAAGTTCAACTGTCGACCACCGAAACGTGGCGCCGAAGAAACCGACATACCTGTATTTTGGACCGCTTCTGGTCGATATCAAATGACACTAATGCTCGGAGACCGATAGAAAGGAGCAAAAGAGATGAACAAGTTTTACTTCTTTCAGAACGAGGCGCAGAACTTGGTACTTACTGCGACGTGTAGTTTCAGCTATGGGTTGCTGAGTCCTTGGTACTTACTGCGACGTGTAGTTTCAGCTATGGGTTGCTGAGTCCTCTTATGCATTTCCATTAGCCCTAGCTACATTTGACGGGGTGTTGTGGAGAAGCTGCACTACTGCAAGTAGTGGCTAAAAGCCTTGTATTCAGTCCATTTGTTGGTGGCGGCCTACCAATGGCACTACTTAAGTACTTAGGTAAGGAAGGTACCGTGGCAAGTAAACGATTTCAAGATCAAAGGGCTAAATACCATCGGCTCAACTAGCCCAACCATGCCTTTCGTTTAGTGTGGGACGTTTTGCTGTTAGTAGAATTTACTAGGTGGCAGGGGAATAGTTGTTCGATATATTGCGGTTAAAGTTGATATGAAGTGAATGACAACCTGCACTTTTTAGCATAGAATGTAGAAGAAGAGATTGGCCAAGCAGAGCAGTAAAAGCTGTTCAAACATCAAAGTTCTGATTAACATCCGCTCGTCCTGCTCGAAAATTGGCGTTGCTCGTTCTGCAATCACATGTTAGCAAAATTTACTAGACACTACTAACTAACTGCTATTAACACGTCCAGCTAGTAGGGAGAACACTACTTTCGTTCAAGATTCTGTAGGCACATTCCTTAACAAAAAGGTTTCAATCACGGTCCTTTAGAATGTCTGGGACTACCAAGTGCACTCCGACGAGAACTCCTTCAGGAGTTAACCCTGCGATGAGATCTCTGAATGGGCGCTTGAAGCCGTAAATCTCTTCGTCGTCTTCATTCCAACCGCGAGGGGGCCGCACGTAACGCACGTGCAGCATGAACTTCTTCAATGGCTGATACACATCAGCGCAATGAGCCGTAAACATGTCTGTCTTTAGGTAGTTCAAAGTTCGCGTAAAAAGAAAACTATTTTCGTAGTTCTCACCACACCTTCTACGAAAAGTGGGCTCCCCCTAGTACGAGAGCCAAAAGTCGCACAAAATGGGCTCCCTCATGGTAAGTACGAGATCAAGGAGCCCTGGTTCGGGCTCCCCATTGGCTCCCCTCCAGGGCTCCCCAAATTTAGCTTCAAATCTATGATGGGCTCTTCATAGTAATATCTGATTGGCCAATTTTACCTAGACTTAAGGCGAGCAACTTCGCGTGATCGATGCGCCACGCTAGAAGATCGAGCTCAAAGATCACCACACTAGAAGATCTCGCGCCGCTCATATGTGTACAGCCGCTCCGAGGCCACCCCAGCGTCGCCGATCGTCCTTCCTTCCCCTCAAGGAGAAGCCCTCTTTCCTATGCCTTTTCAGGTTAGAACCTGGAGATACTTCAATGACGGCCAATCATCAGCGAGATATTTAACACAGGTGAGGGGGGAGCCCTTAACGAGGGCTCACAGTTCTGGAGGGCTCCTTTCACTTAACCTATTGAACTCAAGAGCCCAGGAGCCCGGCTCTCCCCAGGGCTCGTAGAAGGTGTGGTTCTCACAGTACCGACATACAGTTGCACCGGTCACCGCATCCACTTCAATCCCCCTCCAGTGAGCTTCCACAACGTTGGCAGCCTCACGTGCGTCACTCCTCGTGCTGAAAAAGCGAAAGCCAAGCTCCGGCTCCACAATATTCATCAACCGCGCCAATTCGTCGACATTGTCTGTGTCAATACTCTCGATATCATCATTTGTCAAAACTTCGCCGTCATTCTGGCGATCCACCTCCATAGCGGTCACCCAGAAAATTTCGAGCTCCAGAGCAATGTGTAGAATCGTTTTGGATAGGTAGTCATACTTCGTAGTACACCTTTCTATTAATATGTGAAGGCTTTCTGCGGATGAGCCTCTTGTCCGTTCCGTTCAGCGCAACAATTCACTTAATCGGAAACATGGTAGGCAACATTTCACTTAATGAGAAACAAGCGGAAACACAGCAACAAGGAGATGTGATTGAGAGCAGCAAGCGCGGCAAATGGCCCCGAGATGGAATTGAACCAGTCGACATGAACAACGTGGAACAGCTCCCAGAATTGGCTGAGCATTGCCGAGGATTGATTTTGTTCAAGATTTTTTGCGCGGTATCGCGGGGAACACTGCAATGGAATCAACGTGATTTTATTGGACACTTCCATGAGCAGGTTTTGCACCATCGGAATGCACATTACCGGAAATTATTGAGAATGAGGAGATCGCGTAAACACAGCAAGTCGATGTCGAGGGAGTGCGCTCGCCGATTCCTGGACGGGCGCCTAAAGCCGGCCATTCCACGAGGGGCCGCTCGTAGCGCATACATTCTCTTCCCCAGGAGAGTTACGAAGACGCACGTGTACGTTGCGATGTCTACGTACTGTAGTTACTTGAACGTACTATTGGCTCAGCACGCTCTCTCCACTTGGAGCTGCGATGTTCGAGTCGAACTTGATCGCCTTCAGCCTTTTCATGACAGTTCCCAGTTTCAGACCCCACGACGGTGTTGGCCAATGCTCATCCGATGGCGCCACAAAATACATGTACTGTGGAACTAAGCTGTCGCTGCTCTCTGAATGTTAGGGTCCTTCTTGGCTGCAGGCACCGCTGGCGAGGTAGATTCCGGTGTCGCAGTAATTATTTTTGAAACTGGCTGTACAAGACTTTCCGTAAAGATGTTGGGCAGACTGAAAAGTAAATGGATGCCCCTAAGAGTATAGGGGGCCCTTCATAGCAGTTGCTACCGTCACTTCACGCCCAAACAATCATCGACCGCAGTGTACTTCATCAAAGGGGGCAACTCAATAGTTTCCCCAGAGATATTCTACTACTCGGCGAAGACCGATTCTCATATTCTTACCAAAACTTGATCCGTTGGTGTCGATGCTGCGGCTAGCTAACCCTCTCTGGGCGATTCTCTCGGCTGTAGCTTCCCCAACTGGACGCCCCAGTCCTTCTCTTCCCAAGGAGAGTTCGACGGTATCGCAAAGTTGCGCGGCACGTTACGATGCCCATGCAGCTGCTCGAATATGACCAACAACGGCTCAACGCGCTCCTTCCACGTGGAGACTGCAATGGTCGCGTCGAATCCGATCGCCTCCAATTTGTCCATTCCTCTAGCAATATGATCAAAGTAGCTGCCGCGGTTGCGGATGCCGGTAACAGCAATCCCCAGCCTGAGACCATGCGCTTCATTCGCGCTCATCAGGCGCGGCGAACTCGAGTTTGGCTCACATCCGAATTCACTCTCCACCCCGCAAGCCGCTACCTGCCGCCCATAGCAACTACAACAGCAACTACAGCCATGCTGGCCCGCAACTCGCTCCGACTACCCAAGGCCGCTGCCGCTGCATCAGCTCGTCCACGCCCGCGCGCGTACTACAGCAGACGCCCGCCACCTCCAAGACGAGCGTGCCGCCGGTCTCCCAGGGCGAGAAGGCCTGGTGCGACATCTACGGTGTGGACTACGAGAAGCAGATCCAGGAGGCGCTGCACGAGTCCCCAAGCAGGTCAACTACCCTGAACCCTGCTGTCAAGGCGCAGAGCAAGACCGATCTTAAAATGTGGCACCATAACCTATTTCAACTAATATCAACTGATATTAACCTAATCCATTGCATGACTGCAGTTGAAGGGTTAGGTTGTATTTATCCAAACCCCCGACCCACCCGACAGAATCGAAAAACCCACCCTTCCTTGCAAAAATATGGGGATTTTCACAACCCTGTGCTTGTGAAACTTTTTATCAAATCAACGTACATTGTCGAGTGCCGTCATATTTTGTGGTGCCATCAGATGAGAGTTTGCCAGCACCGTTATGGGGTCTGAAGCTTTGGGGTATCGTGAACGGGATCAGGTACTTATCCAACCCAAGTTTCGCGCGACAAGACTCGATTGGAGGGGTTGGGCTTTGTGTGGAATTTCTTCGCATGGGCGTGGGGCGAGCGCATCTTGCCATCGCTGGTGACTTTTCATGAAATCTGTGGTCACTGTCGGGTTTCTCAGTCGTTTGTGGTCCCATCAGGACACCTTGGCCGAAACAAGCACATGGCCTCAAGCTAGGAAGTGTCGTGAGCGTATTCCGCATCTGTGGTAGCCACTTTGACCAGATTGCTCGAGCGATGGACTCGTTGGAGGCAATTGGATTCGACTCGAATCCGAGGCTGTACGCGCTCGTTCCACGAGCGCGTTCAGCCGCTCAATGTGCCGCGCTACTTCGTGGTCCCGCCGACTTCTCCTGGGGGTTAGAAGGACTGGGGCGTCCAGTTGGGCAAGCTAGAGTTGAGAGAAGCACACAGGGAGGGTTAGCAGCCGAAGAATCGATACTTTTTGACGAATTTATTCATGTACAGCAATTTCTCTGTGAAAAGATAGCCTTTTCTACATGTAGTGTTCTGGTGCCTCACATTTCTTCGAACATATGCAGGCCCGAGCATTGACGTGGCGCTCCGAAACGCATACTCAGCAAACATGCACAGGGAATGCGGACTGTTGCTGGTTGGGACTCTGAATCGAGACGGACGCTCGACGAGAGGGGCAAGACAGTAATACGAGCAGCAAAAGTTCTTGAAACGCGGCAAATAACTCCGGCAAAAGCGAAAGAAGCTGGAATTGTGAACTGGTTGACAAGGGCAACAGTACGCAACTGGCGAACACTGCCGATGAGGAATTTGGCACAAGGATTTTCGCGGATACGACGAACCAAGCGGGGGGAGCACTGGAACGGGATCGACGCAGATCTTGGCTCGGACACTACGATGCAGGTTTTGTGCCAGCAACTCAACCCCGCTCTTGCTGCAAGGCGCTCCTCCACCGGTAGTGCCGACCTCAACTCCCGCGGTAGATAACCTGGTCATTAACACGTTGAAGTGTCCTCCAAATGTCCTCTGAGACAGGGTAATACTCTTTCCAGTTAAAAACTGTGTAGCCCACACCATTTCCAACTGCCTATCACTTCCATCAATCACTCGGCCAACGCCAACATGGTGCGCATGCGCGAGCCGCAGCGCTTCCCTCTGGGCACGCGCGTGGCCAACCCGCTGGAGGGCCGCACGGGCGAGATCAAGGCCTACGACGCCGACTCGGGTCTCTACTCGCTCGTGTACAGCGACGGCCACCGCGACGAGCTGCCGTTCGCCGAGGCCGACAAGTTCGTGATCCGCAAGACTCCCGAGCAGCAGGCGCAGGAGGCGGCCCAGCACGCCAAGGAGAAGGAGTCGGACCCGAACCAATTCCTGGGCGCCACCGTGACCAAGAGCTCCACCAGCTACGAGGGCAAGACGCTCACGAGCTCGGGCCAGGTGACGCAGTACTTCGCGGACATCAAGCGCTTCCGCGTGCTCTTCTCGGACGGCCTGTACTCGGACCTGACGCTGGAGGAGGTCAAGCAGAACGTCAAGGAGGCAGAGAAGAGGGCGGTAGGTCCAGAGGACGCGGCCCAGTCCCCGTCCAAGAAGAAGAGCAAGCGCCACCACCATCACAAGGACGAGGAGACGGAGCGGCCGCTGAACACGCAGAAGTTCGAGAGCCGCAAGACCGCCTACACCATTTGCCGAGAGGTGCTGGGTATTATCCTGAGTCAGAAGAAGGTGGGCAAGCTCTGCACGGAGAAGCAGAAGGTCATTCTGAACAACAAGGACCTGCAGGTGAGGACGCGCTGTCTGGTTGCGATGTGTGGTGATACGGGTGAAAGAGTAACTTTTGGGGGGCTCTTTGTACTTGATATCTATTAGCCGAAGCGAGCGTTGGAGGCATTTGTGGAGGCGGATGGACTGCACGCGCTGGAGAAGATCCTGAGTAACTGGTTCCGACTCGACAGCACTCGCTCGGGCTCTTTGCTTGTGATGAAGGTGCGGCGCAGGTGTGACGGAAGTCGTCCAGTGGGTCATTAGCTCTAAATTCTCCTGTGTTACTGCTGCTTAGGTTCTGGCGATGCTGCCTGGGGTGAAGGAGGAGCATCTGAGGAAGACCAATATCGCACGCACGTTGCGAGGCATCGAGAAGCTGAGCGCATCAATGAGCAACATCGACGTTGTGTACGGCGATCTGGCGCAGTGGATTATCAAGAAGTGGGCGAGGACGGCGATGAACCGCACCTTTAATCGATCCGCGCGAGACCTGCTTTTGGAGCAGCAGGCCCAGATCAGCCGCGCAGCTACTGACGGGCAAGTGCGTGTTGCCACGCCTTCGACGACAAAGTTGACCCCGCAGCAGAAGGAGACGGCTCGACTGGAGGCTCTGCGAGCAGGAACCGATACCAGTGAAGAATCGAAGACTGATCCGGGCGACGAGGTGGTGGTGTATCTGCCGCAGTTCAACTCGCTGGGATCGGAGGACATGCGGCGCCCCGTGCGCCAAACCCAAGTGGTCGAATCCCTGGCTGAAAGGATTAACCGCGATTATGAGGACTCGGTGAGGAAGCACCAGCCGGACGACGAGGAAGAAAACGATAACGGCGTGACTCGAGGCCGGATGAAGTTCGGAAAGCCGCAGTTGATGCACTTCAGCCAGCACATTCCCGTCGTTGACCTGTTCGCGACAGCGCGAAGTAAACTAGCCGGGGCGAACACCACGCAAGAAAATGGCAGCAGCGGGCCCGCCTCGGCAACAGTTGAAGTCGACGAGAATTCTTCACCAAAGCCTTTGCCTCCGCCCAACAAGACGAAGGTGCCGAAGAAGTCGATCCTCAAAGTACGGGATGAAGTGATCACGCCGGCGTCGCAAGTCACTTGGCAGTGACAAATTTTATGATGGTATTTGCTGGAGGCGTAGCAGATATCCTTATGCCGGCATTTATTCTTTGATTAAGTAGTCAAGCAAGCACTCGACCGAAAAAATACCGAGAAAAGCACGCTTCCTATCTACTGCACAAAGTCGTAGAAGTAGCCACTGATTCCGTAGCGGATGTAGAATGCCAGACCGCAGCATAGTACCTGGAATGCGAGCAGAGCCAGCACGAGGTGGTTCTCCTTCATGGGGCCGAACACGACGAGGAAGAGGTTGATGATGGTGTAGTTGGGCCGCGTGGACTCGGGCGTGATGGTGGACGGCTCGAGCAGGCCGGTCTTGGCGTTGAACTTGGGCAACCGGTGGCGCGGGCAGGGCACGATCTTGAACAACTGCGGGAGCGAGTACAGGAAGTTGAGGACCTGCGGCAGGAAGAAGAGCAGAAGGGTCTTGCTGAAGTGGCCCAGGATGCCGCACACCGCGAAGGTCATGCCGGCGTAGTAGCAAAAGGTGTCGCCGACGAAGACGCGCGACGGGTACCAGTTGTGCTTGAGCAGGCCCAGCGTCGTGGCCAGGTACGGCACCATGAACATGAGCGACAGGTAGTGGAAGTTCTCGTTGTCGTGGCCCAGCAGAATCTGCCACACGTTCTGCACGACCACAGCGGCGCCGATCACGAACGACTGCCCCGCCTCCAGGCCGTTCACGCCGGCGTAAATGTTGATGGCGTTCGTGCAGAAGACCGCCATCATGCCCATGTACAGGTAGTAGAACAGTCCCAGCTCCGCGATCTCTCCGCCTTCACTGAGCGGCACGATCGGGTTGAGCACCGTGTGCAGCAGCGTGTCCTTCTCGAACAGGAAGCGCACGGGCTTGGGCAGCACGACGGCCGTGAGTCCGGCGTAGTTGATCAGCAGCGGCAGCGACGCCAGCGGCGGGAACAGCAGCTTGTGGCGCCAGCGCAGGTCTGACAGGTCGTCCGTGAAGCCCAGCAGGATCATGGACAGGATGCTGACGATGCCCCACGCCATCATGCGCTTCACGTCCGGGTTGTCCACGACCGTGAGCACCGTCACGACCAGCGCCGCGACGTACACGAGTCCCGACACGATGCCAAGCGCCTCCGGACTGCAGACAACATCAGACGCACAGCGGTTAGTGAGTTGCATTGGCCCCAGCGTCGAGCGCGAGATGTCTCGCCCTACATGGGGATATCTCCCGCGGGCGTGCCGCGCTTGCACAGGTCTTTGCCCGAGAGCTTGGCCGGCATGCGGCGGCCCACCACGGGGATGAGCAGCGCCACGGCCGCGTAGCTCACGAGGCCGATGGCCGTCAGGTGCAGCAGGTACATCTTGAGCTCCGCTGGCAGCGGCACCAGCTCGTCCAGCGTCGCCAGCATGGTCAAACGCTCGTCGTACGTGGCAAATTGCTGAATAGGTTTCGGGTCTACCACGTGGCGATAAATCCTACGCTACGGTACGGAATTGATAACAGCGGAGCTAGTCGTGGTGGTAGGATATAGGTTTGTGAAGGTGAAATAGTAAGCGAAACTATAGGAAGGTACGCTGTATCGGTATCCAATTTGACGAGGGATCGGAATAAACATCTTTGTATAAATACGTCGGACCAGTTACTGCATCCCTCGCTGCTGCATGGGCTCGTTGACGGCAATGGCCGGCGGCCGCACGGGCGAGGCAAAGTCGGCCATGGACTTGGAGGTGCTGGAGGACGTGGGCGACGACGGGAACATGTCCGGGTTCTCGCGGCGCGGAGACGACGTGGTGCTGGACGTGGGCGGCGACGGCGGCGGCGGGTGGCGGAAGTGGTTGATCGGCGACGTCGAGTAGGGCCTCGACATGGCCGACATGGTGTCGCTCGGGTGGACGCGCAGCTGCGTGGTCTCGTCCGTCTCGACGGCCACGCTGCCGTCCTCGAGGATGCGCACGTCGTTGGTCACGATGGTCTTGAGCATGAACTTGCCCTGGCACTCGTTGAACTCGAGCACGACCAGCTCACCGTTGTGGAAGTTCTCCAGCTGCTCGAACTCGCTGATGCGGTACTTGAAGTAGCGCGTGAGGATGACGCGGATGGCCACGCCGTGGGTCACCAGCACGTAGTTCTCCTCGGACGTCTTCTCGAACATGCGGTAGAGCGACTCGAGGAAGGACGACACGCGGTCGTACACGTCGGCGGGGGACTCGCCGCTCGGGAAGCGGTAGAAGAAGGAGCCGAAGCGCCGGCGCTGCGCCTTGCACTCGCGGATCTTCATGGGCTCCTGGAAGTTGCCGAAGTCCTGCTCGCGGATGCGCGGCTCCTCGGTCCACGGGATGGACTTGCCCTCGAAGCCCCAGGCCTTGAGGATGCCGCAGAACGTCTCGATCGTGCGCACATACGGCGACACAATAAACCGCTGCTCGCGCGAAACAAGCAAACAAACACACACAGAACACACCGGTTAATACCCGCCGCTCACGCACGCGCTTCAACTCCACGGACATCCTTACCATGGTCTCGTTGCCCACGATTTTCTTGATGGACTCGCCGGCCGCCACCGCCTGCTCGTAGCCGAGCTCCGTGAGGTGCATGGCGTTGTCGGGCACGCGGCCGTACAGCAGCGGGTCGATGTTGCCCTCGGACTCGCCGTGGCGCACGAGGATCAGCCGCTTGGGGAAGCCCTTCTTCTTCTTGCGGCACAGCAGACACGTGAAGCGCCGCATCACGCCGTGCGCCGCGCCCTCCTTGGGGCACGTGGACACGCGGCGCGCGCCCAGCACGAGCCCGAGCGCAGCGCCCGCCAGCGCCGCCGAGACGACGCTCGCCATCAGCGTGGACGTCGAGCAGACCATGCGTTTTGGTGGGTCCGTTAGTCTTAGTCCCTGTGTGTGGCGCTCTTCCCGCGGGTTGTTGCGTTGACTTGCGCTCCTCGCGGCAAATTCGATTGTGGCACGACGGCGGCACGGAGGCCTGGTGAATGTTCGCATTGCGAAGGGGCGGGGGCCAATCAGCGGCCGGGAAAAGTGAGATAAAAACGCTTTTTCGCGTTTTTGGTCGTCATCCCACCCCCGGTGTTTACGGACGGGAGCCGATAAGAACATGCCGAGATTTGTTTAACAAGAGGGCGGAATGGGCGCCGCACCAATACAAGCAATGCAGATCTTCGTGCTTCAGTGGCTGCGGGTGGTGCTCTACTGTACATCTAATGCTGGTGCATGGTGAGAGGGAGAGGTCTTCGAGGGTTTTGCCCTGCGCAGCTGATGCCCCCCACTTCAAGGTGGTACATGTATCGGATCCTTGGTGCTGCAAGTTGCAGGGGGATGCTCGTCTGCAAATTTGCAGACGAGCATTTACAGTGCAAATCGGTTCTTAGAACCAGACCTGCAGAAATATCGTTGAAGCAAGTCGGTCACCTCATGTGTAGTGAAGATGGAGCCTGGGGGTCAAAGTATGTTGATGAATTTCGCGCAGAAGCTCGCAATTCGACTTCAGCGTTAGTCGCGCAGGCATTATTACGGTGTTTAGTTGCTCTAACACAGATAGCCGCGTTTTCCACGTTGGGCGCACCCCGTCGAATTGTACCAAGTGTCAGACCGAATACAGAACGTAGAGCAAGATCCATACAAACTCCTGTAGCTGAACAACTGCAAGACGCGCGCTAGCTTTGTGGCTCGAGCAAAATCCACATGTTGGCAGAACGATATTGCGAGGCTACAAGAATCTGCACATTAGCGACTCGTACCGCTATAACGAGTCGCTATAGGTTCGCATTAGTTGTAGGATTTTCATCTCGAGGTCGTTATCTCGAGGTGGAAGTCTCGGTATCCTGTGCGGTACTTGCCAAATGGAACTCCCACTGTCGAGTGTCGTTTGGCGCGGCAATCGGCACCAACGGCTCAACTAGGCCCATTCCACACTTGGGGCTTGGTCGAGTCTGCTGTGCGGACTTCGTGCGAGGCACCCGATGAATCGGTGGCTGCAGTGTGCGAGCCCCCGCATCCAGTGGTGCTGCCGTGGATATGACCGTCACAATCATTGTCGATTCTTCCGCCGTGAAAAAAATGTGAGGCGACACCACCGGACGATGGCATCGCGTGTTTCTGCTGAGACTGCGAGCCAGTGTCAGGGCAATACGGAGCCGCACGTTTCGCGACTGGCGCTTGAGTTGCATGCCCTCGGTGTGGGCTGCTCATTCGCGCTCGCATCGAAAGCTGCTTCTTGCCTGGGATCTACCTACGCCCGTGCAATACGACGACGCTACGTATCTTAGCAAGCGGCCCGCTCGTGGTCGAAGCAGAAACAGCCGTTTCGACCGCCAGGTTGCCCCTGTCAATTGACGCGGGGCTTGCCGCGCCGTGCTGGCCGATGCCACGACATCGAGCGCTATTGTCGTCATGCAAGGGCTTCTCGTCGCGCGTGGCGTGGCCCCGTCTGCAGTGTTGGCACTGAGCGGATTCAAGGCTCGTAACGTGCGTCGCTCTGAGCAAGGAGTTGTAAGTGGAGGCTCCTCCCATCGGGCCATCTTGGCCGGGTAAGATGGCGAGCTGCCAGCAGGAAGGCAGGCCTGGGACTGGTCTGCTGCCATGCCTATTTCAGCCTGCTCTGCTCTATTTTTCGACGGACGGACGGACGCCACGTGAAGCCATCTGCTGAAAGTCTCCAGTGCTGAATTGCACCGTTCGAACACCGACCTCGATGCTGTCTCGAGTGTCTGCTGGAGACGTGCGTCCTGACCACAAGCACCATGCTCAGGGCATCGAGTCCCCGGTAGCAGTCGTCCCGCATGCAGATGCATTGGGTCGACGCCACTCCGTGTGCAGCAGCCTCGCGTCCATCTCCGCTACGTCGACAGCCGTTGCAGGATACGCGGACCCGAACGCCAAGGGTTCCGGTGCATGGCCTTGTGAAACGAGAAGAGAGCTGCCGATCTTGCGCGCGCAGTACGTGGCACGCGGCGTTCGAGTGTTGTCTGGCTCGAGGTGGAGACTCAACCGGTTCCAGGAACGCATCATTGTGCTGCGAGCGGGAGCGGAGCCGACGCTTGCGGTGTACGCTGCGGATGGAGAGGCTGCCTTTGAGGGGGGTCGATCCGAGGTGCCATCAGAGACGACGTACGTGTTGCCGCTGGACACGAAGTGCGAGCTAATAGGGTCGTCGGGTGGAGGGACAAAGTCCTCGTCAGTTACTGGCATCCAGCTGCTGAGCTCGGCGAAGAACTCTGCAGCTTTTCGGCTGAGGATTCGCTTCACTACAGCAGCTGATGCAAGTATCTGGTACTCGATTGTCCGTGAAGCGCTAGCTCACGCGAGGTGGAGTCGAGACGTCAGGCCGGTGCAGCAAGAAGGTCGTGCTCGAGACCGGAGGATTCGCGTTGTGGAGCATATTCACTCATCTCGACGATTCGTGGTCAAAGTCTTAGCAACTTCGGATGAACAAGGAGATTGCCATGAACTCCAGATCCTCCGAAGCCTTTATACATCGTGGTTCGCCCAAGATGTGGGGCTATTGCGCGGGTATCGAGTCGTAGAGACGCCGGAAGAAGAAGTACTTCTGATTATGCCGGAACTTCCAGGGACGACATTGCTACAGTTTCTACGGCAACGTCGAAGGAAGAGTGGTCGGAAGCTCAATGAGGAGGAAGCCCGGCGATTGCTCGAGAAAGTAGCCACTCTGTTGCAAGCCGTGCACAAGTCAGGTGTGGTTCACTGCGATCTGAATCTCGAGAATGTGCTCGTGAGCTCCGATATTTCCCAGGCGTGGCTCATCGACTTTGGTGGGGCGCGCGGTCTGTTGGATGGTAGCAGCTCGTCGGCTCAAGTGATGACGGGGACGCCTGGATACGTAGCACCGGAGCGTGTTCAGGATCCGCTAGCGCTACCGACACCGCAGGCAGATGTATTCAGTCTTGGCATTCTCCTCTTCCAAGCACTAACGGGTCAACACCCGTACCTCAACGCTAGCAAGCGTCCATTGCAGTTGTCGGACTCCCTGTCGTTGGACAGGCCTTGCGCTGAAGCCCTTCTGATAGTGCAGGCTGTGCCACTCGAGTTGAGGGAACTTGTTCGCGAGATGCTCGTAGCAGACCCTCACACGCGAATTGCCCTGGACAAAGTGCTCGAGATTTTAAGAAACTCATCTACCAGCTAGAAGGACAACACACAAACAATTCGTAATTTTACTCTAAGGCAAATTGTTCGTGATTATATCTAGACAGGGGTGAGTCCGGTCGTTCTACACGATATCGCTGGCATCAGCCTTCTCTTCAGAGGTCGTCGACATTTCGACGGATGTGGTGGTGACTGAGCTTGTGATGCTGCCACCTTGAGACGGAACGGTGAACACCTTGCGATAGTCGACGGCTGAGCTACCCGAGCGGAAGAAAAACTCCACCACGTTCATCTTGAATCCGCGATCGAACGGGTTCGACATGGCTCCAGGCGCAGGTTTCTTGCCATCCGTGTCGCCCTTTGATCCGGACGCAGATGGTTTCGTCATGTACGCGTACCGCCGCCAGTTCATCTGCTCGTTGATCGTCAGGTTCTTCTCGATGTTGTTGATGTGCTGGTTCGTCATCATCGCGAGCGCTATGAAAGCCAAGAGAGACCACACCAGCACCATGATAACCAGCAGGTGCTTGCTCACGAGCGACGGAATCTCCACCCAGACGTCCATCGCTGACAAACTGTCGCTGCTGCCACTGCCATCCGCCTTCACCCGCTCGGCGTGGAGGTCGTGCGTGGCATCGGAGAGCACGAGGATGGCCAGCGCGAAGTACACACCCAGAACGATGCAGTGCAGCACCAAGAAGCCGAAGAATGACCTGTGGTTGTTGTACCCGACGCATCGGTTAATCCACGCGCAGTGGTGATCATGCCGAGCGATGCAGATGCCGCACTGACCGCAATGCTTGGAGCGAATAGGCTTCGTGACTAGGCAGGTGCGGCAGAACTTGGTCATGTCTGGCGTCTCGGCGCGCGTCGCCTTCTCCAGCATCGCCTTGACATCCTGCTCGTAGGTGGTGATCATCCCGGGATCGGTCGGGTAGATGAACGCCAGCTTCGCCCACACCACCAAGAACAGCACTTCAACCCCTCCTGCGATGCCGAGAAAGATCGCGTGGCTGTCTGCGAAGTCCTTGTATGTCGAGTCGACCCACAGCACAATGTACAGCATGGTGAAGAGACTCACCCACGCCATCCAGATGCCCATAGCCGACTCGGGCTGGGCTCGCGTCAACGTGTGCAGCCCGACACTCGTCTCGTTCTTCACCTTTTTGCTGCGAGCAGCCATGGCCTCGGTCGGGCCTTGCTCCAACCGCTCGAGCGAGACGTCCAAAGCCACGACCACATTCCGCTTGGATGGATGCAGGTTTGCCACATTCTTGTGTGCAGCGCCGTGGGAATGGCCTCCGTGGCCGTGACCGTGTCCTGGCTGGCGGAACGCCGACAGCGACTTGCCCAGTACAATTAGAATCAGGGGCAGCGCTAGCCACCACACAAGCCAGTAGCTCGTCGACAAGATGGCTAGCAGCAATGCTCCATGCAGCACCGCCACAAGCCCGCGCGTCTTGCGCATGTGCGTGGGCGGGTCCGCCGCCTTCGCCTTGCCCGAGAGCAGGTCCTCCAGCCAGAGCAGGTTGCGCGTCTTGGCGATATCCATACATGTCTTGCCCTCGGCGTCCGCCTCGTTGGCGTCAAAGCCTCGCGTGAGTAGGTACTGCACCATGGGCTTGTACTCGCTCATGCAGGCGTAGTGCAGCACGTTGCGGTGCTGCAGCGAGTACCCGCCCAGCATCGTGGTCCGACCTGGCTGGCCCGTCTTGGCCAGCGCAGCGTTGCGGCGCTGCTCTGCCTCCAGCAAGAAGTGCAGCATCCAGAGGTGGCCCTGCGCGGCGGCGTGGTGGGCCGCCGTGTTGCCGCGCGCGTCTTGCGCCAGCAGATCCACGTACCCGGAGCGCAGCAGCGTGTCCGCCAGCCGCAAGTTGCCGGCGTGGGCCGCTCTCCTGCAGAGCATGGCAAAATCCACACAAATGTCAATAACTCAGTCGTTCCGAAGGCTGCAGAGCTGGGAGAAAGCAGTAAGTTACATGAGCGGCGTCTCGCCCGCGCCGTTCTTGGCGTCCAGCAGCGTCTGCTGCTCGCGGCCCGAGGCCTGCATCTGCTGCATGAGGAAGTGCATCGTGTCGCACGTGTCCTCGGCGCCCGCCGCCGCGTAGTGCGCGAGCGAGTTCCCGCGCTTGTCCCGGGCGGCCAGCAGGTCCGCGGGCTGCGGCTGCACGGCCATGGCCATGCCCCAGAGCAGCACCACGAGCGGGAAGTCCCCGTTGGCCGCCGCGTCGAACGCCGTCTGCCCGTCGTAGTCCACGTCCATCGCGCTGCAAGGTCGTAAATGTAGCTATGTGAAGGCGGAGCTAAAAGAGCTGCAGGTGTAGGTGCCCATGAGACATCAGATTACCAAACGCTGAGCGATGTGCACCACATTCCCAAAATCCAGGCAACATGTGATGTGCCACACACAAATATCCAAAATCCGTCTCCGATCTTGGATTTTATCCTGGTGAACCAAAGTCGCCACTTGGCACTTCGACATCAAGCTTGACCGCCAGCGGCCACCCATGACGGAGCTGACGCAGCGCAAGGTGGGGCCCTCTCCGGCCTCGTCGCCGACGCATTCGAGCGACGGCAAGGACGCGCGCGCCGTGCGCGTGACCGAGCTCGACACGCGCCCGGTGTGCGCGAACGAGGCGCCGCGGCGCTACGTGCAGCACGGGGAGCAGCTGCTGTCGTCCGGCTCGGGGCGCGTGCCGTCGGCCGCCGGCTGCCTGACGCTGTCCGGCCTGAGCCGCGAGCTGCAGGAGATGTTCCTGCCCGCGGGCTACCCGGACAGCGTGAGCGAGGACTACCTGAGCTTCCAGTTCTGGGACACGCTGCAGGCCATGTGCAGCTACCTGCGCGGCGTGCTGGCCACGCAGAGCGTGCTGCAGAGCGTGGGCGTGGGGGACGACAAGGCCACGCCGCTGGCCGCCGCGCTGCAGTGGGTGCTGCGCGACGGCTCGGGCATGATCGGCGGCCTGACGTTCGCCTACCTGGTGGGGCCCAAGTTCGACGTGAACGTCAAGCGCTGGCGGCTCTTCGCCGACGTCATCAACGACGTGGGGCTCACGCTCGACATGGTGGCGCCCTACTTCCCCACGCTCGTGACCGAGGTGTTGTGCGTTTCGAGCGTGTGCAAGACCATGTGCGGCGTGGCCGCGGGCGCCACGCGCTCCTCGCTCATGACGCACTTTGCTAAGAAGGACAACATGGCCGACTGCGCCGCCAAGGAGGGCTCACAGGAGACGGCCGTCAAGCTGTTCGGCCTCATGTTCGGCATGTACTTCGCCAACGCCGTCAACTCGTCGCCTCAGGCGGTCTGGGTGGCGTTCCTGCTGCTTACGGTGATCCACGTGTACGCCAACTACAACGCCGTGTCGTGCCTGTGCATCCCCACGGTCAACTGCTCGCGCGGCCTGATCCTCGTGCGGAGGTTCCTGGCGTCGGGTAATAAGCCGGGCAAGGAGAACGTGGCCGACCATAACGGACGGGTGAGTCATCGGAGGGAGTCATCTTGAAGTTGACGTGATTACGCTTTCATCTGACTGACGTTTATGTTGCTGGATGTTGTTACAGTACTCCATTCGCAGCGTTAACCAGGAGGAGCCGATTTTCAAAGACCCCGTGCTTCCGGTGACGAGCCACTTGGTCATGGGGGCGGAGCTGCACCAGGCCGTCCCGTCCTCGCACGACCTCGACCGACTGCTGCATATTTACAGGTAAGCTGCGCTCCCGATACTCCTTGGCCTGTGTCTCCGCTTTAACTCTTTATATCTGTTGTTATGTTACTGCAGTGACGAGGCCTATTTGCTGACTGTAGTGGGCGACCGCGTGCTCGTCATGTTCCAAGCAGAGGCGAAGCCTAAAGACGAGCTCCGAGCGTTCTTCCAGGCCGTGCTGGTGCTGGAGGCTCTGGCCTCGGTGTCTCCTACTGCGTCGCCGCCTCCGTCTTCGAACGGTGGCACCATCACGCATCAGCCACTGCTCGAGTCTACACTTCGGAAGATGACGGCCGACTTCTCGCTCTTCCATCAAGTGCTGCAGAACAGCGGGTGGCGGACGCATATGTTCCTGCTCAACACTTCAACCTGGCGGATCAAGATCAGCGACCGGACTTGACGACACACGACCGGACTTTTCTTTTACTTTTGCTTTCTTTGAACTCAATACCACGTATGCTCGCTCACCCTGACGTCGATCGCTATTCATATGCGCTGTTCTGTCGTTGGCGGGTAAGATGATAGGTGTGGTCTATCATCTCTGGGATTAGATTGATTGAGGTGTTCTTTACTACTATTTTGGCGATGCTCCCATTGAGAACTATGCCTCGTGGACGAAAGCGCCAAGCAGTTCCAGCCGAGGAGAGGGCTGGGCAGCGTCGAGGAGGGACCAGACAAGCTACTGCCAAGGTGAGGAAGGCAGGTGGTCGTGGAGCTCTTGTTGATTTCCCCGACTTGGTCACGCTTCTCCACTCGCATCTCGCACCGTTGCTGGCCCCGCCAGACGCCAACAGCTTGCTGCTAAGTTGCTCGCGATTACTGAAGCAAGACGTTCGCGATGCAATCGCCACGAAGGCCCTGCTGGCCTACTACGCGAAGGACAGCGCTCACTTTGGGCTTAAATGCCACGGAGACTGGCATCAGCTGATACCTCAATCAGTGCAGGGAGCTCGTGGCCGCTGCGCGTGTAACTGGGATCCGCTCAATGAAGTTGAGGTCGTACCAAGTGAACTTCCGCTCCCAAAGATGCTGGACGCGCGTGCGCATCTGTTGGAGGCTATGTGTTTGCTCTACGAGGGCATTCGGCCTCACTGCTTCAAGGTGCTGCAAATGTTTCGAGGAGGGGGCTACTTTGAAGCTGCCACGTTGCAGCCGATCGTCTTCTCGCTGGTCGAAGGCCTGGAGAAGGAGCGTACAAGCGACGCAAGAGCAGCGATTGACCCTGAAAATACAACGGAGCTGTCAAGATTGCTGGATATTGTGGAGCCTGGCTTCGGTGTGGAGTTTTTCAGCTCCAGGAATGCAAGACGCAGTCCTGCACACGTCTTGGAGGCGCACTGGAGAGGCATCACAGTGGACCCAGAGACTGGATCGACGAGCTGTCAGTTCTGTGAACACTATGCGCAGAGTCCCCTGTTTTACAGAGTGCGAGGGATCCCCACAGAGCAGAACGACGCGCAGCTACGAACGCACTGCGCGGCCGTGTACCAACTGCTGAAGAAGTTCATGCTGAAGCATCTGAAGCACGTCCGCTACGTCCGACCTCCGCGTGGCTGGAACTACGAGCCAAACCGTGGCCACGAGCTGCTCGACCTAATCGCGGGCTTTACTTCAGCTGGGGTGCTCTGCGGCGTCTACGTGACGGACATTGGCGTGCCTTCCAATTGGATCAGAAGCCGCTTGGCTCCAGGGCACTTCGAGTACCCGAGATCAATGCAGGGCGCGACCTGAGGGGGTATTGGACCAGGAGATAAAGCGAAACGTGTAGATTCTGGCGCCAAGCTAGTCGATTTCCTGAATAAATACTTCGTTGCTATTTCGCGACCGCATTCTGCAAGACCATTCCCTTCTCTTCATGGAGTCGCGATCTTCGTCGGTACCAGACCTGTGTCTGCTGATCAAGCAGCGCGACGTCGCTCGGCTCCGCCAAGCGTTGGAAACTCACCCCTCGCTCATCCGACAGCATCGATGGGTAGGTAGGTAGATAGATTATTGGGCTGCACTTGCACTTTCAAAGCATGCCCCCTCACAGTCACTTTGTCGTGTCTAGTCCGGCGTGACAGGGCTGCACCGAGCTGTATCCGAGGGTGACGTTGAGATCGTGCAGCTTCTACTTGCGAACGGAGCCGATGTCAACCAGAGAAGTACCTGGGTAAATGAGCTACTACCAACACTGTCGTCCCCAACAAGTAATGTACTTGTAGTAGTTAACATGTTGGTGAACCTAGGGATGGTACTCGCCGCTGCACTTGGCGTGCAAGGCTGGCTCGGAGGAGATGATTTGGCTGCTGCTCAACCACGGAGCCAACTGGAATCTTCCTGACAAGGTAGGCGTGAATATACAGTATGAGTTCTGAGTAGGCAGTATACCCCACCTCATAGAATGGTGTTGCACCTCAACAGGCCAAGAAGACCCCTCTTCAGTGGGCCGTCCGAGCAGGCAAAGCCTCCATCGCCTACCGCATCGACCAGCAACTGCACGCCAAGGCCAAGCTGGCGCTGCAACAGGCCCGCGAGCAGCAGCAACAGCAACAAAACACTACCAACTCGCCATTAACATTCGCAAAACTTTGCGGATAAATAATACTTTAGCTCGCTCCTTCCCTTCCCTACAATTCCTGCTTCCTACCTACAACGACAAATGGATGAGGCGGCGATGCGAGATTCCCGTGTCTCGCTCTCGTCACCGCCTCCGCTCCTGGCCGCCTGAGCTGCGGTTGCTGGCCGTCAGACTGCTGAAGCTGCCGAAGCTCTTGAGCTGCTGCGGCGTGAAGGCGTTCACGATCGACTTGGGCGTGGCGCCGAACCGCGTCGCGCTGCGGCCGCTGCTGGTGGAGCTCACCTCGTGCTCGCTCGACTGCCGCTCCAGCTGGTGCATGGCCCTCGCCTGGGCCTGGGCCTGGGCCTCCGCCTGCGCCGCCACCTTCTCCGTCTCAAAGGCCTCCAGCAAGTCCGTGTTCTGGAAGTTGTCCACGAACGCGTCGAAGTCGTGCGACGACGAGAACCACGACTTGATCTCCTGGCGCTTCGAGTGGCCGCTGCTGCTCGGGCTCTTCTTCTTCTTGTTGCCCTTGGCCTTGCGCTCCTTCTCGGCGCACAGGCCCAGCAGCTTGTCATAGAACTCCCGGAGCCCACTCACGAACGCCGCGGCGCACTCCGAGTCATAATACTGCCGATCGTCCAGTCCGTTCGGGTCCGAGACTGCCGGCTGGACCCCTGACTGCATCAACTGGTAGTTGCTGTCCGAGTCCGACACGCCGCTGGCTGAGACCGGGGTCATCATCCAGCTCGATCCCGAGCGGCTGCTACTCAGCGCGTCGTCGAAGCTGCGCAGACTGACGTCCATCGGAGGATACGCCCCCGCAGGCGAGCGTATCGACTGCGGAGTCACTACGGACGCTGAAGCGAGCGTCGTTGGCCCCCGATTGGACACGAGCTGCTGCGATGAGTTCCTGCGACTCATCTTCAGGCGCATCTTGTGGCGTTGCTTGGTGATCTTGTCCACGCGCTCCAGGAACTGCCGGCGCCACTTCTTGGGCAATGGCACTGCATTCCGGAACGTCTTGTCCGTCACGAGCGAGTCCACGTCCTCCAGGTCCACCACCACAACGCACGAGCTGAGGAAGCGAGGATCGTTGCCGCACTTCTTGGAGAAAGTTAAGCAGCTCTGCCACGTGTCCGTTGTAGCGCCCATGAGGAACGGGGGTTCTTCCTCCATCGGGTCTGACGTAACCGCGGCTGACAAGCTGTTCCCACCGCCGTTGAGACTATCAGTGCTGCCTCGCGATGAAGAGTACGAGCCCGTGGCGCTACCACTGCCTCCACTGCTCCACGCGCGCCAATCGTGCGACAGCATGGAGAACGACCTTCGGCTCTTCGGTCGAGCCGCCAGCTCCGCCTGTGCCTGCTGAAACGCAGCGTCATGGAGGAATCGCCAAGACGACACGGGCACGAACGGCAGGAACGTGTGCTGCCACCGGAACGGCTCCAGCAGCTTCAGCAGACTCGTGGTCACCTCTTGGATCTGCGGGTAGGAATTGCCGACCACCACAACAGAGTTCTCCAGCAGCAACACTCCCAGCAGCTTCACCAAAAGCTTCGCACCGAGCAGCCGCATCGTCCGCAATACGCCGGCGCCTACAGCCGCTTCCTCAGCTTCCATCATGTCATACTCGGACAGATACCATTCCGGCCGCGGGATCTCCTGACGCCACGCACTGGTGTCGCCCTCACGCACGCCGAAGACCTTGAACTGGAGCTTCGGATGCGTCCCGAACGGCGTTCGCACTTCCGGCGCGTAGTCGTAGCCAATCGACAGCACCAGCTGACGGTCTTGAATCAGCGCATGGGAGTTCATCCGCGAGACGTCGAAGTCCAGCATCCCATTCGGGTTGCCAGTGTTCACGGCCGCTGGAACGCGGGTCCCTCCTGGCGTCACAACCGAATCCGTCGAGGCGCTGTCCAGTCCGCCGAAGTAAAGCACCGCAATCTGCTGTGGGTCGAAGGCATCCAGCAACGTCCTCAAGTAGCGCAAGTTACGCGACCTGAACTCCGATGTCTCGATCTTGCCTTCCACGTACTTGGACTTCGCGTCGTGCCACAGATTGAAGATCCACCACAGCTTCTCTGACTGCACTTCATCGAAATCGCACAAGCCGATGGCTCCGTTCGAACTGCTGCCTTCGTCGTGCGCAAATCCATCGCTCCGACCCAGCACGAAGTCATCTCCAGGCGGCAGTGAGCGCAGGTCTCCCAGGTCGATGAACTTTACAGACGACGTACGCTTCATAGAGCTATCGCTGCTCTCTCCCGACTCGGTGAGAACCGGCATGCTCCCCCCCTCATGAGGTCGGCCTTCTCCAGTCCGGGAAAACGGCGCATCGGAGCTCGGAGACGGGTAGTTCGGAACAGCAGGCTGCGGAGCTGAGCGCGATCGCTCTCGAGTATACCGTCGCGGCTTCCGCTCACTAGTCTTCTTCACCACCGCTGTAGTGTGGCCACTGTGGGTGGTGCTGCTGGACTTCCCCGCTGCAGTTGACGCAGAAGGTGGGACGTTCGGTCGCTCACTCAAAGAGGCCAAACCCGTGCGAGGTGTAGCTGAGCTTTTCAGGCCACTCGGAGCACCGTACGAGGCGGAGCCCTCTTGGTACGGCGACAGAGTGTTCGACGCCAGCAGCTCAGAGATCGACGACATCGACTGGTTTTTCTTGTGACCAGCTCGCTTCCCACCGGCTACGCCACCAGCGCTTGGAGATGGCGTCGACACCTGCTTCCCACTGCCGCTCATTTGTGGCGACGGCACAGGGATCACGGCGGAGAATGATGAAGATCTAGAGCTGCTGCCCACACTAGAGACGGACACGCTTGATCCAGACGGCACAGCAGCGGCGGCGGCGGCGAGATTCGACGTAGAGCCACTCGGAGGCAGCCGCTTGTGCGATCTCTGCAACGCCCGGAACGTCTGCAGCTGGTGAACGATGCTGCTCAGGCACATACGCGCACTCAACAGCTCGTCGAGATGCTGGAGCAGCGTTTCTTCGACGTAATCCGGCACGCGCTCGAACTGCTGGATCTGGCATGCCGCCAAGATCAACTGCAGGGTCATAGCTTCCAGCTTGACGATGAATCCTTCGCTGAAGTTCAGGATTGGGACCACGCAAAACCGCCCCTTGTTGAGTCCGCGCGCGTACGGCATCGTGAAGTCGTTGCTGAAGCCAGACGAGTGCAGCATGCTGGCATCCGCCACGTCATGGAAGGCGACGCGCCGGAAGAACACACCCTTCATGATGCAAACGGCCTCCTCCCAGAACGCAGTCGCCTCCTTCAGATGCTTCTCGCTCTTGTACGACGCAATACGCTCCAGCCACACCCACACTTCGCTGCAGAAAATCAATGTTCGCAGGAAGCACGCGGGGTTCGCCACTTGCTCCGCCAGGTTCAACGCAGGACGAAGCAGCTTTTGCGCTTCCAGCAGCACCTTCCGCGTCTTCTCGATGGTATCGTCGCCGCCAAGATCCTCCAGCTCCAGCGCCGCCGATCCCTTACCGGAGCTTCGACGGTGCAAATAGGACTTGAGCATCTCATCATCCATGTTGCTACCCAGCGCAAAGAACGAGCGTTGGATAGGCGCAAGCATGAACGATACGACCTCCAGCAGCACCTTGAGCTGGTACAGACTGTCGTCCAGCACACGATACAAGTCGAACGCCGTCCAGAACGCGTTCTGCGCTTGCTCCTCGGCCTTGTCGACGTCTCGAATACACGTACCAAACATGACCATACGCTCGTGCAGGCGCTGCTTCTCGTCCTTGTTCAAGCCGTACACCGATACACCCAGAGGCTTGAGCATCTCCTCTACCTGCGCCGGAGACACCACGCTGCCAACAAAAGTGGAGCCCATCGAACGTCCTCTTCGAGTCGGTTCTTCGCCATCGCGACGCAGCTCCCACTCGCGCTCCTGCTGTTCGCGACAGAAGGCGCGGAGCACCTTGCCATCCAGAGCATACAGCTGCGCTTGCTTACGAGCGTTGTCGCGGTCGTTCTTCACATGCGCCAACGACAGCCAAGCAAAGGCGTTGCAGTAGTCGCCCAGCTTGAGGTACACCTTGGCGCGGCATACAATGTAACGGAGAGTGAACGACATGTCGAAACAGTAGCGAGCCTCGCTGCCCATGCCGCCCAGGCTTCTGCCACCACCGCTGCTGCTTGTTCCAGGTCCGGTGCCGCTGCTGCTTCCCGGTCCACTGAAGCCCTTGATATTCTCCTGCAGTCGGTCACAAAACGCCGTCGCCTCTCGCTCCATGAGCGAGAACATGTGCCGGCAAATGTCAAACATGCGCATCTTGAGCGCGTCTTCAGCCAGCAGCATACGCAACTGGGTGCGTTTGCCACGCGGCAGTCGAGAGCTGTAGTTCAGGAGGTGCTCAATGACGCGCATGCCTTCCAGACACCGCCCGCTGGAGCGGTACACGTCGCGGACGAGCAAGTGCAGGTTGATATCATGGTTCAGCCACGTGTCCACCTCGCTCGCGTTGCCCGTGCTGCGCGACGACAAGTGGAACGAACCCGAGAGCGACGAAGATACGGAGCTCGACGTCGCTGTCATCATCGTGCCACTGCGGCTGGATGGGGCTTCACTGCTCGAGTAGCTTCCGTTAATGACAGACGACAGGAAGTGTGGCGGCAGCAGGTTCGTGTGGTCGCGCAGGAAATGGCACGATGTTGCCAAGTACTCTTCGGCGCGGGTGAAGTTGCCCTCGCGGATCCAGAGCTTGGTCATCTCCTGCGTTAAATAGACGTACACCGTGATGTTGCCTTGTCGCTGTGCTGCGGCCGTCACCTTCTCGTGCAGTGGCAGCGCTCGATGCACGTCGTCGGCCTCCAGCGTGAGCTTGCACAGAAGTCGATCCAGCTTTTCGTATTCGCAGCCCTGGTTCAGGAAGCTGAACAGCGCGCCTGCTGCTTCCAGACAGAGGATGCCGTACCGGTATTTGTTGTTCTTGATCAAGATGTTGCCCAGACCCTCCAGCGCTTCGCGGCCCAAGTCGGAGAGCAGTCCATCGCTGTTAAATATGCTGAGGTAGGGTACTGTCACGGCCTTGTCGCGGCCGCGCAGTGATGACGCTTTCGACAGCTTCGCCACAGCCTTCTTCGAGCTTGTCTCCAGCAACCGCAACGCTTCATACGCCAACGACTCGGCCACTCGCAGGTTACCGTGAGAAGTGGTGGACGAGACGTGCATCGCAGCCAAAACTGACGCACACTTGGCCTTCACCAGCGAGAACTTCGACGCTGATATCCGCTCGTAGAAGAAGCTCAGCGCCGAGTTACGCGAACGAGCCGATGGCCGTAGCAACTCGAACAGCTTGACGCTCGCGCTCCACCCGCCCAGTCCCTTCGAAAGATCACCACGTTCATATCCACTGTCGCGATAATCTGGATTGGATGAGGACGAGCTACTGCGGCTGTCACGGTTGTGCGGTAGCAGTCCCACCAAAATCGGATCCACGGTCGCCTCGTCGTCTTCGAACTCAAGAAGCTCCTCGAGAGCAGGAAGAGAGATCTCGGCCAACGCACTCTTGCTGTCGTACAGGCTCTGAATATCGCACAAAATGAGCGCCTGCAGACAGATGACGTCCGAGGAGAGAGCGAACTGCCGTGAGTCTTCTGATGGTGCGTTCCGCTTTTCGGGGGGCGACTTGTGGCCCATGTACCGGTTGCTGCTGCGGCTTTCCGGGCTCGTGTTCAGGTGCTGGAACAACGCACCGTAGTACTGGAGGACTTCGTTCACGATCTGCGAGGCCGAGTCGCCCACCACCGGCTCCAGCGGCAGGAACGCAGGCAACTGGTTGCAGATCTGCCACTTGTACTCGTACTCTCCGCTCGCGAAGCCCGCCAGGTGGTGGCACACGTAGCGCAGTTCGATCAGCGCCACGACGTTCGAGTGCTGGGGGAAGGCTTCTGCGCAGTGCACGAGGATGTCCTGGAATTGCTGGATCCAATAAATAGTAGTCTTGTTGCCCTGCGTCGACGCCGATGATGCCGTGGACAGCATGGACAGCGAGAGGTGCGTCGCCAGAGGGACCACGGGCTTGGGGCCGTACAGACGCGCGGCCTCCTGCAGTACCTCAACGCTGCACCCGACCACGAACTCCAAGTCGCTCGGCGACAGATTCTGCGCCCAGTTCTCGTCCGTCATGCCGGTGGTCGACACCTTCTCGAAGTACATGCGCACGAGCTCGCGGTTCTCCTTGTCCTCGCCGAAGTACCGGTAGTGCGTGATCTGCTTGAAGAACGTGTTGACGAACTCGCGGCCGAACGGCAGCGACACGAGCGCGTGGAACTGCTGGTTCTTCAACTGCCTCGGCGGCGGCAGGCGGTTGCGCTCCGTCTCCATGTGATGGGACACCACGGCGCAGTCCGGCACCACCAGGTCCGCCAGCCATCGCTCATACTTGTTCTCGGTGAAGCTGGGGAAGTTGGCGCGGTCTCGCTCCAGGTTGCTGAACGTGCTGGACGGCTTGGGGTACCGCTCTATCCTGACGGCGTACGCGGACGAGTTGGCCACCTCCAGCAGCCGCAGCTTGTCCACGAGCGAGTACTCAAACACATTGGACGAGGACGCCGAGGCGGACGTCATACTGGACCGGACGCCGTCCAAGCTGCCGTCCACGCTCGCGCCGGACTGGTGGAAGTCGCTCCGTCTCCTCTGGAAGAGCGGTTCGTCCGACGGCCTGCGCTGCCGGCGCCCCGCAGCTCCGTCCAGGTTGAACGACACACCGTCTGCGCTGTCCACCTCGTCGTCGTCCGGAAAACTCTCGCCGTCCAGCACCTCGTGCAGGTTGGGCAGGAAGAAGTTGCCGTTCTCGGCCCTTCTCCTGGTCGGGTCCATGCTGTCCGACGGCCCCAAGGCTGCGTCCGTCTGCTCATCGAAGCCGAACTCGGCGTCCCAGTCCTCGTCGCTGTCGCTCGCGTCCGGCTGCTGCTGTTGTTGCTGCTGTTCCTGCGCGCGCCCTCCTGATCGGCCCGCGTCCTTGACGGACGAGTACGAGCTGTAGAACAGCGCCCGAGGGTCCTCCTCGTCCGCCTGGTACGCGCCTCCACTATGCCGCGTGGATCCGCCGCTGCCGCTGGACGCGGCCACCTCGCTGCCGCGCCGGTTCCGCGTCTGCGTCTGCGCGCCGTTGGAGCTGCTGCTGCTGCGCCGCTTGTACAGCGTGTCGGCCAGTAGGAACTCGGCGCCGACGCTGTCCTGGCGTCGCCAGCGCGTGCGCGGGCCGGATGCGGCCGCCGGCTCCTGCGCCAGGAAGTCGCTGCTCCAGTCCTCCACCTCGTCCTCCGTAGATGCCGCGAGCCCGACGACCACCTGGTCGCGCGCTGCTGCTCCTGTTGCTGTTGCTGTTGCTGCGGGCTGCGGCCCATGGCTGTGGCTAAGACTATTGCTGTTGCTGCTGCTGATGGCGCTGGCCGAGAGCGCCGCGTGGCCCGCGCTCTTGTGGTGGTAGAGCGTCGCGGCGTGGCGCCGTCCGTGGCCGCTATGCAGCGACGGGGAGGACGCCGACGTGGCCGCCAGACGCCGGTCGTGCGTGTTTGCAGTGGCGGCGGCGCTGCGGGGTGTAGTGGTGGTGGCTGCTGCTGCTGCTGGCGCGGGGGCCTCGCTCTTCTTCTTCTTACTCTGCAGCACGCGCTGCATCTGCCGTCGAATGTGGTCTCGGAGGATGCTGCTGCGTCGGCGGCGAATCAGGCATAAGGCTGGCCGTCCGTCCGTGCGTGCGTAGGGGGCCCCGGTGCTGGCTGCTGGCCGGCCGCTATTATTTCGGGGCGGGGATCGATTGAGCGCCTTCGCTCGCTCCTCCCTCCTCCTCCTTCGGTGGCGGGGGTGCTAAAGTGTCTAGCGCCGAGGCGTGGCTAGCGGCGCTGCATGGGCTGGGCTCGGCGGCGCCCGTAGCCGGCCCGGCCATTCTGTGCAACAAACGTCGACAGTGAAAATTTCGGAGCCCTAATCGTTCATCGCGAAGCGCCCCCAAACCAGTACAAAAGTGGAACAATTAACAAATAGCTCGGGACAGAAATACTCGCTCACACTGATTTAGGATGTTTTCGGTAGTGGGAGCGATCCGTGTACTCCTAGCTATTAGGAAAAGCCGTCCCACTCTGCGGCGAGTCTCTTGGTCCCAAATATAGCCCCCCGCGAAACGGCCGGGTCAACCCAAGTGTAGGTACCGGTGCGTTTTGCCGTCTCCCCATCGACGAGTTGCGCGGAGAGCTCGCCCGCTGCTGTGGCCGATGGCTCCACGTTCCGACGCCCGGGTTTCGCCGCTCGACGTGCAGAGGCTTCGCGCTTCAACTGCGACGACTTCAAAGCAGCTGGCTGGCCGACCCGCTGCCCCAGCGAGCGAAGGCAAATTTCCGCGCCCCTTTTTAAGCCAGCGCAGGTCCTCTAATTGGTGTCCTCCGGCTTTCCGTACAATAGAATTTTGGCCTGAATTTTGAGAGTACCCATCTCGCGGTACGTACACACGCCAACTTCAATTCGCTGGGCAGCGCGCGACCGCGATCGATGGCCGCTTTGGTCCGATCGACCAGTCGGCCATCGCTGCTGGGGGCTGATCCCGTGGCCGCCAGCCGGCTTCGACCCCATGGGGCACCGTTATGACGGCTGCCCGGCTGGCCGAGCGTAATAAGCACTCGCAGGTGGTTTGACAAGCGAATTTTCGGCGTCCTCTGTCCCGCCTCCCACACCAGTCAGGAAGTGTACCTTCTCTTCCGGATTAGTTCCGCTTCGCAAAACCTGAAAATCACATCCAAACGCAAACTTTTCACGAACACGTGTAACTTTAGAAAACTAAACCTTCCCTCTTATATCCGATACACCACGTGGCCGGCCGCTGACGACGTGGCGGGCCGCTGAAGACGTGGCAGACACTTCCTTCTTCGCTTCAAGCCGCGAGGAGCTCAGTTCCCGACCCGCCATGGACGCCGCCGCAGCAGCAGCCGAAGCCCGCGTGAACCTCGTGGTGCGCAACGTGTACACGCCGGCGCAGTCGCTGGCGCTGCGCGTGGACCCGCGCACGCGAGTGGGCGAGCTCAAGCGCCGCCTGAGCCTCGAGTTCCCGCTGAGCCCCGCCGTGGCCGCGCAGAAGCTCATCTTCGGCGGCAAGATCTGCCGCGACGACGAGCCGCTGGCGCAGGTGCTGGCGCAGGTCCAGAGCAGCCACCTCAAGGACGGCGACGCCGGCAGCGACGAGCCCGTGGTGTTCCACCTGCTCGTGAGCCCCACCGCCGGCGCGCGCAAGAGCGCGGAGCTGAATACTACTAGTAGTAGTAAGCTCCAGGCCCACGCGGAGGCGCAGGACTCGCCCAGACCCAGCAGCAGTGAGGCCGCGCAGACGCAGAGCTTCGAGGCGCAGCCGACACCCGCGCCCGCGCCGGCCTCCGAGTCGCCATCGTCGTCGTCTTCGCAGCAGACGCCGTTCCTGTTCGGCCAGACGCCGGCCATGACCCAGCAGCAGCACAACCTGTACAGGCAGAGCATCCTCATGCAGCAGCAGGCCATGGTGCTGCAGCAGATCCAGTACCTGCAGTTCATGCTCGTGCAGCAGCGCCAGCAGCAAGCGTCGACGCCGACCTCCGGCCAGCAGAACCCGTTCGCGGCCCACTACGCGGCGGTACCATACGGCCACTTCTACGGCATGATGCCGCCCCAGATGTTCCCAGCCCAGGCGCGCGCGGACGCCGCGGCACCGCAGGCGGCGGCCCAGGCGCACGCTGCAGCCCCCGCGGCCGCTCATGAACAGGCGCCGGCTGCGGCGGATGCGGCAGCGGACGCGCAGGACCGTCCGATTCTCGTGGAGATGGCCCGTGAAGTTTTCCCGCTGCTGGACTTCAGGATGGCGCTCAAGATGGCCTTCATGCTGTTCATCATCGGCCAGGACACGCCATTGGACCGCATTCTCATGCTCGGACTGCTGTCCTTCATCTCGTACCTGCACATCACCGGCATCTTTGCCAAGATCTACGAAGTGTACAACCGGCGCCGCAGTGCCAATGACGGAGAGGACGCGAACGCAGCAGCAGACCTCAACGCGCCAGGAGCCGCAGCGGCTGCCGGGGCTGCCTTTTCCAACCGCTACGGAATGCTGACGCGCGTGCTGCGCATCTCGGCGGACCGTGGATTTGTGCAGGACGTCAAGTACTTTGTGGTGGGGCTGTTACTGTCGCTGGTGCCGGCGTGGCACCCGCAGCCCATTCAGGGCGCGGCGCCAATGCACGAGAACGCCATCCCGGATGACGTACCTCTCCAGGGTATTTAAAATGTGGATGTGATTTTGAGAACGCTGCGAAGCGAGCGAGAACTCGCGGAGCAGCAGTGTAAACTATTGGAATAGGTAGCAAAAACGTTCAGTATTTGCCGCCAAAGTGGAAGGAGGAGGCGATACAAGGGTACGGATGAATAACAAGGTGTGTGCTTTTTTCTTGCTTCAATTATCCGTTTCCAGGTCTTCATAGGTATGCTAGGATTGATACTTCCGCTAGCAAGTGGGAATCGATTACGCAGAGCCCAGTGGTGCCTTCTTGGTGCGCGAGAAGCTCCTCTTGATAGCGTCGAAGAGCTTCTCCTTCGGTCGACTAAGCCGTCGCTGTCTGACATCCTGGGCAGGACTTGCCAGCTTACTACTAGCTTGCTCCTGTTGCTGTTCCGGGATTTTCTCGAGTTCGGCTTCGGTCACGCCGGTCGTGGCGGTGGAGGTAGTGTCGGGGACATCCTTCACCAAGCTCGTGGCGGGGTCAATGGTCAACTTGTGCTTCGGCTGAACAGCTACGCGGGTGATGATGGTGGGCCTCTTTGCTGGCGATTCCCGGCCCTTGTTTAGGCCGTTGTCCAGCTTCACCGCAACGGAAAGCCGTCGCCGTGGCGTCGATTTGCGAGCCGAGGCTTCAGCTGTAGCAGAGGACTCGGTTGTGATGATTTCAGGCTGCTGAAACTTCGGCACTTCCGCTTCAGAAGTCTCTGGATGAAGCTCTTCCTTGGTGTGCTGGTGCTCGTCGGTAGTCGTGGTTTGTTCGGGTTGCTGGGTCACCAAGACTTCAACTTCCGGTGTTTCAGGATGGAGTTCATGTTTGGTCTGCTGATTCTCGTCGCTTGGAGCGAGGTCATCCTCAGATTGGTTCTCTTCAATTGCTTGCGGTTGTTTGAGAGTCGATTCGAGTTCCTGTTGCTGCGCTTTGGCGGGAGACGGAAGCTGCGGAGTTTCGGACAGAAGCTCCCCATGCGTCTGATCGAGGTCCACACACAACGACACTGGGGCTTGAGTCGCGAAGTAAACACTTTTGATGGCGGCTTCGGTCGCTGTGAGTTGCGGAGACTGTGGATTGGAGCAGCAGTTCTCATTCGTGCAGTCGTCGCGCTTGCACCCTACTGTCAGCATGACAAAGTACGCGTGCACGAGTTGTCGAGCATAGACATAGTCGAGCTCCATGCTCGCACCGCTGGAACCGGCCACGCCCCCGCCCACTTGGTCGTGATCCATGCTGCGACACAGTGAGCCTTGCAACGCTGGACACGATGTGGATGACTCGGAGGGAGTCAAGTACGGAGGAAAGACGTTCACAAGCAAATAGCCTTTTATTAATACACTCGGGCATCTTCGTTCGAAGCATGCTAATCTGGGCATTCACGGAGGCTTCCTCCTAGCGACTATCTGGCTGTGCTCGACACCAAACGTTCACAGCTGAGGCTCGCCGTGCAGCGTCTGCGCCACTTGTGCCCAGTTGTCCAGCGTGGCTAGCGCCTTGCCCGACGTCAGCTGCTTCTTGGCCATCTCGTAGCCGCTCTTGATGCTGTCAGCCAGGCCGTACACGTAGAGCCCAGCGCCGGCGTTGTAGGCGATCGTGTTGCCCACGGGGCACTCGCTCGCGACGCCACCGCTGAACACCTTGCGCAGAATGGTCGCGTTCTCAGTGGCGTCGCCTCCCTTGAGCTGCTCGAGCGTCACCGCCGGAACGCCCACGTCCTCCGGCCGCAGTTCGTAGCGGCGGAACGGCTTCTCGGCGCCCTGACGCACCTCCACGACGTCTGCCGGGCCCATCGAGTTGAGTTCATCCAGGCCGGCGCAGTGCACGACCAGTCCGTGCTCCACGCCGAGGGCCAGCAGCACCTCGCCGAACACGTCCAGCAGCTTGGGCGTGTACACGCCGATGACCACGCGCTTGCATCCGGCGGGGTTGAGCAGCGGGCCGAGGATGTTGAACACGCTGCGGATGCCGATGGCCTTGCGCACGGGCGCCACGTGGCGCATGGCCGGGTGGAAGTGCGGCGCGAACATGAAGGCGATCTGCGCCTCCTCGAGGCACGGGCCGACGTGCTCCGGCTTGAGCATGGGCACGCCCAGCTCCTCCAGCACGTCGGCCGAGCCGGACCTGCTGGACACCGAGCGGTTGCCATGCTTGGCCACCAGCGCGCCGCACGAGGCGGCCAGCACAGCCGCCGCCGTGGACAGGTTGACGGTGTTGGCGCCGTCGCCGCCCGTGCCCACGATGTCGAGCGTCGGGCGCCCGGACTGCATGCAGCACAAGACAAGAAGAGCGTAGCCAAGTGTCAGTTGCAACCTTTTAAACCTTATCAAGCAGCAGCGAGGGACGCACCGAAACGTGCACGCTCACGGCCTCGGAGCGCATGTGGCGGGCGAAGGCCGCGACCTCGGAGGCGCTCTCGCCCTTGGCGGCCAGCAGCGCCAGCAGCACGCCCACGGCCACGGGGTTCTCGGCCGCCTTCTCGGAGGCGATCTGCTGCACGGCGAACGTGGCCTCGGCGTCCGTCAGGTCCTCGCGGCGCGTCAGCTTGGCCAGCAGCGCGCTCAGCTCCATGGTCGTCATGACTTCAGTCCAATGTATGTGTCGGTCTCTTGCGGAGCTCTTGGGGAATGACGTATTGCCCTGAAGGAGACTGAAGCGGTGCCACCAGAAAATTCCCGTCGGTCTTAACATGCAGCGATTTATTGAAAATCAATTTAGCCAATCAAAAATGGTTTATGATGTGATTATTCGTGCAAACGTGGGACTTGAAAAACCAAAGTTGAAGTTTGCGGCTCGTCATCGCGTTGAATGCTTGCTTCAGTTCTACCTGTACCTCTACTCTACCGTCACGCCGCCACCTTCGTACCTGTCGTAAAGTGTCCGGGTGCCAGGTGGTTCTTGATCCATTGGCGCGGAATGCCCACGCTCGTCACGTACACGCCGCAGAGCACGCCGCCCGAGGTGATTCCGGCGATGAGCCCCATGAGTCTCATGCCGTTGGCGGTCCTGGTGTCCCAGCCACGAGGCGGACGCACGTAGCGCACGTGCTTGAGGTGCTGCAGCATGAAGCGCTTCATGGGCTGGTACACTGCCGCGCAGTGGAGACGCATCATCTTGTCCGTGTCGGCGGCGGTCTCGCCCGGGTTTCGGGCGAACAGCGGGCTGTCGTCGTAGTGCTCGCAGAACTGGCACGACGTCGAGCCGCTGCTCGAGTCCACCTCAATGCCTCGCCAGTGTGCCTCCAAGACGTGCTTTGGCTGGTCTTCTGCGTTGCTGGAGCTGAAAAACTGCGAGCCGAACCCAGGATCGACGACGTCCATGAGTCGAGTCAGCGCTGCGGTCGATAATCTCCGCGCACTTGCCCTTCTTTCGGGTGTCTCCGAGACGCTCCATTTCCAGCCCCTCGGCGAGGGAGAACACGACTGGCTGCATCGTGGCGGGCCAAAACTCCGTGCCCCGCACGACTTGCAGCACGTTGAAGCAGTGGGGTTCGATCCCTTTGTAGAGCAGACACATGGCATCGAGTATCTTCGCCCGCGCGTCGAGCATATTGGGAAGCGGCAGCTCCTCTGGCACGAGCTCTTGGTGTGTTCGCAAGTCAAAGTTATAGCCACAAGGGCCACGAGCCCCGCGCGTACTCTGTGGCACCAACTGATGGAAATCCCCCGGGCATTTGTCGCCAAAGTGGACGCCGTCGAACTTGTAATAGTACAGCAGCGCCTCGGTGGCAATAGCGTCGCGAACGTCTTGCTTGAGTGATCTCGAACAGCTCTGGAGGAGGCTGCAGGCATCATCGGGGGCCAACAACAGCGACAGCTGGGCGCTAGTAAGCGACGTCCGCAAATGTAATCGGTCGTAAGCCATTCGAGTTCTTCTTCATCTTGGGCTCCTGTCGCTGGCTTTGAGCTAGCTTTCGTTTCTCGCTGTTGGACATCTGGCAGCAGCAGGTACGCTCACAAACGGTTGTGTTGTCTGGCGCCGCTTGCCTGCTGGGCTATATTGGTCACATTGATCGTTTGGTCCACGAAGAAAGGAATCTTTTGATCTGAAACATCAAACTTGGTAATTAGTTTTTTGTCGTAAACTTGAGACTGTGGTTTGGATTCGACAAGTAACTTGTGCCAAGCTGCGGTTCCTCTATCCCTGACAAAGTGGCCTGGAGCCAAACGGCTTTTGATCCACTGAGTAGGGATCCCGATCGACGTGACGTACACACCACAAAGCACACCGCCACGAGTAAACCCAGCGATCAGGCCAAAGCGTCGAGCCCAACTGTCGGCGGCGGGGTTCCACTATGGACGAGGCTGGACATAGCGGACGTGCTTGAGCTTCTGCAGCATGAGTTTCTTCATAGGCTGGTAAAATTCCGCGCAATGAGCACGCATCATCCCGTCACTGTCGCTATGTGATACGCCATGCTCCCTTACGAAGAGCGTACTCTGCTCGTAGTTCTCGCAGAACTCACACGTCGTCGTACCGCTGCCTTCGTCAAACTGGATCCCTTTCCAGTGCGCCTCCAACACGTTGGCAGGTTCTTCGTCGGAGGCGAAGAAGAAGTGCGTGCCAAACCCCGGTTCGACAGCATTCATCAGGCGTGCTAGCTCCTCGACGTCGTCCGTGTCGATTAGTGTGGGCGTCTCCTCTTCTTTTCTGTAAGCTTCGGCCAGCGAAAACACAACTGGCTGCATGGTAGCAGGCACGCAGGTACTTCCACGATACATCTGCACCACTCTGAAGGGCCGAATTCCTTCGTACAGGAGGCACATGGCTCCCAGCAGTTGTGTTCGAGCATCCAGCACCTTGGGGAGCGGTAGGTCCTCTGGTATGCTGTCCTCTCTGTTTTTGTCATCCCAATTGCACGCACAGCGCCCACGAGCTCCCTGGATGCAAACGGGAATCAACTGGTGCCAGTCACCTCCGCACTTGAGACCAAAGTGCGCGCTGTCGTACTTGTAGTAGTACAGCAACGCCTTGGTGGCGATGCCATCGCGGACGCCTTGGTTCAAGGAGCCAGTGCAGCTGACCAAAAAGTTGTAGGTGTCCTGGGGTTTCAGCATCGGCGCCAGGTGCGTGTGCACGAGCGTCACGATGTCTGGGAACGAAGCCGAGGTGCCGCCTACCTCCGCAGCGGTCGTTCTCTGCTTCTTCATCTTTGTCTGCTGCTGCTGCTGCTGTTGCTGGCCCGCCATAATGCTGTCTGCTGCACGCTTCTCTTCATGCTCCGCGATCTTCACTTCAACCGGATGTCACTCCGTCGAGGGAAAACGGGCACATTTTCGAAACGGTATCTTTCGTCGTCGCGTTGACGCCAGCCTCGGTCGCAGCAATGGCTCCCCCCGCAATGACGACACCCAACGGCAGCGAGTCTCACTTCGCTCGGCGTGCCCCATTGCAGCCCAGTGGCAATGGCAGCCCCCCCTCCGAATCAAAGTCCGATACTGTAGCTTTGACAAGTGTTTTTTATTGTAACTTTACCATTTCCCATCGAGCTGCAACCAGTTAGGTAGTTGCAGCTACGTACTACTGCGTAGTGCGCAGCCCTGCGACCTACGAACTACTATTACCGCACAGCGCGCCGCTTAGTCGCGGGCGTCGAACACGGACAGCAGCAGCTCGCCGTAGTCGCCGCTCACCTCCTCGGCGATGCGCTCGCGCAGCTCCTTGCCGTACTTCTTCTTGTACACGGGCTTGATGTCGCGCAGCACGATGTGGTAGCGCACCACGGCCGAGCTCAGCGCGTTCTCGTCCGAGCCGAAGCCCTTCATGGCGCTCTCGAACAGCTCGGCCAGCAGGTCCAGCGGCTCCGTGATCATGCGGATGAGGAACAGCACGGCCTTCTCGGCGTCGCCGCTGAACTCGTGCGCTGCGGCCTTGTCGAGCGACTCGTTGTACTTCTTCTCGTAGGCGGCCGCCACGTTGCGCAGGTGCTCGGGCGGGCTGGCCACCAGCACGCTCACGAAGCCCTCCTCGTCCGTGCCCATCTTGCCGCGGCCCGTCTTGTACAGCTTCTCCACGTCGGCCTCCACCCTGGCGGCGTTGTGGATGTTGGCGTCGTACGGCACCAGCGCGGCCTGCAGCGACGCCAGGATCACGGTCTGGAAGTCGCCGTGCAGGTCGCTGTCCAGCACGGAGCCCAGGTCCTCGCCGTACGTGTCGTAGTACGTCTTCTTGAGGATGTTGATCTCGACGTTGGTGCGGCCCACGACGATGGGGTAGATGAGGTCCTCCTTCGTGCCGAGGCCCTTGGTGGCCTTGCGCAGGATGCCGGCCTCGGCCTCGGGCAGCGGCGACGCCAGCAGCTTGAGCAGGAACTGGTAGTGGCCCGACGTCTCGTCGTCCACGAGGTCGCGCAGGCTCTGGTTGTGCAGCTCCTTGTAGCGCTTGGCGATGAAGCCGCGCTGCGTGGCGGTCTTGCCGCCGAGAGCCTTGTTCAGCTCCTTCTCCTTGGTGCCGGCGCCCTTGGTGGCCTCGAAGATCTCGTTCACGGCCGAGTCCGTGCCGGCCGGGTACGAGGGCGGCTGGCCGTTCCAGGCGCTGTGCGTGGCGGGCGGGTACAGGTTAAGCATCTTGGTGGGAGGGAGGGAGGGAGGGGGGTTCTTGGCGACTTGCGAGGCAGGAAGCGAATTCGGGAATGACAATCGAGGGCGGCGATGGCATCGAAGATTGGGGCAACTTGAATTGGATACTTGCCCCGTCTCTGAGTGTCAGATCGACTGAATTTTTGAGATCTCCACCGCGTTTTGAGCAATAGCCAACTACGTTGGGACGCGCCGAGGATATCCATCCGCAGTCAGGTAGTAGAGGCCGAGGTTCTGCGGCATTTGGATTGGCTGCGGCGTTGAAGCTTTCTATCGACAGCCGCATATTGTTCGCTGATGTAGCACGACGTCAGGTGCACACGGCAAAGCCGTAGCTCATTTATGCGGGGATGTTCAGAAAGCACGGCTGCCATGTTCAGCATGACGTGCTCAAGTAAGTAAATCAGTCTGCCGCCGCCGCCGCGACCAAATCACCCGAGCAACAACATGTGTCGGCGCGGCTCGTTGATACACCACGTCAGTCGGATTTTGTGGGCGATGCGTTCAGAGAGGCCAGAGCATGTCTCCATCATCTATCTCAGGCTATATTATTCTGCAGGATCTATTTAAATTGCTCACGTATGCCTTTTTAACACGATCAGCCCTGTATTTACGAGATATCCGATACCAGAAGCGTATCCACCGGGAACCCACCCACTTTCGTCACTCGCACATCCATACAAAAACCAAGTCAAACTATAGCACAATTTGAAGTTCGAGTACATGGGAGCGAATTGATGGCGATCTTCCGTCGCCGCCCTCGATTGTCATTCCCGAATTCGCTTCCTGCCTCGCAAGTCGCCAAGAACCCCCCTCCCTCCCTCCCTCCCACCAAGATGCTTAACCTGTACCCGCCCGCCACGCACAGCGCCTGGAACGGCCAGCCGCCCTCGTACCCGGCCGGCACGGACTCGGCCGTGAACGAGATCTTCGAGGCCACCAAGGGCGCCGGCACCAAGGAGAAGGAGCTGAACAAGGCTCTCGGCGGCAAGACCGCCACGCAGCGCGGCTTCATCGCCAAGCGCTACAAGGAGCTGCACAACCAGAGCCTGCGCGACCTCGTGGACGACGAGACGTCGGGCCACTACCAGTTCCTGCTCAAGCTGCTGGCGTCGCCGCTGCCCGAGGCCGAGGCCGGCATCCTGCGCAAGGCCACCAAGGGCCTCGGCACGAAGGAGGACCTCATCTACCCCATCGTCGTGGGCCGCACCAACGTCGAGATCAACATCCTCAAGAAGACGTACTACGACACGTACGGCGAGGACCTGGGCTCCGTGCTGGACAGCGACCTGCACGGCGACTTCCAGACCGTGATCCTGGCGTCGCTGCAGGCCGCGCTGGTGCCGTACGACGCCAACATCCACAACGCCGCCAGGGTGGAGGCCGACGTGGAGAAGCTGTACAAGACGGGCCGCGGCAAGATGGGCACGGACGAGGAGGGCTTCGTGAGCGTGCTGGTGGCCAGCCCGCCCGAGCACCTGCGCAACGTGGCGGCCGCCTACGAGAAGAAGTACAACGAGTCGCTCGACAAGGCCGCGGCGCACGAGTTCAGCGGCGACGCCGAGAAGGCCGTGCTGTTCCTCATCCGCATGATCACGGAGCCGCTGGACCTGCTGGCCGAGCTGTTCGAGAGCGCCATGAAGGGCTTCGGCTCGGACGAGAACGCGCTGAGCTCGGCCGTGGTGCGCTACCACATCGTGCTGCGCGACATCAAGCCCGTGTACAAGAAGAAGTACGGCAAGGAGCTGCGCGAGCGCATCGCCGAGGAGGTGAGCGGCGACTACGGCGAGCTGCTGCTGTCCGTGTTCGACGCCCGCGACTAAGCGGCGCGCTGTGCGGTAATAGTAGTTCGTAGGTCGCAGGGCTGCGCACTACGCAGTAGTACGTAGCTGCAACTACCTAACTGGTTGCAGCTCGATGGGAAATGGTAAAGTTACAATAAAAAACACTTGTCAAAGCTACAGTATCGGACTTTGATTCGGAGGGGGGGCTGCCATTGCCACTGGGCTGCAATGGGGCACGCCGAGTGAAGTGAGACTCGCTGCCGTTGGGTGTCGTCATTGCGGGGGGAGCCATTGCTGCGACCGAGGCTGGCGTCAACGCGACGACGAAAGATACCGTTTCGAAAATGTGCCCGTTTTCCCTCGACGGAGTGACATCCGGTTGAAGTGAAGATCGCGGAGCATGAAGAGAAGCGTGCAGCAGACAGCATTATGGCGGGCCAGCAACAGCAGCAGCAGCAGCAGACAAAGATGAAGAAGCAGAGAACGACCGCTGCGGAGGCAGGCGGCACCTCGGCTTCGTTCCCAGACATCGTGACGCTCGTGCACACGCACCTGGCGCCGATGCTGAAACCCCAGGACACCTACAACTTTTTGGTCAGCTGCACTGGCTCCTTGAACCAAGGCGTCCGCGATGGCATCGCCACCAAGGCGTTGCTGTACTACTACAAGTACGACAGCGCGCACTTTGGTCTCAAGTGCGGAGGTGACTGGCACCAGTTGATTCCCGTTTGCATCCAGGGAGCTCGTGGGCGCTGTGCGTGCAATTGGGATGACAAAACAGAGAGGACAGCATACCAGAGGACCTACCGCTCCCCAAGGTGCTGGATGCTCGAACACAACTGCTGGGAGCCATGTGCCTCCTGTACGAAGGAATTCGGCCCTTCAGAGTGGTGCAGATGTATCGTGGAAGTACCTGCGTGCCTGCTACCATGCAGCCAGTTGTGTTTTCGCTGGCCGAAGCTTACAGAAAAGAAGAGGAGACGCCCACACTAATCGACACGGACGACGTCGAGGAGCTAGCACGCCTGATGAATGCTGTCGAACCGGGGTTTGGCACGCACTTCTTCTTCGCCTCCGACGAAGAACCTGCCAACGTGTTGGAGGCGCACTGGAAAGGGATCCAGTTTGACGAAGGCAGCGGTACGACGACGTGTGAGTTCTGCGAGAACTACGAGCAGAGTACGCTCTTCGTAAGGGAGCATGGCGTATCACATAGCGACAGTGACGGGATGATGCGTGCTCATTGCGCGGAATTTTACCAGCCTATGAAGAAACTCATGCTGCAGAAGCTCAAGCACGTCCGCTATGTCCAGCCTCGTCCATAGTGAAACCCCGCCGCCGACAGTTGGGCTCGACGCTTTGGCCTGATCCCAATGGCGTTTGTAGCCATCTTCAGAAAAAAAATAAGATACACGTCACCAAATGTCACTGTAGTGAATACTTGCAACATAAAACCTACTGAAATATGTGGCGTACACCACCAACACCGCCCCGAGCCGCTCATTACTGCTGGAAGATGTTGCGCGCCGGGTGTCGTGCCGCGCTGCGCCGGCCGCTGCTAGCTTCGCGCCGCTTGTCGTCGCTGGCGGCGTCGCAGGCGGCGTCGCAGGCCATCGCGGGGGAGCGCGCCGTGGACGACGAGAAGTGGATCCGCCTCATGCAGCAGACCAGCCGCCTGGAGACGTCCGTGCTGCTGCCGCTGAACGAGAAGCTGCTGGGTCCGCTGGACCGCAAGCACCGCGAGGAGAAGCTGCCGTCGCTGCCCTTCGTGTTTCTGCTGGGCAACCACTCGTCGGGCAAGTCCTCCTTCATCAACTACCTGCTGCAGCGCGACGTGCAGTCGACGGGCGTGGCCCCCACGGACGACGGCTTCACCATCATCGCGCCCGGCCGCGAAGACCTGGACCAGGACGGCCCAGCGCTCGTGGGCGACCCGGACCTGGGCTTCTCCGGCCTGCGCGTCTACGGCCCGGCGCTCATCCAGCGCACGCAGCTCAAGGTGCGCAAGGGCATCCAGGCCAACTACATGCTCGTGGACAGCCCCGGCATGATCGACTCGCCGCGCAGCCCGCCGCACCACTCGCAGTTCAACTACGGAGGCCCCAGCGGCCGCCTCTCCCCGCAGCAGCAGCAGACCAGCACCTTTAAGGGCCAGGACTCGGACCGAGGATATGAGTTCCCGGAGGTCGTGCGCTGGTACGCGGAGCGCGCCGACGTGATCCTGCTCTTCTTCGACCCGGACAAGCCCGGCACGACGGGCGAGACGCTGTCCATCTTGACTCGCTCGCTGGTCGGCATGGACCACAAGCTGCACCTCGTGCTCAACAAGGTGGACCAGTTCCGCAAGATCCACGACTTCGCGCGCGCCTATGGCTCGCTCTGCTGGAACTTGAGCAAGGTCATTCCGCTCAAGGACTTGCCGCGCATCTACACCATGTGCATCCCTACCAAGGACAACCAGGTGCAGGCGGCGGAAGGACTCGGTGCGTCGATGAAGGACCTGGACGCCATGCGTGAGGAGGTAGTGAGCGAGGTGCAGCGCGCCCCGGAGCGCCGGGTGGACAACCTCATCACCAACCTGTACGACTCGTCGCGGCTGCTCAAGATGCATGCCGAGATCTTCGAGGACCTGCGCGCTCGTTACGCTAGTGAGAAATGGCGGCGCTCAGCCCTCGTGGCGGCGACGTTCGTCGGAGGAAACGCTCTCGCTGCTTCGGCGTTGGCGAGTGGTGTCCCCATCGAGGCGGCTGCGGGACTGTCCGTTGCTAGTGCTCTGGCCTCTGCTGGTGTGGTGTGGCACAACTCGACGGTGATGGCTCAGCTCGAGCGTGACCTGTTGCACGAAGACTCGCTGGGAGAGCTGTTCCGCCGTCGGTATGGCCGTCAGTTAGCTGAAGGAGACGAGTACGTGCTGTCTCTGTGGAAGCGCGTGCTGCCGTCGCTCCAGGTTGCTGCGCACACGCTCGGCTTCAGCAAACTGCCCAAGCTCAAGAGCTCGGAGATCGCTGCACTCGACAACATCGTGAGCAACGAGATCCCCGAGCTGCGTCGGCAGTGCGCTCCTACGGACAGCAGTCTGGCCCACCAGGTTGCCAAGATGTTCCGCAGCTAAGGAAGTCGACACACTGGGAATCTCCAAACACAATATACCGGTCGTGGCAGCAGACTGCCTCGGCCTTCTTTTTGATTGTCTATCTGGTGCCCCAGTTAAAATGCAGTCTAAAACTAGTCGAACGTGATCTTCTTGCCACTGAAGGCAGTCAAGCTGACCTTTTCCTTCTCCTTTTGCTTCTGCTTCGCCAGCCACGACGGGTGTGCAGCCTCCACCGGTGCAGCAGGTGCTGGGGCAGCACGCTGCTTCTGAGGAGCCGCGTCCTTCGATTTCGCACGCGAGTCCCCGCCACGCGACGCCTTCTTGTCTGCCTGCTTGCCCGGCTTAGCCTTAGGCTTGGCCTTCTTCGGTCGCTCGGATAGTCCGTACTTGCCCACCGACGCCGAGTTGTCCTTGTACGGAACGAAGATACCCTTCGCACGGTCCTCCTTGCGCTTAAGCGCCTCCTCCTTGCGGATGGCCTTCATGCGTCGCGCCATCTGACCGGGACGGTTCTTCTTCTTCTTTTCGCCCAGGAACTCGGCGATGTCGTCGTCCGCGCCAGCCATCGTACCGTACTCGTCCATGCCCATATCCAAGTCGTCATTGCCTCCACGACCCGACAGAGAGCCGAGGAAAAGCGACGTTGGCACCACGCCGCTGCGTCCCGTGTTGCCTACCAAGGACTCGTGGCGGCCGCGCTTCAACGCACGCTTCTCCTGCGCGCGGCACTTCTTCTCCGCCTCCTTCTCCTCCTTCTCCACCAACTTCTTGATCGCATCCAGCAGCGGCACAATCTGCTTGTGAGCCAGCACGCGGTCCAACAACCTGTTCTCCAACTCTTCACCCTGCTTAGTCGCCGCATCCTGTTTGGCTTCCTCCTCAGCCTTCTTCTCGGCCTCCTCCTTAGAGGTATCCTGCTGTGTTTCTCCATCCTCCTCCTCAGCAGCAGCAGCCTCAGGCTCCTTCTCGCTCACCGTCTCCGGTTGATCCTGTTCCTGCTTCTCCTCTTGCTCAGAGTCCTGCTCGTCTTCGCTGTCCTGCTCGATGTCACTGTCGCTGCCTTCCTCGTCCCAGTCCTGTGCCTCCTCGTGCTCATGCTCGTGCTCGTTCTCCTCTGAGACCTCGGGCTGCGGCTTGTCCAGCCCCGTCTGCACGCGCGCCCTGGCCACAAGCTTCTGCAGATCCAGCGTCTTGAGCGCTGCGTGCTCGCGCTCGAAGCGCTCGATGCTGTGGCGCAGCTTCTGCTCGCGCTTCTGGCGCTTGGCCTCGTCCGCCACGGGCTCCTCGAGCTGCAGACGCAGCTGCTTCAGCTGCTGCACCGCCTTGCGCACCAGGAACGTGCGCACCTTCTTGGCCTCGCGCTGCAGCAGCGAGCAGCTCTTGTGCACCAGCTTCTCGTGCGCCGAGAAGGCGTCGCCGCGCTTCCGCTTGCCTGCCATGCTCGTTGATCAACTGAACGACTGGCGTCCACCGAATGGATACATTTGTGTGGAGTCCGTAAATTTTGTAAATTCCTTTGGGTAGGTTACATAATGGTACACTGTACCTGTATTGTGAAAGGGTTCTGCTTTTGGAGAGCAGATGGGCAAAAATAGAACATGGCTACACATTGAAGTCACCTTCTTTGGCTGCGCACTAGCCGCTGCGGTAGATAGAAGGAGGAGATAGATGACTGTGAAGACGCCACCGACGCAGCACCGGTCGTCGGCGACTCGGCTGGCCGGAAAGGACATCGCAGGCGCCACGCGCGTAGTGGCCAAGAGCGACCTCGAGCAGATCAAGCAGCGCGCCGTGATCCTCACGGATGCGGCTGCCAGGCAGTTGAAGCAGGAGCGCGAGGCGCAGCAGGCGGCCACGAGACACGAGTCGCAAGAGCGCAAGCGCCGGATGATGGAGAAGGAGATCGCAGTGCGCGCGAGGCGGGAGCAGTCGGCCATGGAGCTGGAGCTCGAGGCCGACCGCAAGGCCCTGCTCACAGGCAACGAAGTGGCCAACAACCAGCACCTCGAGTCGCTGCGGAAGATCAACTCGTTGGCCATGGCGGCCACGGGCTACCAACTCTGCGACGCTCTGAGGGAGCACCAGCAAGAGCGACAGATGATCGAGGCTCGGTACAACAACATCCACGACAGCATCATGGAGCGCGAGCGGCGTCGCGACATCCAGAAGCGCAAGGACGCAGAGGTGGAGGCCCACGCCAAGCGGATGGAGGCGCGAAAAATTCTGGAGGAGCAGATCGCTGATCGAAACAAGAAGGCTATTCGGGAGGAAGAGGCCAAGGCCATTGAGGCACATAAGATCCTCAAGACGTACAAGCAGTACGAGCTGGAGGAGCAGAGGAAGATCGAGCAACAGCGCGAGAAGCAGAAGGAGACGATGCGGCAAGTGGCGCAGACCAACGACCGCATCAAACATATGAAGGAGGAGATGGCCGTCCGGGAGAAGAAAGAAGAGTTGGCGGCGGCGGCCTACCTGCGCAAGAAAGCCCTCGAGGAGGAGGCCAAGCTGCAGGAGCAAGCTCGCATCCGCAAGTCGAAGGAGCTACGAACAGCCAAGCTGCGCGCTCAACAGGAGAAAGCGCAGGACAAGCAGGCGATTCAGGACGAGTTCCGCGCCAAGAAAGCCTATGAAGAGACCGAGAAGAACGCGCGCCTCAAGGAGAAGCGCGACAAAGAGAGGAAGATCGCCATGATGCAGTCGATCCTGCAAGACCGCAAGAAGCAAGAGGCTTTTCACGCAGAGCAGGCTCAGCGGCTGCGGGATCTGGACGCGAGCATGGAGTGGATCGGGCAGAAGCAGGTTGAGCGCGAATACCAGGACTACAAGGCTGCCGAGGCGGCGGCGAAGGAGCGTGATTTCAAACACGGAGATCTGTTACAGCAGCAGATCGAGGCAAACGAGCAGCGTCGCGTGAAGGCCAAGATGGTCGAGCAGAACGACGCCAAGTTCCTCAAGAAGAAGACACTGAAAGAGAGCATTCTAGCTGAAAAGGTGCGGGTCGATACACTGCAGAGGCTACAGAAGAGAGGAGTGCCGGAGCAATATCTTCGAGAACTTAGTCGCATGAACATCAACGAGACCAACGCATAAAAGGATAGGGAGTCATATAAGCTTAGTGAAGTAGGCCATTTATTGCAATGAAGATGGATGCAGATAATCAACTGCAACAAACTCGTGATGTATTATCGTTGCCTTTCGCTGCAGCCGTCGTCACCACGAACGTCCTGCGTGGTGGTCTTTAGTAAAGACTCTTTACGTCTTGGTCACCGTTGCAACTCACCCGCGCATCTGGCAACTCTTTCGTGATGGAGGTCAACGTGACGGTCAAAGATTCGCTACAGTTAGTGAGTGCATGAAAAGACAGTGGCGCTCAGATTCTCCATTATCGCCGCTGGATGCGTGACACCCGTTCAAGACATCACTTTCTCGCTCCTCTGCGCTCTATCGGTACAAACGCCACTTTCTTTTTGGCTCGCAAGAACGCAGGTCCCTGTCCCGTTCAACCGCCATGAGCGCCTGCGCATTGGGCTTATTTGTGCTTGCTGTCGCGTCGGCCTCATCCGCGACTGTCCTCGTGGACGACAGCGTCTGTGTGTGGAGCTCTTCGCTCTCTTTACTCGGCTGCCAGCCTTCCGCGCTGTGCGAGTACAACTACAACGCTGGCGACCTCACGTTGAGCGAGTCCTGCCGCGTCAAGGAAGGCGTCAACTACTACCCGCAGCAGATTCATCTCGCGTTTGCTGGGAGCACGGCTGGGACGGGAATGACGGTGTCGTGGGCCACCTACGAGCAGGTGAACGACAGCTCACTGTGGGTCGGCACTGCCAACAACAGCGACTCGATCAAGATCGTGGGCACGACGATCGAGAGCATCAACGACGACAAGTATCATATGTATCACCACCACGCCACGGTCTCCGGGCTGTCGCCGCACACCAAATACTACTACAAGGTCGGCAGCAAGGCTCAACCAACGTACCAGAGCGACGTGTACGCGTTCATGACGGCGCGATCTGCGTCTGATACCTCGACATTTAATGTGATCATCTACGGAGACGCGGGTGATGGAGATAACTCGGTCGACACGATCAAGCACATGAACTCTCAGACAGCGGAAGATATCGACTTTATCTTCCAGCTCGGAGACATGTCGTACGCCGATGATGACTACCTCGTGGCCTCGCAGGTGGCTGGGTTCTTCTACGAGGAAGTGTACAACAAATGGATGAACTCGTTGGCCCCCGTCATGAGTTCCATCCCGTACATGGTGCTGGTCGGCAACCACGAGGCCGAGTGCCACTCACCTGCATGTCAGCTTTCGCAGACCAAGAAGGACATGCTGGGGAACTACACAGCCTATAACTCGAGGTGGAGGATGCCCTACAAGGAGAGCGGAGGCGCGTTGAATATGTGGCACTCTTTTGACCACGACCCGATCCACTTTACGTCGCTTTCAGCCGAGACGGACTACCGACCAACGCCTACACACTGACCAACAAGAACGGCAACTTTGGTGACCAGTTGGGCTGGCTGGAAAGAGATTTAAAGCAGGCCCACGCCAACCGCGACAACGTGCCGTGGTCATCGTCGGCATGCACCGACCGATCTACGACGTGGACGGCTGTGACGACGACGGCGCGCCGACGGACGATAACCTGCACCTGCAAGAGGCTTTCGAGTCGCTCTTCCTCAAGTACAAGGTGGACGTTGTGGTGGCTGGCCACAGACACTACTACGAGCGACAACTGCCTATCGCAAACAGCTCGGCGGTCATGGACGGCGTATCGAACGACTACAAAGTATACGATAACCCCCAAGCGCCCGTGCATATCTTGACAGGGGCTGCTGGGAACGTCGAGAACTTGCGGGACGCCCCCAAAGGCACCGCGCCGTGGAACGCAGCATACGAGTACTCACACTTTGGCTCCTCCACGCTGGAAGCCAACCGCACAATGTTGTCGTGGAAGTACCTGGCCAGCTCCGGCCTGTCGGTTCAAGACGAGTTCGTCATGTACAAGAGTTTCTAGTAGCAGCAAGTGACGGTAGTGCAGTGCAATCTTTCGTTCACGTAGAGGGGTTGCTTTGTAGCCAACCCTCAAGTCACCGCCCAAAGACTTCGATGAAGATTCTCTCACTGGAGCTAGTCGTGCTCAGCGCTAGGGCTGCAAGCCGTCCGCTCAAGATGAACTAGGTTGGCCACGTTATCGCGCTGATCGTCGATCTCGTAGTATAGCCTTTTGGAATGGTGACGGATCCCTTTGGCTATCTCGTGCTTGGATGCACCTGGCTTCCCGACGAACAGAGAAATGCCCCGGACATCTAAAAAATCAATCAGAAAGACGCGCTGTCCGTCCGTCACAAAATCGTCACTAAGTACGGATCCTACTAAGTACGAGTAGACCCCCTCATACGATATTGCGGGGCCGCAGGACCCGCCCCAGCCTCTGTAGTACTAACCTGACATTGAGAGTAGTGCAGCGAGCCGACGAGGCGAGCGGAACGGGTCCGCCACTGCCGTAGTGAAGCGTAGGCAGCCTGCTCCAGTAGCGGAGCGAGCATAGCGAGTGAAGCGCCAACTAACTAAAAATCCCCGCCGCGGAGCGGCGGCGCTCGGCTAGTGCTTGTCAAGTGGCGGTCAAGGCGGTCAGCTTGACCCCGTCGGTCTCTCGATTACAGACCCGGCTGGAGGCACTGAGGCTTCGGCACTCTTTGGGATGGGATGGCTCTCCGCACTTCACGATTTGAGCTCATTGTCAAAAGCAAGTCGAGATGAGTCTGCTGCTGCTGCTGGCGCTTGTCGCCCTCGCTGCTGTCGGGGCGAACGCCATCGTGGACGACAGCACGTGCTACCGCAACAAGAAGCGCGGCGTGTGCGAGCCCGAGAGCCTCTGCGAGTTCAATTTCAACATCGGCGACCTGAATTTCAACCAGTCCTGCCGGGTCAGGGACGGCGTCAACTTGTACCCGCAGCAGATCCACCTGGCATTCGCGGGGAAGAAGGTGGGGACGGCCATGACGGTGTCGTGGGCGACGTTCGAGGACGTGACCGATAGCTCCGTCTGGGTCGGCGACTCGGAAGACACTCTGGAGCTTGTGGACACGCCGGTCTCCAGCTTGAGCTACTACAGCGACAAGGAGTACAACCTGTTCCACCACCACGCGACCGTCACGGGCCTCAGCCCGCGCACCAAGTACTTCTACAAGGTGGGCAGTCGCTCCGACGACAAGTTCACGAGCGACGTCTACTCGTTCATCACGGCGCGTCCACCGTCGGACGACAGCACGTTCAACGCGCTCATCTACGGGGACCTCGGGGACGGCGAGAACTCGGTCGACACGATCGCAGACATCACCAAGCTGACCTCGGACGATATCGACCTCGTGTACCACCTCGGCGACATCTCGTACGCGGACGACGACTTCCTGACGCTGAACCAGGCCGCGGGCTTCTTCTACGAGGAGGTGTACAACAAGTGGATGAACTCCATGATGCCGCTCATGAGCCGCGTGCCCTACATGGTTCTGGTGGGCAACCACGAGGCCGAGTGCCATTCCCCGTGGTGCCAGATCTCCAAGAAGAAGAGGGACGCGCTCGGCAACTACACGGCGTACAACACGCGCTTCAAGATGCCGTACGAGGAGAGCGGCGGGGCGTTGAATATGTGGCACTCGTTCGACCACGGGCCCATCCACTTCACGTCCATTTCGTCCGAGTCGGACTACCCAGGCGCTCCCACGAACCGCATGACGCTGTGGGTCAAGAACGGCAACTTCGGGGACCAACTGGGCTGGCTGGAAGCGGATCTCAAGAAGGCGCACGCGAACCGAGCCAACGTGCCGTGGATCTTCGTGGGCATGCATCGACCCATGTACAGCGTCCTCAACTCGGAGAACGACGTCCCCAACGAGCAGACCGCGAGCATCCAGCGCGCGTTCGAGGAGCTGTTCCTCAAGTACGAGGTGGATGTGGTGCTGGCGGGCCACAAGCACTACTACGAGCGGGAGCTGCCCGTCGCCAAGAGCAAGCCGGTAATGGACGGCGTCTCCGCCGACTTGGCGGTGTACGACAACCCGCAGGCGCCCGTCCACATTCTCACGGGCGGTGCCGGCCAGGTCGAAGGAATGTCCGAGCCGCCCAGCAACAACGCGTCGTGGAACGCGGTCTCGGACTACGAGCACTTTGGCTACTCGACGCTGCAGGCGAACCGCACGACGCTCGTGTGGAAGTACATTCTGAGCGGTTCAGGACTAGTTCAGGACGAGTTTGTGATGGTCAAGGCCGACCTCGACGACGGAGGAGCGTAATGAAGGAATGGATAGATAGCGATATGTTACTCTGTGTGGTACTGTTCCTCGCCCCTCAACCTGGGGTGATGGAAGACATCCTCGCCCTGAGACACCTTCAGGAAGGTATCGCATTATCCTTGCCACCTCCATGCAGCGAAGGTCGAATCACTGCACCCCACTTTCAAATCATCGGCGTCAGCAGCAGCCAGCCTCTTCGAGCCGGATCAGCCACGCCGCCACAATGCCCCCGCTCACTGCGACGCCGAAGCCTCTGGAGCCGCTCGTGGTCGCCCCCATCGACCGCGATGCGTGGATCGAGAAGGTCTTCGGCCCGCGCGAGCGCAAGCAGAATTTCGTGCACCGTAGCGTGCAGTCGAATGGCAATGGGGAGGAAGGAGCGAGCTGCTACAGTGAAGAACTGGCCAAGTTGATAGCCGAGTCCTGTGCAAATCTGAGCAATGAAGGCGAAGAACCTCTCGACGACTCGGACGACGACAGTTCAGAGGAAGACGCGGAGATCGACGACGACATCTTCGACTTCGCCGGCGCACAGCCGGCCGACAAGTTCGTCGCGCCTCCTGTGGAGGTCCCGCGCAATTACCGGGCGCAGGACCTGCACGGTGGCATGCTGGTGGGGGGAGACTGTGTCTTGTTCACGAATTGGGCCTTCAAGCGCCAACTTCGCCGCATCAGGCGCCTCGCTCCGATCCCAGAGCGCCGAGATGCTGGCAAATACGAGCGATCACAGTCGGACGACGAGTGCAGACCGAAGGGAGTGTACTCGGGCAAGATCGTTGAGCTGTAACTAAGTGTACGATGTATAGTACGTCAGGTGTATTTTGGTTTTTAATATGAAATGGCCGAGTGGAAGCCGTAACTTGCAAAGGCATTGGTGCGCGCAGTATCCGCGAGTCTATCGCTAGTATTCATATAGCGAATGTGGAGGCAACTTCAAATGTGGTAAAACTTGGCCGATCACTCAAACCGAGTCGAGGCTTTCCTCCTTCTGCAACCCACTTGAAGCCGACGAACAGAAAACTTCAACAGCAACACTGGTAACGGGCGAAACCTCCGCTCAATAGCTCAATGGCTGAGTCATCGCTAACGTGAAAGCTCTGCTGTTGCTCGCGACTGGGACTCGTTCGTCTTTCTTCAAAAGGATTCATCTGCGGTAACCCTGCTTTGGCTCATTCCCGAAATTCCTCCAAGCGGCTCGAGTTCAATGCTGTCTGCTGCATGCGTCGCTGGCCTTCTATCATCCTTCGCAGCAATCGCTAATGCTGCAGACCCGTTTTGCGGAGTGCAGTATTCGACCATGAACACCGTAGGCGATGTGGTGGGAACCGTCCTGTACTCTGCCAGCCCGGAAGTCTGCTGCGCGAACAGCACGGCCAACCCAGACTGCCAGTTTTTCGTTACGGACGACGGCGGCTGGAGACACATCCAGCCCAAGTGACTCCTCGTGAGCAAGGCGCAAACGATGAACGACTATCTCCACGGGAGCTACGGCAAAAACACCGTTGTCATCTCGGGCCGTGAAGTTCCAGCATGGGGGAAATGCGGTGACCAAAGCGGCTTCAAGCTCTGCACCCAGGGCTTCTACTGCCAGCCTTGGGGATCGTACTACTACCAGTGCATCGAGAAGCCCAAAAGCTGCGAGGTCTACACCAACGTGGACCTGTACGGGAACGACATCAAACGGATCCAGGGAATCAAACCGGGGGAGTGCTGCGACGAGTGCGACAAGACCATGGGCTGCGTGGGCTACACGTACGTGAACGACGACCCTCGAGGAACTCAGTGCTACCTGAAGAACAGCGTCGACGGGTGGGTGAAGAAATTTGGTCTCCACTCAGGAACGATGCCCAACCTTCCGGCCTGGTCCAAGTGCGGTGACTACTCCGGATTCAGGCCTTGCATTGATTCCTTCTACTGCCAGCCATGTGATTGGAGCTATTACCAGTGCATCGAACGCTACGTAGAAACAAACATCGACTACTACCGGAACGACATCAAGAGTGACGGGCATTGGACCTGGTGAGTGCTGCGAGGAGTGTGGCAAGACGCCAGGATGCGATTCGTACACGTACATTAACGACGACCCCTTTGACACCCAGTGCTACCTCAAAAGCAGCAACGCTGGACGCGGTGCGATCTCTGGTCTTGTCACGCCTGTCACGAGGTCAACATAGAAGTACGACTTGCTCCATCGGTACCTAAGGACATGAAGAACGTTTGGAATCACAATACCTTCCGATTTAGCGGAGCAAAATATCAGCATGAGCTCCACATCTTCCTCCAACCTGTCGTCTCTTAGTGTGTGGATGTGCCTCAAACTCCGCACGCCGTGAGGTCCATTCCGGGAAGCAGCAGCTGGGGGTTCCTACTGTATCTACTTTTTCAGCCGCTCCTTCGTGCGCTGGACTGCTTTCTGAAGAGGGCGCTTGACCACCTCCTCCGTGCGCTTGACCACCGCCTCGGTTCGCTCTATCACCGCTTCCGTGCGCTCCACCGCCTTGCGAAGTGGCCGCTCTACCGCTTTTGGGAGCGGTTTGAATGCCCCCGTCTTGGTCATGTATCCGTACAAGTACTCGGACCCGGACAGGAAGGTGGTCGTGCCAACAACGCCACTGTGAAACACGCACAAAACGAGAGAAGACAGCAGTCAGCGGCCAAGCGCAATATACCGTATAGAGGAAGTGATGAAGACGTACAAGAGCACGTTGAGTGCCGGATCCGGAGGAATTTGCCAGGCCGCGTTGGTCAGCGCGAGTCCAAAGACCGACAGCTGCAGAGCCGTGTTCACCTTGCTCAGCAGCGACGGTTTGACCTGAAAGGCCCCGCTGTCTGACGTATCGAAAAATCCCGAAGACTCGTCCTTGGTCTTCAGTCGGTGGTAGAACGTGCCACCAATGAGCATGCCGTCACGGCCCAAAATCAGCGCCGCCAAAGGCAGTGGCAGCAGCCCCGTCCACATCATACTAAGCGACAAGGTGCCGATGAGCAGTTTGTCTGCGAAAGGGTCAAGGAAGGAGCCGACGATGGATTCCTGGTGGAACGTCCTCGCGATGAAGCCGTCCAACCAGTCGGAGACACCAGCCACCGCCAGCACTGCAACGACCAACAATAAATATACGACATATTAGCCTCTCAGAGCCCCCAGGCAAGCATTAATCAGCAGCCAAATGGTGCGTACAGCCGATAGCTGAGACGTGGTCTCCTTGGACAATCAGGTGCGCCAGATACGGCGTGGCCAGGATCCGCGCCGTCGTGATGACGTTCGGCACGTTCACCACTTGATGCATTGCCTGTCAAACGTTCACAGTCCACAGCACTCTGTCGTTAGGAATGATAGTTCGAGATCTACTGCCGCCTCTGCCGTGTCGTCATCCGTACGAGGTTCCTGGCCGTCTCCATGTCCTTCTTGAGCTTCTTCTTGAGGATTTTGGCCGCCGTCTTGGCCTCCAGCTCGCGCCGCTGCTTCTGCTCCTCCGACTCGTTGTCGGGCGTCGAGCTCATGGCTCTGCGCAACTCCAGCGTCCGGACGACGGTCGGCGTCGCCCTTGCGCGTCTGTCGGCCGGCAGCAGCAGCACGGAGAACACGCGGCAGTCCTGGCGCAGCGTCTTGAGCGGCTGCACGCGCAGCGGCAGCGCCCGCCAGCGACCCAGAGGCCGCCCAGACGCCGCCGCCAGCACCCACCGCGGTGCCATGGGCGTCATTTGTGTCGGCAGTCTGAGGGGCTGAAAGAGCTGTGCGGAAATGATGGGTGCATTTGGTGTTGCGAACACGAAGGTGCACAGTGACGTCACCGTCGATGAGTAAATCTTTATGGCGGCGGTGTGTGTGTGCTGTTGAGTTTCGCATTGAATTCCGCTGTTAGGTCGTGTGCTATGGATGCCCTCTGCATGCTTCCTTGTTGGCTGGCTGGCTGGCTGATAGGCAGCCGTCTATTTGGCGTTCTTCTTGCCCTTGTAGACCTGCTTGCCGTGGTCCCACGGGACGTAGTTGTGCTTCCACATGTGCTTGATCTGGCGCTTCATGGTGAGCGCGAAGAGCACGATGAAGTAGATGAGCAGGATGGGCCAGAACACGGGCACGTCGAAGGCGCTGCTGAGCGTCATGAGCAGCGACACGATGGCGGCCTTGAAGGTCGAGTACCAGAACTGGAACTCGGGCACGCGGCGCGTGAATGGGCGGAACTCCTCGCTCTGCTTGTGCGGTAGCAGCGGGCCCTCCGACTCCATGTCAACTTGGGGCGACAGGAAGCCGATGAACAGGTTCAGCAGGTAGATGCCCAGGCCGTACGTCACGATGTGGAAGGCGTTGAGGTAGAACACGCGCACCAGGTAGAGCGCCAGCAGGCCCAGGGCCACGCCCCAGCGCGCGTACACGTGGATGGTCGACTTGTCCAGCAGGTACTGCCATTTCCTACAAAAATGCATACACGTCAATTAGTCAGGTCTACTGTGGGAGGAAGATTCATCCGGTCCCCTCTCGCAGGACGCACCTCTTGATGGAGACGCTCACGCGCGCGATGAACGGCGGCTCCGTGAGGCTGCGCGAGTCTCCTCCCTGCATTGTGTGGTTCTCTGTCTCTTTCTCTCTCTCTCTCTCCTGGTGTCGACGACGGCAGCGCTCGCTCGCTCGCTGGTGCTTCCCCGTGTCGTCGGAGGATTGTGTAATGGAGAATGGAAAACCGATATTTTATTATGGAAGGGTGCGCCACATATTATTGTGTAAGGGTGGTGTTCTGCGACGTGTGAGGCTTCAGGTCAAAGCGGTCGACGGACGTCTGTAGGCTGTGCAGGATCTTCTGGATGCTCGCCATGGCGTCCCGCACGAAGAGCAAGCCCTGTGTGCATGATGAAGACACTGTCAGCGGGTTTGCAGTACCCAATTTGCTTTAATTATGAGGTGGACGCACCTCTCTCTTGCTGCTCGACGCCTTTATCCGCGCCTCCAGCTGCTCTTGATCCGCGTCAGCTGGACCCACTTCAAGTTGCAGGTGCAGACCCTCCGTCTTGATCATCTCGATCGAGTATGCCTGTGCAGACCGAAAGTAAGCCAGTTGGTCAGGCAACCTTAGCGCTTTCTAGATTAGAGTGCTACAGCAGGCCCACCTTGTCGAGCATTTCCCAGTCATGACGGAACTGCTCGTGCGTCTCCACGAACGAGTCGTAGTCGTTCTCGTCAAGAATCACGGACCGCCCGCGGTAGTTTGCCAGACGTTGGCAGATTTGCACAACAGCGGAGGGGAAGAACGACAGGTCGGGCATTCGCGACTGCTTCACGCGATCCGACACTAGAGCCGAGCGTACGCGGGCGCGCTTAACCTCGACACCAGAAGACGATGGCTTGATTGGCTTCAATGCGTAGATATCCAGCGTGTCAGTGCTTGGTTTGCTTTGAGAAGAGGTTGCTTCGTGGGGGTTTGCAGGCTGAGTATGTGCAGCAGTGGATGCCTCACCGCTGGTAGAATTCTGGGCTGAGTCTGTCTTCGGTTGTGCCGAGTCGTCCATCTCAGTTTCTGTAACTCCATTCTCTTTCGCAACATTAGCGCCCTCGTTAGATTTCGCATCGCTCTCGATGTCTGCAGCAGTTGTATCCTTTTCCACCCCCTTTGCTGCCTTCTTCTTCGTTCTTCGCAGCACTCGAGGTTGTCCGATATCTTCATCATCTGAATCAGACGAGAAGAGGGCGTTGAACTCAGCATCACGTGCGGCGGCAGCAGTTTCCTCGCTAACAACGACTGTCGGAGGCGCTTCGCTCTGTTCTTCTTCTGTCTCGTCGCCAAGTGGCTTCTCTGTCTGTGTCGTCGACGGCTGCTCCACCTCAACTTCAAAACCCTTTTCAATCCTCTCTTTCGCCTCCTTAGCTTCTTCCTTCGTCAGTGCGGAAGGCAACACCAGCTTTCTAGTTCTGTAGTACACCACCACATGAGCTCGCAAAGGATAAACAAACAGGGAGCATTGGTGCATTTGACGTACCGCTTGCGCCCTGCCGCAACGGACCACGCACTTCCGCCTGCAGTCGTTCGATTACTCGGTACACTGGACAACCGCGTCATGAGTCGCTGCCTTTTAGCTGGTTTCTCCAAATCTGAATCGATAAGCTTCGCCGAGCGCGACTTGGACGCCAGCACCGATTTGGCGTGCTTGTCCTTGATTCGATCCTTCTCCGTGGCGTCCAGCAGCCGTTGCACCAGCAGCTTCTGGTGGATTGCACCCGTCTTATAAACATTGTAGCCTGTACCAGAGTCTCCGCTGTCCTCGTGGCGGAAGGTGCAGACGTGGTTGATGCCCGGATCCTCTGGAAACGACAGCAGCTCGTACTGCTCCTCCGACTCGCCGTCCGCCATAGTGACGGTCATAAGACTGGTCTTCTTGCCGCCTCCACGATTCGTGGTTGATCCGTCGCCAGTTGCCACATTGAGCTTGAGCAGAATCTGCTCTGGTGACTGCTGGAGTTTGTCCAGCAGCTCGGGCGTGAGCCGGACCCGAGCTGCCCAAGCTGGTGGCGCTGCTTCGCTGTCGTGCAGCGCGTACTGTGAAGAACAGTGCAGCAAAATGTGGTACAATTAGATAGAGGAAGCAATGAAAATGTTGGAGGTGCTATTTGCACGTTAGTCGAGACTATGACGACGTGCACGGAGTGCTGGAGTGCAGAAAGCTTTACCTGCGCATTCGCCTCCATGGCTTCGAGTTACCAAGCACACAATTATGGTAACGATCAAAATTTAGTCCTTCAGACCCCACAATTCTAGTCCCAAAACTTTGTCCTAAAATTTAGTCCTTGGAGTCCCAACATTTAAATCGCCCAAAATTGCGTCCTGCCTGCAGTCCACTCCTCGTGGTGGTGGCCGCAATACATGCACATGTATCTGTGCAAGATGCCGGGGTTATAACTCCGGGCGAGGACCTGACCGGACACCTGGTGTCCTCGTTGTGATTGTGGCAAGCGCCTGACACCAGAATGTTGGTCACTTTGTTGCACTGCAACACGAGGCGATCGCTTGCGTGGCCTCTGCTATAGGTCTGGCACAAGCTGGAATGATGATCACCAACTTGGAGGACTCGTGGCCAGAGCTCTTGGTCGCTCCCCACTCCCATCATTGTGCAATTCGCAACGCACCGCGTCAACTCAATCCGCAGTCTCCACCCTCAAGTCAACATGCGTGAAATCATCTCCGTCCACCTTGGCCAGGGTGGCGTCCAGCTTGGCAACGCGTGCTGGGAGCTCTACTGCATCGAGCATGGCATCCAGCCAGACGGCCAGATCCCCAATACCTCCGTCGGCTTGGAAGACACTCGTTCTCCACGTTCTTCTCCGAGACGGGCTCGGGCAAGCACGTGCCGCGCGCTGTGCTCGTCGACCTGGAGCCAACAGTGTGTGACGAGGTGCGGACGGGGGCGTACCGCCAGCTTTACCACCCGGAGCAGCTCATCTCGGACAAGGAGAGCGCCGCCAACAACTTCGCTCGGGGTCACTACACGATCGGCAAGGAGATCGTAGACCACGTGCTGGACCGCATTCGGAAGCTGGCGGACGCTTGCACAGGCCTGCAGGGGTTCATGATCTTCAACGCGGTGGGTGGTGGCACTGGGTCGGGGCTGGGCGCGCTGCTGCTTGAGCGCTTGTCGATGGACTACGGCCGGAAGAGCAAGCTGGGGTTCACCATCTACCCTTCGCCGCTGCTGTCCTCGGCGGTCGTGGAGCCTTACAACTCGGTGCTGGCCACGCACTCGTTACTGGAGCACACGGACGTCTCCTTCCTACTCGACAACGAGGCCATCTACGACATCTGTCTCCGTTTACTCGGCGTCGAGCGCCCCACGTACACCAACTTGAACCGTTTAATCGCCCAGGTGATCTCGTCGTTGACCACTTCGCCACGCTTTGATGGCTCGCTCAACGTGGATATCACCGAGTTCCAGACGAACCTTGTGCCGTACCCGCGGATCCACTTCATGCTGAGCTCGTACGCCCCAGTCATTTCGGCCGAAAAAGCGTTCCACGAGTCTCTGTCCGTAGCTGAGATCACCAACAGCGCGTTCGAGCCGACGTCGATGATGGCCAAGTGCGACCCGCGCCACGGCAAGTATATGGCCACGTGCCTCATGTACCGAGGCGACGTTGTCCCCAAGGACGTGAACGCAGCCGTCGCGTCTATCAAGACCAAGCGCACGGTCCAGTTCGTCGACTGGTGCCCCACAGGATTCAAGTGCGGCATCAACTTCCAGCCTCCGTCGGTGGTGCCTGGCGGTGACCTGGCGTGCGTCCAGCGAGCTGTAGCCATGATCTCCAACACGAGCGCCATCGCCGAGGTCTTCTCGCGCATCGACCACAAGTTCGACCTCATGTACGCCAAGCGCGCGTTCGTGCACTGGTTCGTGGGCGAAGGCATGGAGGAGGGCGAGTTCACGGAAGCCCGCGAGGATCTGGCCGCTTTAGAGAAAGACTACGAGGAGGTGTCGGCGGAGACGGCGGAGGGCGACGCGGACGATGAAATGTACGGGGAGGAATACTAGCGTGTCGCCTCGGATAGCAAGACACTTGTAGAAATTAAGTTTTGTAAAGCGCGTGCAAAGTTTCATGGTCCTTGACAACTACCGAACTCGAACCAACATTTATTTCGAGCGATACTGTTCATCGATCGTCCTCGCTTCCGAGGCAACGTCATTGACCAGCAAGTATGGCTCAATTAAACAGACAAAAACTCCTCAAAATGCCGTCGTTCCTGCGCCAGATCGCAGTAGTGCCGAGCACTTGACTGTCCACGCGTGTACTCCGCTTGAGGGTTTTACGAAATACTCTACAAGCACGCGATCGATCTGCCGATGCAGCGAGAACCCGCGAAACAGAATTTTCACCGAGTCGACCGTTGATTTCTGGCCCTTCAAGCGCTTGATCCAATCTCCAGCCATCGCCGACACCCCGTTGAGATGTCCCTGGAGCTCGCTCGGATATTGACCGTCGTACAGATCCTCAAGACGGTCGAGCAGCAGACTGTAGACTTCGCGCGGCAAATGTTGATCAGAATCGATACCGTCATCCGATAGTATCTCCCTGGCTGTTTTGATGGACATTGTCGTCTGCTTTATGTCAGTAGGCAAAGACTCGCTGGGCACTGCGCCTGGGTCACGTGCAAACTGCTTCAGGCGCTGGACTACCACGAGAATGTCCAGTCTTTCAGAAGGCTTGAACTTGCACATGCTCTCGACAAGCTCCCACGGAGAACTTGTGAATTCCTGAGGTCTTGGTGGCAGTTCTCCGTTCCTCACGCGCTTCGCTACCAGCAAGTTCTCGAAATTTCCCCACGGATGCTTCCCAGTCACAGCCTGGATGATGCACATTCCAAACGAAAAAATGTCGGAAGCAAACGTCGCTTGTTTCCCTTCGAGACACCCGGGGGCCACCCAGTGAGCTGCGTCTGAAAAATCTCCTTGATTATCCGCACTAGCAAAAGCACTCAGGCCAAAGTCTGTCAGCTTTGCTTGGCCATCGCTGCCGACGAGGATGTTGTCACACTTTAAATCTCGATGGATGATGCCACGAGCGTGCAGATATTCGAGACTCAGCGATGCTTCGTATAGCTTCGCCCAAACACCCTCCATACTCCGCGTGCTTTTCTCCTTCAGCTTCTCCAGATATTTTATCAGCGAGCCGTTCTTAGCTTCTTCACACACGAAAAAGGGTTTCTTACCAACGTGGCAGCCGCCAAAGAGCTTCATGACGTAAGGGTGGTTCAATCCGAACCACAGCGCTACCTCATTGAGGAACAGGTTTCGCCGCTTTTCGTCGTTTGAGCTGTTTATACTCATCCTTTTCACAACGACATCGGTGTTGAGCCATTGAGCTCTCGATACTTCACCAAACCCCCCAGATGCGAACGGCACCTCGTTCTCCAACATATTAGGCCCGATAAACCATTCAGGAAGTGACTCCACCACTTCGACGTCTGGTTCGTCCTCCTCGGCATGGTGGATGCCCATCTTCGGCCACAGCTTGTCCAGCTCCCGGCGTACTTTAGTCGGAACCCGCAGTACGTCCAGTACTTGTTGCATTTGCTTGAAGAAGAACTCCAATGCCGAATTCCCAACCCAACTGCTACATGAGTAACGCGACACGGAGCTTTTCGATAGAGAGAACCGCTCCTCGATGGCATATTGGACATTCTGTAGAACGATGACAGTGTCCTCGTGGTTCTCTGGCTCGAGATACTGCTGGCAAACGGCTGCAAGATGCTCAAACATATCCATGAAGCGTCCATCGTCGATTTCATCCACAACATCCCGGAGGCTGGAAAGTGTGTCGATAACACGATCCCTTGATACAGCGTGACTTGTCTTCGGGGTCAGCATCTCAATCAAGATCTTCATTCTTGGGACGGCTTCAGAAATAGTAAGCCCACCGCGTTGCATCTCGGATGACAAACGTCTCCACTCACTGCGAAATTGCTGATCCATTCCGTGTGGCGGTACAGTGAAGTCAATATGCAGCATAAACAGCGCCAGCGTGAATAAGTCGGAGGATTTCGGTCGGGTTCCCCTTCCAATACTTTGACTCGACGAAATGCTCGCCAACTTCGCGACATCATTGCTACCGATGAGAATGTTTTCCGAGCTGACGTGTCCGTGAAGAATGTCCCGCTCATGTAAGTATTGAAGACCTAAAGCTGCTTCGTATGTGTGCCGATAAACGTTCGCAACACTGATCGCATCCCATTCCGACCACTTTTTGGTGGAGTAAGCCTCCAGCGATCCAGCCGTCATGTGCTCACAAACGAACAGACCGTATCCTTCGCAAACCGCGCCGTACAACTTTTGAAGGTTTGGGTGTCGAAGAGCAAACCATCGGCTCTAAAGCGTTCAGTTGAAGGCACGTAGATCGTAATGACTACCTCCGAGTCCAGCCAGGTTCCAATGAAATCTCCTCCAATGTCCTTTTGCGTCACATAGTCCCCAATTTCAATCTCTGTGGCGGGGATGCTCCACTTCGGGGCATCAACAGAAACGACCGATTGCAACTGAAAGTCGCTTCTGGACAAGATGAGCTCGTGGACGCGTCTGTGGCCGTTAATCGACGCATACCCAAGTGCTGTTTGCCTGGTCTTGTCCCTGATATCCACATCGACGCCACAGCTCAGCAGGAGCGCGACCGCTTCGCTGTCTCCTTTCTGAGCGGCTAGCATCAGTGGGGTCTGCCCTGTGCTGTCTTGTGCGTTGGCATCAGCGCCGTATTCCACTGGGACTTTCAAAGCGTCAACATCGATTCTTTTGCGCCCACTACAAAGATATATGAGCGCTGTTCTCCGCCGTCGGTCTCGTGCGTTGACGTCGTTTTCGCAGGTTTCCACCAGGTACTTCACCATATCAGCGTCGGCTCACAGTAGTGCATTAACCGCGTCGGAGCATCGCTCCCTTCCGTAGCGCCCATTTCTCGGAGCCATTCAGCCACCTCAGTGTGTCCATTCCTCGCTGCAAGCCACAGTGGCGTCTTGCCGTCTTCGTCAGCCGCATCGTTATCCACCAGAGTCTCCACGACCTCCAAGTGCCCATTCATCGCCGCGAACGCCAGCGCAGTCCGTCCCGTGCCCCACTCTTTCGTGTCGACGTCCGCATCCTCATTCAGCAAGAAGTCGACGATAGCTATGTGTCCATTCTTGCTCGCCAGCATCAGAGGCGTCTGCCCCGTGCCCTCTGTGTCATTGAAATCCACGCCGTCTTTCCACAGCGACCACAGAGAGCTAGTGTCTCCACTCTCGGCCGCGTCGAGCAAACTCCAGCAACTCATCGGCACTGCTGAGAAAATGATTCCTGGTATTGGTAATACCGCGTCTGAGGGCGAATGACCTACGATGACCACACATCACCCCACCAGCATAGTATGTATGCTGAGCATACTACGCGGCGTTTAGACTCTAACATTGTCGGCATCATTGAATTGCACCAGTAGCAACTTGTGTCACTGTGACGGTGGTTTACTTCAGTATTTTGTTCGTCTTGGTACACTGAAACCTGTAGCACACGGTTGCCTTTTTTATTTAAGAAAAAAGTTTGCGTCAGTTTAGAAATGGCGCAAACTCTACTCAGGTGGCTTGCGTGCTCCTTGATACATGTACATGTAGTGCTGTCCCATAGCTCGCCAGAAGCACAGCGTGCCGCACATCCAGAGACCCCCCACCGATGGGCTGTGTCGAATTACTTTTCTGCATTACTTGGAAAGGGGTTTTACTCCTCGATGGTTTTCTAGACATCTCAGAGATGTAGTCAGGAGTATCCAAGCGAGGTAGGTCCCTACTCCCACGCCAGCAAAGCTTGCTACATGTATTCGTCACACAGCGATGAAAACCTCGTTTTCTTACCGCGTCCAGTAATCTCGATCACGCTCGTTGCAAATCTGTTGACCTGACAGACAAAACACTGTGAATTATGCACTTTGTATGTGTGAAGTAACAAGAGCTCCATGAAAAAAAATAAACTTGAGAGACAGTCGAAGTTGGGGTTGACTGTGGTAGTCGCTGCACGACTTGAAATCACGGTCGTTCGAGAATTAGCTTTTACTATTATTAATAGGAGATGATTTTACCCCCTTTTTATTTTCCTCTGGTAGTCAATCCTCGCGAATCAGATCGCTTCGAAAACCGCCAATGGCGGTTTTGTATGGCGGTCCGCCATACAAATCCCCATACAGTAGTGGCGCCCATCAACTCAGCGTCTCACTTCTCGATTGGATCTCTCGGCCACGCACCCCAGATCCGCCTCCTTCCTCCGCTCGCCATGACCGGAGCCCGCAGCCGCGCGACGCCGTCGCTGCTGCTGCTGCTCTGGAGCTGCGCGTACTGCGCGTGGGCCGTGCCCGGCGCCGACCTGAAGCTGCAGCTGCCGTTCCCCGTGGCGTCGCACCCGCTGCAGCTCTCCTCCAGCCTCTTCGCCGCCTCGGAGCGCCTGCCGCTGGACGCGCGCGTGGCCAACGCGTCGCACGAGTCGAAGCCCAAGATGCTGGCCGACGTCCCGTTCCCCACGGGCGCGTGGTGGACCAACCTGGTGCTGGCCGAGGGCCAGAGCGCCGTGGCCACCATGCCCTACGTGCACCGCATCCTGGACGAGAAGCTGCACGTGAGCTTCCCGTTCCGCGTCGTGGCGCCGCGCAGCATCATAGAGGGCTTCCTCGCCCAGATGGTGGTGAGCTCCCAGGCCGCGCAGACGTCGAGCCTGCCGCTGGCGCATCACGTGGTCAACTTCGACGCGTTCAGCACCACGCTGCGCTTCAGTCGGGGGCAGACGGAGGAGTTCCGCGTCTATTTGGTGCGCGGCTCGCCCTACATCACGATGGAGTACAGCCACAGCCGCCCCGTGGTGGAGGCCAAGGACGGGCTGCAGATCAAGCGCTTCAAGAAGCTCAAGGGCCTCACGCTCATGAACGGAGAGGACGCGCCCTTCGCCACGTTTGCCGCCGAGCTCAACAACGGACAGACGTGGTACCTGTACGCCTCGGACAAGCAGCTGAAGCTCAGGCTGGACTCGAACGGACAGGTGACGAGCGACGAGCCGTTCACGGGAGTGCTGCGAGTGGCGCTGTGCCTCGATGCCAAGGTCATGCCCTTCCTGCTGGAGTCTGCGTCGGTGTATGCAGTCGGGGGTGACATGGCTCACTCGGTGGACCCGGAGGACGCCGACAAGGCGCTGCTCGAGTTCCAGTGGAAGACTAAAAGCTTTTCGACTTTCCATGGCAAGGCGGAGGGGGTCTCGGACGAGGAGAACGGCAAGCTGCTGATGCTGGCGCTGCCCCATCACATGGACGTGATGCAAGTGCAGAAGAGCGGCAAGACCGTCGACAAGGGCAAGAACAAGGTGCTCTCGGGCCTGAGGTACACCAGCATCCGCGGACTGATGGAGGGCGTGTTCGGGGCTGTGTGGCACATGAAGGAGACGCTGCCGTCGGTCGAGTGGAACTACGCCGACGACGGTCTGTTTAGCGACGACTTCAGCGGCAGTTTGAAGGACGGAAGCACTGATGATGAACAGCGTCGACTTGATATGCGCGAGAAGGCGAAGCAGGCCATTCTGAAGCAGCTCCCACTTGATGTTGATGCGTATCCGCCGCCATTGAGCCCCGACTCGTACAACTTCGGCAAGCAGGTGAGCCGTGACGCGCGGCTGCTCTTGATCGCCGACAAGTTCGACCAGGAGGAGGTGAAGCAAAAACTCTTGCTGAAGGTCGAGATGGAGATTACTGAGTGGCTGGAAGCCACGAACGCCAACCACTTCGTGTATGATCAGACGTTCGGTGGTATCATCACGAACGACGGATGGCATGACAAGGAGGCTGACTACGGCAACGGCTACTACAACGACCACCACGTACGTTCGTTCACTTGTTGTGCATTGTATTGAGCTTGGATTGGTTTATTTATCTCGTTTCCTTTGTTCATGCAGTTCCACTACGGGTACTTCATCTACGCGCTTGCGGCAATTCGGAAATTCGACCCTGCTTTCATCGAAAAGCACGCGCAAGCCTGCGCTTTGCTCATGGGTGACATTGGAACGCCGCTGCTCGATAGCAACACTACGTTTTTCAACGACCTCCCGGTTCGACTACTCTTCCCTACGGCGCGCCACAAAGATTGGTTTGTGGGCCACTCGTACGCGAGCGGTCTATTCCCGATGGAGGATGGCAAGTCCCAGGAAAGCAGTAGCGAGGATCTCAACGCTTACTACGCTCTTGCGCTCTTCTCGTCGCTTGACGAAAAGGCAACCGAAGGTCAGGGAGACAGCTCCTACCACCAGTACGCACGTCTGCTCTTGGCGACGGAACTGCGGTCGGTGAAGAAGTACTGGCACATGGCGGAGAACTCCAAGATCTACGAGCCTGCCTTCTCGAAGAACGCTATGGTGGGCGTTGTGGGCGAGATGAGTGCCGTGTACAACACGTGGTTTGGAGATCGCGCTGTGTACATCCACGGCATCAACATGCTCCCTTTCACGCCGTTCACGCCGCACCTGCTTGATGAAGAGTACGTTGCACGCGAGTACGCCCTCCTGAGCCAGGATCTGCCTGACCTGGACCAGTACGATATCTGGCGCTCCATCGTCGTGATGGACCACGCCATCTTGAACGCAGCGGACGCCTGGGACGAGCTCAACAACACCGTCAAGGCGTTTGATACGTGGTCGTCGCGCGCCAACGCCATGTATTGGATCGCTACTCGCCCGTCGTGGTTCGCC